AGAAATTTTTATCTATTTAGAGAGACAGCAAGTGGAAGTTAATTTACTTACAACAACTTTCACGCCAAGCCTCTCTTCAGTTTCAAAGTCACCAGAGCAGCTTTCCTCACTGGAACAGTCGAAGGGCACATTGCGTTCATCAATTTTACCGTAATGTTAACATTATAGAGCAGCAAACGTTTACTCCTTTAATTCTAATATTAACATTAATATTTTAACATCTCTTCCAAAGGGTCAGCACCTCTGACAATACAATGCAGGTGAGTCCTGAGGTGGGAACCTACAACCTGCTAACCTTAACCATAACTATAACAAACTAAAGGATACATTCCAGAAGACAGGAATTATTCTGTATATACAGAAGTGTGTCAGCCTACAGCTCAGTTGGTAGCTCATCTCGCCATTGAGTCAGAAGGTTTTGTGCTCAAGCCCCATATCAGGACTAACTTGTAATCTAGGTCGTACATGTTGTCCTTCAGATGAGACATTAAACTAAAGTCCCATCTGCCCACTCAGCTGGACGTTAAAGATCTCATGGTGCTACTTGAAAACAGAAGGAAATTGCTCCCGGTGACCTGGACAATTACTGGACAAAAACACTCTTCCACTTTATGGCTGTTCGAGGGGACATTGCTGTGTACAAACTGGCTGCCGCAATTGCCTACATCTATCCACAGTCAAATCCTGTCAAGCACTTTGAGGTGTGTCAACCGTGTAATAAAGCTTAATACCAAAATCCAGTGGTAATAATCCCTTCAAAAAATGAATAATAATTTGGTCACTCAATCCATCACTGTTTGTGGTACACCGTGGTGCGCAATTGCCTGCCGGATTTCAACCACAAAATATACAATCAATTCACTTTTGCAGTATATTCTGTGAAGCGCTTCGAGACGTCTCAAAGACATGATAAGGCGCTGTATCAAATGCAAGGATTATTATGAAAACAAGGATTATAAAATGTGCAGTCAATGTAAAATTGAGTACCCACCAGGCTTCGTCTATTGGAGTGATTGCCCTTTTTTCATCCAAATAGCCATACTGTTTTATTTCATTAGCGAGAGGCGAGAGGGAGTCAGGGCTCAGTGTCACGCTGTCAGCCGCAGGAGGATTCAGAACGTCCGACACGTCTCTCGCTCTGCGCGGAGCCGGTCAGGCAGGACGTGGCTGACTGGCTGACAGCGCCAGGGGCAGGGTTGTTTTGTAGCTACAGCGAGAGAAATGTTCGAACAGAAACATCGAGACCGAGGAGTGGGGCAAAAAGTGAGTCAAAAGTAACCCCCACACTTCCAATTGGATTGGACGCTTAAACAAGTAGCCACCACTGTTGTGGGCCACCGCCGTGCGCAACCGGCTGCCGCGTTTCGCCCACAAACTGCGCAGTCTGCGAAGCGCTTTGGGACGCCTCGAAGACGCGACAAGGCGCCATATCAAATGGAACAATTATTCTTATTATTTCAGGCCGGAGACAAGAGTGCAGGGAATTGGGAGAGAATTTGTCTTGAAAGCGAGAGAGACGGTAAACTGCGAGGCAAGGGGCCGAGGGCCGTGTCTTGAAGCGCAAATACCTTTGAGCGTTAAACAGCAATAAAATAAATAAGTAACCTATTCTCGCAAAAACACGCTGTCGGAATGAATAGCTTCTGTATTATTGCTGAGGCGCCTGACAACACACCCCCACACACACACCCACACCCACACCCACACACACACACACAAGAGCAGAGAGTGTTACTATGCGTTCACGCTGTGTCAACAGCACAACACTGAAGGCTTTGGGTGTGTGTGTGTGTACGCGTGAGGCGCAATTTCACAGCAGAATTTAAAAAGGTACAGGCGGGTAGAGGGGAGAGAGAAACCCCTTTCATCCTTCAAGACTGGGAGAGATTACGACGCGACGGGAAGGGTTTAACCCCCTCTTTGCTCCAGTCACCCCCCCTCCCCTTCCAACCTCGCAAATTTTTTTTTATTTTTTTTTTTGCCTGGCGCCCGCAACTTGCTGCTTGATCGAATTCTTGGGTTTGGTTCCCGACGCTTCCGAGCCTTTTTTTTTGGGGGGGGGTGGGGGGGGGGTCCGGTTGAGAGTGGGCTGGAGCTCTGTCAACACCGCTGGCTGATGGCGCACGTGATCATAACAACGATAACTAATAAATAATCACGACGATGATCCTTGCTTTGATAGAACGCCTTATCACGCTGTTGAGACGTCTCAAAGCGCTTCACGCGCTACACTGTAAAGTGGAGTTACTGTTGTATTTTGTGAGGGGGGGGGGGGAAACACGGCAGCAAACGATTGCGTGGGGGGAAAAAAACTCGACACCCAAAAGACCTCAAGACGAGACGCTCCCTCCTTCCCTTCATCGTGTCGCGAGTTAAAAAGAGTTGTTTACACACACACACATATATATATATTATATTATATTTTGTTTCGATTTTTTTTTAAAAAAAGGACAATATGTAAACGAGGTTCGGAAATCGAGACACTGCACAACCGACTCCGAGTGAGTCATCAAAGCCGAGCGGAGGAGAGGGAATAAATATATAGGTTTATAAAAGCTTCTTGCGGGGGGGGGGGGGGGGGGGAGAGAGAGGGGGAGAGTGGGGAGGGGGGAGAGAGGGGGAGGGGGGAGAGGGGGGGAGGGGGGAGAGGGAGAGAGAGAGAGGAGAGTGGGGAGAGAGGAGAGGGGAGTGGGGAGAGAAGAGGGGAGAGAGGGGAGAGGAGAGGAGAGTGGGGAGAGGGGAGAGGGAGAGTGGGGGAGAGGAGAGGGAGGAGTGGGGAGAGGAGAGTGGGGAGAGGGAGAGTGGGGAGAGGAGAGGAGAGTGGGGGAGAGGGAGAGGAGAGGGGGAGAGGGGAGAGGGAGTGGGGAGGAGGGAGAGTGGGAAGAGAGGAGAGGGAGAGAGGAGAGGGAGGGGAGAGGGGGAGGGGAGAGGGGGAGTGGGGGAGGGGGAGAGGAGAGTGGGGGGAGAGAGAGGAGAGGGGGAGGGAGGGGAGAGGGGAGGGAGAGGGGGGTGGAGAGAGGAGAGGGGAGTGGGAGAGGGAGAGTGGGAGAGGAGAGTGGGGAGAGAGGAGAGGGGAGTGGGGGAGGGGAGAGGAGGGGGAGAGGAGAGGGGGGGTGGAGAGAGGGGAGGGGGAGAGAGAGGGAGAGGGGGGGGCTCTGCTGCCAGGAATGACAGCTCATCCCACGGCTCTGAAGGACTGCAACAAAGCGTGGCGGCAAATGTCAGAAACAGAATCCGCTGGGCGAACGATCGCGCCCACCATCGCATGTCAACAGCCCTCCCCACTTGTGTGTCCGTGTCACATACTTCTTCCGTGTGGGTTAGAGATACACGCCTCCTCTTTCTCCCCCCCCTCCCCCCCCCCATCGTCCTGTTTCCACCCCCTCCCCCCCCCCACACACACACACTGAATGGACGCTGACCACTTGTAAGAAAAATCAGCCTTTTTCTTAAGCGAAATTCAAGGTTGAAGCGAAGCCGGTTAACACGCCTCAAAAAGAAAACCTTCGACAATTCAGCTAAAGCAACCGATCTGACTTGACTTGAGGGGTACACAGGCAACACATGTAACCTATCCCCCGTGTGAAATCTACTGCTGTCCTATTTAATGTATAAAATAAACCCCAGGTGTCTCTTTTACACATTAAATATGTATCACTGGACGAGATTTTAAAAAAAATAGAGAAAAAGAAATCAGTGATTGCAGCTGTCAGCCACACTCACACACTGACAGACACACACGCTCACTCTCACACTGACACACACACACTTGCTCACCCACACTCTGACACACACACTCACACTCGCTCACTCTCACACTCTCTGGCACACGCACACGCACACACACACACACACACACACACGAACACCCGTTTCAGTGCCACTGGATGGTAGGACGAGACGGCAGGTCGGAATAACACAATCGGTTTATTTCTTTATACAAGTCAACAGTTTCAAACCATCCACCGTTTTTAACGTGGAATCTGGAATTTTTTTCCAGCCTTTGTCCAGTTAAGGAGCCTGGCTGACAATATTGCAGACTGGACGGTTGGGGAGACAGGATGTTAAACGGACTGAAAATCGTTCCGAGTTTCCAGTGTGTGTGTCTGCGTGTATATATATATGTATATGTATTATATATATAATGTATATTACAACTATATAACATAACAGTCTGTACGTGAGGATTGGGGTCAGTTCATGTTGCCAAACCTGTCGGCCTTTTTTCTGTCTCCTTTCACAAACCCGTTTCCTCGTGGCTGGCAACTGGGGCTGATTTGCGACGATTTGCCAAACCGGACGCCGCTAACAGGTCATGTCTCGCGAGCGAGCGAGCGACCCGACCGACTGGGAGGGCGAGAGAGAGAGAGACGCCTGTGGGGCGTTATGAGAATACAGTGCCTCATCACGTCGTTGAGACGTCTCGCAGGGCTTCGCAGCACAAGCTGTCAAGTGAATTGACTGTGTGATTTGTGGACGAAACGTGGCAGCCAGTTGTGCACAGCAGTGTCTCACAAACAGGCGTGGATTGAGCGACCAAGTAGTTTTTGTTGAGTAGAGCGGAGGGATTGTTAACCCCCGGAAAGCGATCCGCCAATCGACTAACAACCAGGTTCCCTTTGCTGAGGCGTGTGTACGTGTGTGTGTGTGTGTGTGTGTGTGTGTGGGTCGTAAGCAAACTTGCCTAAGGTTTGCCCTGGCTCTGCCTGCCCGGGAATCGAACCGTGGGGGTTCTCTGGTTTCACGTTAAATGCGCACACAAACACGCACCCACACCCCCACACACACACACACACGCATGTGTGCGCGCGAGCAGGGGCTGGGCTCACATGAGGGAGCAGCGGGAGGGGCGCAGAGCTCCTTGGAAGCGGATGGCGGCGTGCACGTGTTTGCAGCGACCGCAGCTCAGGCTCCTCAGCAGCTGGTGGAAGAGCAGCAGGACGTGCCAGTTGTACTTGGCCGAGACCTCGATGTACCCGCATTTCCAGCTCTTCCTCACCAGGTCCGACACGTTGCGCCTGGGCAGGACCCGGCCTCGCTGCAGGTCCCGCTTGTTCCCCACAATGATGATGGGGATCTCGCTCGGCCCGATCATCCTGCGGGCGAGGGAAGGAGGGAGGGAGGGAACGAAGGAAGCAAGGAAGCAAGTAAGTAAGGAAGGAAGCAAGGAAGAAAGCAAGGAAGGAAGGAAGGAAGGGGGAAGAGAATAAAACAGAGAGAGAGAGAGTGGGAGGAAGAAATGGAGAGGGAGGGAGGGAGAGAGAAGATGAGGGAGAAAAAAAAGAGAATGAAAAAAAGTGCCGCAGGATCTTTTAACATCCCCCTGAACAGGCAGATGGGACCTCGGTTGAATGTCTCATCCGATGGACGGCAACTTCCACAATGCAACTCCCCCCCCACCCCCCACAGCGCTGCATTACAGCGTCACTGCAATGGGACGTCCTCCCGACAGGAAAGGCGCTGTACAATATAATTTGGTGGTTGTTGTGGTTGTTGTCGTCAGCTTAGACTGTGTGATTCCAAGTCCCGCCGTGAGGGCTTGAACCCACAACCTTCTGACACAGAGGCGCGCGCGAGAGAGCGCGGGATAGAGAGTGAGAGAGACTGACACACAAGGTGATAAAGTTCCTATAGCTCAGTGGTTAGAGCACTCGCTTTGCAAGTGAGAGACCTGAGTTCAATTCCAGGCAGAGGGTGAAACCTTGGGCAAGTTTCCTTACTCCACACAGAGCCCTAATAATAATCGCTCCAAAACCAAAACCAATAATAAATTGGGTCATTTTCAATCTATGACTGTTTGTGGGACATTGCTGAGCGCAATTGGCTGCCGCGTTCGCCCACAAATATATACAGTCAATTCACTTTACAGCGTGTTCACGTCGGGAGGACGTCCCAAAGCGCTATATCAAATGCAAGGATTATTATTATTATTATTATCATTATTTGAAGTTTAAACAATAAACACGACAATTCTGGAGAGCTGACAGAGCGTTCGAGGGTGGGGGAACAACAGGGAGGTTGATTCCGTGTATTTAACAGCGCAGGATTCCTCATTACACGCTTTCAATTTGATGGCCCGAAATTACGTGCTGTAATTACATTGTCTGAACCCATGTCACTGTCCAGTCACCAGCTCGTTTGCTCGCTGTGGATTCCTCAAGCGCAGGGGCTGTGTCAACACCACAGCACGTTACTTCATCTCAAGGTTTGCAGTGCGGGCAAGGAATTAACACTCAAGAGCACAGGCTGGTCTCCCCATACTCACGGCAGGCGTTTGAGCTCCCAGTCCAGGCTGACGTGGGGATGGCGAGGGTGCTTGCGCGCGTGTGTGTGCGCGCGTGTGTGCGGGAGGGGGAAAGTGCTGCATTATCCTTCCGTTGAGACGTTTAACCCAGACCCCGTCTGCGCCCTGTCCTGGTGACTGTGAGCGAACGTGGGCAACTCGTGCATACGAGCAAAACGCACGCGGCTCAGTGGTAGCGCTCTCGTGTCCGAGTCAGAAGGTTGCGGGTTCGAATCCCACGTCGGTCGGAACTCTGGGGCTGAGGCAGCTTCAGAACCCCCTACCACTCCCTCCCTCCCTCCCTCTCTCTCTCTCTCTCTCTCTCGTATTCTCTTCCTCCCTCCCTCTCTCTGCACTCACCTGGTCTCCAGGATTTGCTGTCGGATGGTTTTGACGTACTCAAAGCTGTCGAAGCAGCAGATGTCGTAGACGAGGATGTAGGCGTGAGCACTCCGCAGCCCCCGGCAACAGACGTCCGCCCATTCCTGTGACACACGCAAAAACGCACGAAAAGCATCAATCCACCCGCTGAACCCACTCACTCGTACCGTAAAGTGCAGTGACTGTGTTTTTTTGTGGGCGAAACGCGGCAGCCAGTTTGCGCACAGCAATTCTCCCACAAACAGCCGTGGAGTGAGTGAGTGAGTGAGTGTGTGTGTGTGAGTGAGTGCGTGCGAGTGTGTGTGTGTGTGAGTGAGTGTGCGTGCGAGTGTGTGTGTGTGTGAGTGAGTATGCGTGAGAGGGAGTGTGTGTGTGCGAATGAGTGAGCGCGTGCGTACGAGTGAGTGTGTGTGAGTGTGCGTGCGAGTGAGTGTGTGTGAGTGAGTGTGCGTGCGAATGAGTGTGAATGAGTGAGCGTGTGTGTGTGAGTGAGTGCATGCGCGTGAGTGTGTGTGTGTGTGAGTGAGTGTGCGTGCGAGTGTATGTGTGTGTGAGTGAGTGAGTATGCGTGAGAGGGAGTGTGTGTGTGCGAATGAGTGAGCGCGTGCGTACGAGTGAGTGAGTGAGTGTGTGTGAGTGTGCGTGCGAGTGAGTGTGTGTGAGTGAGTGTGCGTGCGAGTGCGTGTGAATGAGTGAGCGTGTGTGTGTGTGAGTGAGTGTGTGTGTGTGCGTGTGAGAGAGTGAGTGTGAGCGTGTGTGAATGAGTGTCAGTGAATGAGTGAGTGTGTGTGTGTGAGTGAGTGAGTGAGTGACTGGATTATATTGGGGGGGGGGGTGGTTGTTGGCGGGGGGGGGACATGATGAGGGGCTCCACCAAACTACAGGGATCGTGCGCTGATTTTCCTCACCGGCAACGAACACTTCGGGATTGCCGGAGCCCTTGGCACTCCCTGCCGCTGGCCAGCAGGCGGCGGCAGGGAGGGACCATTCCAATCACCTGTCGAAGGTAGAGAAGGAGCTGGGTGTCGTGAGTGAGAGGTGTGTACGCAATGATTCCCGGCCGCGGCATCTCATCGGATACGCGGGGGGCTAACGATTACGACGGGGAGGGGGAGAGCGGGCAGGTCGGAGCTCTCCTTACCTTCTCTCCGGGGGGGGCTGGGGTGGGGGGGTGGGGGGCTGGGGGGGAATCTGGCCGCTGGCTTAATCCGGGCCGATTGTGCTCATCGGCAATTAACAGGCAGATAGTGAGCTGGTACCAACCGAGCGCTGCGCTCTGAGCGCTAGCGAGCCAGTCCCGGTAGGTCCAGTGGGGGTTGTGAGGTGATGGCTCCTCTGGGAGGCTAAGCGACCACGGAACAACGTTAGTCTGGGGTCACCCCCCCCCATCTACCCCCACCCCCAAGCCTCGGCTATTGCCAACCTGCCACTAAAACTTCACGGAATTAGGTAAGCAGGATACGTCTCTCCAGGGAGAGAGAGAGAGGAAGAGAGAGAAAGAGAGAGGGCGCATTCCATTCCAACAATCTTTCTCTGGGATTTCCGTGTGTAGGTGGGAGTCGGGGAATTCTCAGCTGCGGGGGACCTTGTACTGTGAGTTTGAGGCACAGAAACATCCCAAATGCCGACAATAACCACCACTTTTGGCTGACGGTGACTCCTTTACAGCTGAACTGGGTGAAGATTGGAGAATTTAATCCAACACAAGTGGCCGCACAGTGTTTAAAACAGTCGGGAAATTAATCCCTCCGTCCCGGCTCGTAAATCAGTTGACACTGGACTGGGTTCTAGCTGCAAATGTGTCGATATAATTTAAGTCCCGGCATGGAGGGTAATTTAATCATTCACAACAAAAGCTAAAGTCATTTACCCGGGATGACCTTGGGAGCTGATGTAAATTGCGTCTCTGCAACAAATGCCTCCGATACAACAGACTGCATTAAACACACACGCACACACACACGCACACGGTTATGTGGACGGTCGCTGTGTGTGGCAAAATTGTCGGCTGCGTTCGCCCGCAAAACAGAGTCCTAATTCGCGTAGTGGTTAGCCTCCTCGCTTGGCGCCTTATCACGCCGTTAAGGTGTCTCAAGACGCTTCAATATTGTAAAAGGGATCGACTGTATTTGCTCGGCGAAACGTGACAGGCAATCGCGAACAGCAGTGTCCCACAAGCAGTCGTGGATTGAGTGACTTTCACGGAGGGTTTGTTACCCCCGGAAAGCGATCCGCCAAGCGAGTAACAAGCGGGTTCTTACTTACTGCTGGATAAACAGAGGCGCGCGTGTGGAGTGTGTAAACTTGGGGGTTGGGGGTGGTGGGTGGCGGGGCAATTGGAGGCGGACACTCACCTGCAGGGTGTTGACCGGGAATGACGGGATGGGCGGGAAGTCCATGATCTGGAGATCGTGCACGTGTTCATTCATGACCACGGCGGGCAGGTACACGCGTCGCCCCGAGCTTGGCGTGTAGCGATCGCTGTAGTCGTTGTACAGGAACTGGCGGACGATGGCAGATTTGCCCACGCCTCGCGCCCCCAGGATGGCGATTTTGAACGTGGTGACCATGCCTTCGGGCAGCACCGCCCTCAGAGCTCATATTCCAGCCCCAGCAGGTCACACCTTCCTGAGAAGTATCGTCACCCAGTCTGAGCCAGCCCGCACCTAAACAACAACAACAACAACAACAAAGTGCCTTTACGCAGCTCCCTTCACGCCAGGAGGAGGGTTGTCGATTTGTGGGGTGGGCGGGGAAGGGGAGCACTCAGGAGCCAATCAAGGTGCGCTGACCACCCCCCACCCCCAATATATTAGTTTGCCCCTCGTTCATACATATACACACACAGGAACACGTATACACAGGTACACGGACAAGGACACACACACATGCACAGATACACACACATGCACACGCGCACAGAAATGCATGCACACACACACACAGACACGCACATTTAGACCCCCCCCCCCCCCCCCACACACACACACACACAAGTCTCCATCCCTTTATAATAACCATTTTGCAGGTTCTCAAAATTGGCCGTCGACTAGCCGTTGCCACATGACACACACCCCCCCACCCCCAGTTGGTGTGATGGGAGGAGTGGGTGGGGGGGAGATTGTATATGAAACCCACAGCTATCCATACACCTTTGCCAGTTTCATTATCCTTTAAAAGCGATGTTAATAATTCTGGGTGACTGTCAGCTGACTTAAGACAGCAGAATCCAATCCGAGAAGCCCAGATAATGAAATGAAAAACACATTAATGTCTCCCTTGCCACCCCCGCCCCCCACCCCCCCAAACCCTGGGGGTCTTTGCCATTACCTAAACTCAGTTGGTTTATTGCCCTGTAATTCACTCTCAGCAAATAAATGTCCTGGCTGTAAGATCTCTTGCTTATTAACAATCCTTGATGCACATCCTTGATGTCACTGACTCATCCCCACCCCCTCTCTCTCTCTCTCTCTCTCCCCATTGCTCTCTCCATTTCTCCCTCCCTCTCCTCCCCCCCACCCCCACCACCCCATTGTAAAAAAAATACACCAGTTTGTGGCTACAGTGAAGCGCAGGTGATGGATAAGATCAGGGGAAATAAGCTGTGTTATCTATAAATAGCCAGTGTGTCAGGGCTGAATCGAGCAGTGTCTCACGCTTCCTATTTAAGACATGGAAAGAGGAGATTAATCAGACAGGAGCTATTTATAGCGACTCCATTTGTAGATGCATAACTGTAATGTGCACAGAGCCGGGTGTATTCGGAGAGAGAGAGTGTTCGGGCTGTGTGCTTCTGCGTGTCTATCTATCTATGTGTGTGCGTGTGCGTATGGATGGATGCGTGTGTATGTATATGTATGAATAAGTGTGTGTGCGTGTTTGGGTGGATGTTTGTGTGTGTATGCACGTGTGTATGTAGATGTGTCTGGGTGTATGTGCCTGGATGTTTGGGTCTGTGTGTGTGTGTAAATAGCTACAACAACAACAACTTGCATTTATATAGCGCCTTCCAAGGCAGGGTAATGCCTCATAGCATCTCAATGTGTGTGTCTAATGTATGAATGTCTGTGTGTGTGTGTGTGTGTATATCTGTATGGATTCAAAATCAAACGTTACCCAATTACCAGTCAGGCGTTATGCAACACTCAATGCACCATTAAAGCAGTTATTAATACAGAATAACCCGCAGCTCTGACTCACACACAAAATAATACCCTGTGCACACACACAAAATAATACCCTGTGCACACACAAAAAATAATACCCTGTGCACACACAAAAAATAATACCCTGTGCACACACACACACACAATGTTGTGTACTGAAACCAAAGCGCAACTGATGAGATATGTGGCAGAAACACATACATTCACACACACATACACACATACATACATACATACATGGGTGTATTTTTAATATGATTTAATTTCCGGGTTGGAAGAGAGAACAGGAGGGTATTTAAATTGGGCTTAACGCCCCCAATTCCACCTTAGAAAATTCTCTTTCTGTGCTCGACGCAGAACTTTGCTGGGGGAGTTTTGGAGGGAGGGAAGCTAAAAAATATAGATGTATATTTTATTGATTTTTATTTATAAAGTCATCACAGACCCTGAAACTGACCCCCCCCCCCCCCCCCACACACACACACACCCACAGAGAAGCCAAGTTACACTCGGTGGAAAATTATATAGCAATATTACATTTTGTTGAATCTACAGGGAAATAACATAGGCAATATATATATATATATGGTATATCTACAGGGTGAGCAAGAAATCTTATTTTTCAGCTACATTATTACCTAAAAAAATCATAATTTCTTTAAGACTTATTATTAAATATTGTGATGGTATCACGACTTTGTGGTCACCCAGGATATACACCTGTAGGCATAATATACACATACCTGTAATATATATATATATATATATGTGTGTAGTTAATATATAACATAGAAAACACACACACGTAATAATAATAATAACTTGTGCACAACATACATATAAAAATATATATTACCTATTAAAAGAAGAAGCTTTTTTTAAAAAAAAACTTGAAGAGGGACTCACTCGTTAATTCAAAGCAAAGTTTGGACTTTGGGAGTACAGCAGTGAGATCCAGGTCTGGCTCACACACACTCACACTCACTCACTCACACACACACACACTCACACACTCACTCACTCACACACACACTCACACTCACTCACTCACTCACTCACACACACACACACTCACACACTCACTCACTCACACACTCATTCACACTCACTCACACACACTCACATTCATTCACACTCACTCACTCACTCACACGTACACACACACACAATCACACTCATTCACACTCACTCACACACACTCATTCACACTCACTCAATCACACACACACACACAATCACACTCATTCACACTCACTCACACACACTCATTCACACTCACTCAATCATACACACACACACTCACACTCATTCACACCCACTCACTCACTCACTCACAGGTACACACACACACAATCACACTCATTCACACTCACTCACACACACTCATTCACACTCACTCACACTCACTCACACACACTCACACTCATTCACTCACACACACACACTCGCACTGATTCACACCCACTCACTCACACACACACACACTCATTCACACTCACACACATACTCACTCACACACACTCACACTCACTCACACACACTCATTCACACTCACTCACACACACTCACACTCATTCACACTCATTCACTCACACACACTCACTCACTCACTCACACACACACTCACTCACACTGCACAGGGGGTTGAAGTGATTGGTTTACCTGGTCGCTAACCCCTGGATGGGGATGTATCAGCATTGGCTTCAAGGCTGAGGATCAGTGCGTAATTCCATTGAAATGCCTTTGTGTGGTTTGCCTGTTGTTGTTGTTGTTGTTGTTGGTTGGTGGTGGTGGTGGTGGTGGTGGTGGAGGAATAGACAGTAACGAGGAGAAAAACAGCAGAGATCCTCCACCTCTCCCTCTTTCCCTGTTGCAGGAATGCGCTACAGTCTGTGCATTTCTCCTCCTCTCAATGAGACACCACCGTTACCGACCCTCCTCTCAGTGGCTCTGTCTCTCTGCGACATGGTTGATAAGTCATTCACAGGCGTCTCCCAGGTCGTAAAGCCTATCAACGCAGGTTTGCCACTTGGCAACTAATATCTCAACACTCTCTGTTTGACATTGGCCCCTAAAATACCAGTGACATTAATGATAATCCTTGCATCTGATACAGCGCCTAAAATCACGCGTCAACCGAGACGCCTCGAAGCGCTTCGCTGGATCCGCGGCTGTTGGTGGGTGGTCGCTGCTGTGCGCAATTATGGCTGCCCACGGAATACACAGTCACTCCGCTTTGCAGTGGGTTCCGTGAAGCGCTCGGAGGCGTCTCGAAGACGCGACGAGGCGCTGGATCAAATGCAAGGATTATTCTTAGTGTTATTGTTGACTGTATGTTTTGTGGGAGTGTGTGGCACTGCGCCACAAACAGTCGCGGATTGGAATTGGAAAAGAGAAGGGAATTTCTCTCTCCCGGTGTCCTGGCCAACAAATCCTCCCAAGTAAAAAAAAAAAGTGGTTACTCACTCCCTGGGCTGTTTGTGGGACGTTGCTGTGTGCAACAGTCTGTCTCATTTAACCCACAACACACACAATCAATTAACTTTACAGCGTATCCTGCGAAGCCCTTTGAGACATCTCAATGACATGACATTATTATTATCATTATTTCTGTTATAATGTGGGGGAGCGAAAAGCTTTCAAGATACTCGTCCCACAGAGGAAATGCTGCTTGGTATTCTATTTGCCCAGATGTAATGCACACTGTGTTAAGTGAAATTGATTGTATCACATCGTCTTGGCTAGAACTCTCGCAGAGAGAGTCAAGCAAAGCCGGATGATTTTTTTCCTTCGGTTCACTTTGACTCCCCTTCCCCGTACTGGAGCAACCCCCTCTCCTTCTTGACGGGTAGCCTGGCAATGGAACGTTTATACGGCATTGAATTCCCATGTGGAGAGAGGTTATTCCGTCACTGTCCTCGTTGGGCCCACTGGGAGTCTTGCTGCCTTGAGGTCAGAGAAGACGACATCTTTGGCTAGAATTCTGATTCCCACGTCCTAGCGCCATATTCCCCGAGTGTCCAATGCGTGTCAGTGTCAGGGCTTTAAAGCCACAGTCCTCAAGTGAGACTCCGCTAACAAGGGGACACTGGCTCTGTGTCCTGCCGCTCCTATTGTGGGCAGTAAGAGCGCGTCGCGATTGTAAGGTTCGAGAACCAAATTCACTGGACTTACCCCAATAGCAGAGTTGGGTCACCATCTGGACCTCAGCTCCCTATGTGCCTTTGCCCCGTGTCCCCGGATACCCTGACCTAACAGAAACCTATCCACCTCAGCCTTGAAAATTTGATAAAACGTGAAAAAGATTTGGGGCTTGAACCCACAAACCTCTGAGCAAGGCGAGAGCGCTACCAAAGATGAGGCAACAGTAAGGGACTGCTGACATAACCAGTCATTGTGGAGATTCCTACCCTTCAATTGAGTATTGAACCATTAAAGACAATTCTCTTATGCCATTCACATGCCTCCATCATCAGTGACTGGATAGGGAGTGATTTCACTCTAACATTTCTCCAGTGACAAATATCCTTTGAAAGGCAGGCGGGCAGTGTTTAAATAGCAATGTGCTCCCGTGAGATAACAGCAATTCCTTTAAGCGCATTCAAAGTAGGATTTTGCACTCACTAACCTCAATTCCAATAATAAGTCGTGAATATTCAATTGGCTGTTCAAATATTAATTATGCTTAATCAGATTTCATTACTCTCTCTGTAATGAGACGTCGGTGAGTGAGTTAACACTTCGTTGTGTTCAGTTTGTCAGCAGAAGTGGGAGTCTTGCCATTACCTCTCCTTCACCTCAATTACTGGGGTGAGGGGGGGGGGGGGGGGGCGCAGGAGATAATCTCTGAGGGAAGGTGCGTATAAAATGTATACATTTCCTCCTCTCTGCATCCTTAGGCTGGCGGTGCTTTGCGTTTGGACCGTTCATGTGTTGCATCTCTTACCTGTTTCATTTCAGCATCTTATCTCCACGGTTACCTGATTTCACCACGCCAAATGCTAATTATCGAGCAACGAGTGTCGAGGTGAAAAAAATCAATGCTTTATCTGGGTAAAACCTGCCATTGCTATGACCGGCTGCATCATCCACCCTTACGATCCTCCGACACAGTAATCCTGCAACTCATCACTTGTCTCTAAACACTGGTCTTGGCAATCGGCCCTCGTGCGGATCTTGCCCGAAGGAATGAGGCGCTCGTTTTGTGGTCAAGGATCGATCGCTTCACTTCATTGCTTGTGGAACATCGCTGTGCGCAAATCGCGGAAAATGCCTGCACAGCGACGGCAGGTTACAGCGTGAAGCGCTGTGAGGCTTCTTCCCGTTGCAAAAAGGCGCTGATACCATAATGGAAGGACTGTTAAGAGTCCAAAGAGATGGGAAGATATTCCCGGATTTTCTGAACCAGGTTTAGAAAAAGCCAGTCCTCCAATCACCCACTTAGTGAATGAAATGACAATGGCCGAACGGGCAGTTAATGTCACTCCACGGCTGTTCCTGGGCCATGCGCAATTGGCTGCCGCGTTTCGCCCGCAAAACACGCAGTCAATCCAATTTACGGTATTACCCTGTGAGGCGCTTTGAGACGTCTCAACGACGTGATAAGGCGCAATATCAAACGCAAGGATCATCATCATTATTATTTAATGTGGTGTCACCAAAGGAGACGCAATGAGAGACAAAGAAAAAACATTTCAACATCTACAGCCGATACAACATCATACGACCTGCCCGGCGGCTTTGGAGAAGACAAGTTTATTGAGAAATGGCAACATTTAGAAAAAAAATTGTGTATTTCTGTAAGACGAGAGAGAGAGAGAGAGAGAGAGAGAAGGTAAAATAAAAAAAAAGGAATAATCATGTGGAACAGATACAAGTGTTCCCCGCCCCCCCCCCCCCCCACCTGGAATAAAATTTTAACATCTGGTACAACACATCACAGGCACTGCGAAGAGAATCGTGTAATATCAAGTGCGACTTTACAGGTAAAACTCACAAACACACACACACACGCGGACATACACATACATTGCTTATTAGTCGCCATCTCTCACCCGCTCTCCTCGCTCCACAGAGTCGAAAACCCAACTCACTTTCAGTAGAGATGAAAACATCCTCGTTAATCTTAAAAGACTTAAAAAAAAACAGGTAAAGTCTCGAAAGCACGCTCAAGTTTTTGCACAATGCTATTGTGCAGACAGGACTGCCTCTTGTTCTGCTTTTGGCAATGTTTCACCCTCTCCTCTATCCCCCCACTCCCCAATTCCAATTCACACTACAAGTGACAACCCCACACACAACGCCACCGCACTCCCCCTCAGGATTTATCCTCGCTGGAAAGGGCACTCGCTGATTCTGTGCTAATTTGATCTGATCTGTGCAGCTGAACAAAGTCATGCTCTTTAACAGAGAAGAAGCTCCGGGGGATACGAACTCCCATGGCCTTCCTACAAGGTACATTCCCCATTAAAGACAGGTAAAGTAACTCTGGGGATAAAGTACTGCCCTCACTCGAGATACCTTCCCCTTTGAGACACAGAAAATATCTTAAGTCTCTCCTCCACGCTGGGTGCATCGTGCAGAGATTAAAACTCCTGGACTGAATTTCGAAACGGTTAAGACACACAAACACACACACACACACATAAACACACACACACGCGCACACACACGCAAATACACATACATCCAAAAGCAACTATTACAACAGAAATTTGTAATATAAAAAAAAAACCCAAACTTGGCACAAAACAGAACACATTGGATGGAATCACATCGCTTTACAGAGAGGAGTGGTTTGTATAGTGGTTTTAGAAAGATCACACACACAGACACACACACACACACACCCAGCCTTAAAAATGTGCTTGACGCTTTTTCCTTTCTATTCAAAGTACGTACGCAAATTTGGCGGATTAATCAGTGCATCTCCGTTCCCAAAGAAAAAAAGTGTGTGTGTTATTTTTAATTTTTTTTTTTAAAATCTACGATCCAATTTTTTATTTGCACGTAACTGAGAGCGACGGCACTGAGCGGAAGGAGTGCAGGAGGACAGGTGCTGCTCTGGCCTGAGGTCAGGGAGGTGTCCTCTGGTCTTCAGTTCTTCAGCAGCGTGTCATAGACCTGGTAGACATAGTGCGATACCTCAGGAGCTCGGCATTTCAGAGACAACTGGTGGGGTTGGTTGTGTGTGGGGGCAAGGGGAGGAGGGGAGGGGGGGGAAGTGAGGGGAGGGGTGGGGGGCGGGGGAGGTAAAGGAAAGTCAGGTGAGAGAAATTGAGAGAAAGAAAGAAAAAAAACACAAACAATATAAGCAGGTCATCCAGTCAGTCCCAATCCTGCAATGACAGTCTCTCTCTCTCTCCCCTTCTCTCTCTTCCTGGGGATATCTTAATACCTTCCCGGGGATATTATCTCCCCTCTCTCCTTCTCTCCTTCCTCTCTTCCTACAGCAAAACTATCACTAGACGCACTTTAAACAAACCCGCAAACAAATTACGCCCTCACCCACCCCTCACTTGGCAGGTTTTATCCTTAAGCTGTGGGAGCATCCTTCAAGCCTGGCTTTGCTGTTAGTTCGACAAGCCCCATCAAGTGTTCATCAGCAGGTGTCGAGCTATATAATTAGAGACCGACGGTTTATTCCTGCCCCATCCCAACCCATCCCATCAGAATCTGCTGGGTTTGCCTGAGACACGTTGCCGTGAATCGAGACTCCCAAGGTCCTTATTCAAGGTCAAGAGAGTCATGGCAAGGGGGGCGTAGGGGGGTAGAGGGCACAGCTTGCAAAGGCAGCAGTGGGAAAGAAGGGTGAAGAGGCCTGGATGTAACTAGAGGCTGGTGGGGTGTAGAAGGCAGGTAGTGTGTGGGGGCAGTTTCGATGACGATGTGGATCTTTCCGTACACTGAAGAGGATTGGGCATCCGATGAGCAGTCATGGAATTTGGAAGCGACACCCAAATCGGGTCAAACTGCTGGGCATTTCGCTGCTCCTCTTTGCACCAGGACTTGGGTGTAGCCCCCACCACGCACCCCCACCCCAGGTCACAGGCACGACTACGTGCAATAATAAGTAATTGTCGAATGTGCTTAATGCATATTGGCATTAAGCACATTCGATCAACTTCCTGACGCCTTACAAAGGCTCATAGTTATGCAAAAGGCAATGTTCCTCCCGACACGATCCAGAAAGCAATCTTGAACGAGAGGGGACATTTTTTAACCTTTACAGCGTGCCTGCCTTGTGTACGAGAATTGCTTTGCAACAACGGCTGTGCTCAGCAATAATGAGGCCAAAACTCCCCGGTTCTATTCTGATTACTATTCTCCAAGGCAATAGGACTGAGACAGAATGACAGATACGGAGGTGGGGAGATCTCTTCTGAAGCATTATCTTTTTTGAAGCCAGGCTGCTGGTGCGTGTGTGTGTGTGTGTATGTGCTTCTCCTGTCACTGCTTAACCCGCAAGCCTTCTCACCGTGCCAGATAGGTGCCCAACTCACTCACCCGCTCATTCCCATCGGCCTCTCGCAGTTGAGCAAAGGCTGAAATTCTAACCGCTCAACTACCGAATACGCAGTCACTCCACTTTGCAATTTATCCTGTGAAGCACTTTGATGCGAGACGTCTCGACAACATGATAAGGTGAGATATCAATTGCAAGGATTATTATAGTAATTCGAACAATCTTTGCATTTGATACGGCGTCTTATCACGTCTTCAAGACGTTTCAACGCGCTTCACAGAATATACTGTAAAGTGAATTGACTGTATATTTAGTGGGCAAAATAATAATATTTATTACTATCATTAAATCCCACAAAAATCCGAACAAATGGCCTCCAAGGCTCTGACACGTGACTCCCTCCAGCACATGTCACCGATGGATGCTCTTACCGTGTAGTTGGGGTTCCCAGGTTGAATCCGCAGTTCTGCCAACATCCAGATGCCGTTGGTCAGTTTGAGGGACTGGTACAGCATGTCCTGGCTCTCCACGTTCCTCTTGGCGATGGTGAACACATTGCTGTTCTGCAGCTTAGTGGAAACGCTGTCTGCAAAGAGAAAACCCAGGCTAATTTACTGAACGGTACTCGCTGTACTCTGCAAGAGAAGATTAGGATCTCGGTTGTTAGTCGATTGGCAGATCGGCTTTCCGGGGGTAATAATTCCTTCATAAAAATATACTAGTAATAAATTAGTTGCTTCAATCCATGACTGTTTGTGGGGACGCTGCTGTGCGCAATTGACTGCCGAGTTTTGCCCATAAAATATACAATCAATTCACTTTACAGTACATTCTGTGAAGCGATTTGAGACGTCTCGAAGACATGGTAAAGGCGCTGTATCAAATGCAAGGATTATTATTATTATTATTAACTGCCTGGCGTTCTTCACACAAAGAATGTTCTGAACATGTTCAACCTCCCAGATACGTGGCCTTTGGTATCAGCGACGCTGTTTATTTGGGGCTGAGGAACAATATAAAATCCACTGATTCTCTCTTCTCTCTTTCCCCTTCCCCACCATCCACTTCAATAGAGTTTTCACACCCAAAACTCTCCGGATTGTGAATTCAATAGAATCTGCATGGACACTTGGCACAACCAACGGTAGGGTTATAGATACAAGGAACCAAATCTCTCCCCAAACCCTAGACTCTCAGATTATCCCTCCTCCCTTCACTTCAACAACAACAACAAATTACATTTGTATACAGCCTTTCACGTCAGGAGGATGTCCCAAGGCTTGAATGCCAAGATTTCACTCAAAATCAAACTTATTTGTTAATAATAATAACTTGGTCGTTTTTGGCTCTGGTACTGATCGTCGACAGATGACGACAGTGTTAAAGCCCAAAGCTCTACACCTGAGTTGTGGTGATGTAAACTGTGGAAGAGAAATTGTGGATTCCTCTCCGTCGCTAGGATCATTAGGAAGAATGTCAACACTGTAGTTTACGGCGGCTTCAGCTCTTATATCACCGTCCTAAAATGTATTTAAATTCTCTCTCGCTGGTTCCTTTCAGCGCCATCGCCGTGCTGAGCATATCATCAGTAATCTCTGCCACCGGCCGCTCATTACTTTAGCTGAACCACCTCATCTGATGCCAAAGCATTTTGTATTCATGAAAGCTGCTGCATGCTGAGTCTTGGCGGGTTCCTAAGCCGCACATTTAAACACTACGCGAGGTTATTTGTGGGTTCCTTTTAGAGTCGTCTTACCGGGTGCATTTGTGTGTGTGCACATGCACAGAATTCCACAGCACAGGAGGAGGCTATTTGCCTCTATCGTGTGGTTTGACTACGCTAACTCAGGACTTCCCAACTCTTCCCTCCACAAGCTGCAGATTATTCAGAACCCCGCAGCTCGTGTCCTCTCCCGCACCAGGCTCCGTGAGCCGATTTCCCCATCCTCGCCCGGTTTCACTGGCTCCTCCATCCCCCAGAGGATCGAGTTTAAAATCCTCCTCCCGGCTTTTAAAGCGCTCCATGGTCATGCTCCTCCCTATCTGTGTGACCTATTAACACCATTAACAACCTGTCCGCTCCCTCCGTTCGGCAGGCACTGGCCTGTTCCACGTCCCCCCTCTCCTCGCCCCCTCCCTTTCCTCCTTCAAGGCACGTCCCAAGACCTTTCTCCTTGACCACGCCTTTGGCCAACCTCCCGCCCACCCACCCCCTCGATTCCAACCCCCACCTCGGGTGCAAACCCTTGTCTGTCCAGCGCCTTGGGACGTTCTCCTGACGTGAAAGACACTGCGTAAATATCATTTTGTTGTTGTTGCACTGGTTCGCTGAAAGAGCTCTCAATTCAGTCTCCCTCATGTATTTTTCATCTATACAAATTTATGCAATTGCCTTTTAAGAGCCATTATGAATTCTGCTTCAACCAGTGATTTTTTTTGTAGGGCATTCCATGTCACAATAACCTCTATTAAAAAAACAACAAAAAGCCTTCTTTAGTGGTTGCGTCAACCTCCACTGTTAAGAGCTTCGAGACGTGAAGGCATTATATAAATTCAAGCTGTTGTTTTATTACACACTTGTTTGTGTGGGTGCGTGCGTGCAAAGCAACAAAAAAAAACTTATGACTAGAAAGAGTTGCGGGCGCTTTTCCCTCACCAGACCCCACCCCAACACACACACAGACACACATATACACACACACACACCAAATTGGCCAGAAACAATTATACAAAGTAAATGTCAGGAAATGATTCAAAGCCTCTTATCCATCTCAGAGTGTAGGTAGTTTTCATAAATCATTGAAGTCATCTGAGCTGTGCAATTACATTACAAGTATGCTTCTCTCTCTCTCTCTCTCTCTCTCTCTCTCTCGTGCTATTCCAGAAATACTGAACTAAAGCACGTTTTTTTTTAAAATATAAAAAAATCTCTTTCATCCCTTCCTAATTGGACCCGGCTATTCTTATCCCACTTTGTACAAGAGATGAACAGCCCCTTTGCGAATGAGATGACGACAGAATGAAACTAATGCATTTTTGATGCTTTCGGCTGCAGGCAGGATAATCACAATAATAAAAATAATAAATTCTCTTGTTGAAGAGATGAAGGTTTTGGCAGCTCACTTCGAAACAACGGACTGGCAATAATCCACTCCGTCAGTCAACTTCAAACACTTAACCCCCCTCCCCCCAGAACAACGTGCCTTTGGCACTGGTCAAAGCAAACACATTGGTGTCACCTTGGCTCAGTTGCTGGCACTTGCCTTGGGTCAGAAGAGAAGGAGGAAGGAAAGGGAGTGTTATGGGCCTTTGTGCTTGTTGAGACATCTCGCAGCACTTCACAAGGCAAGCGCTACCAAGTGTAGCGACCGTATTTATAGCCAAACACGGCCGGCGATTTGCTTGCAGCAAGGACCCACAAAACAGCTGGAAGGTGAGCGGCTAGTTTATCTGTTGGCCAGTAATAAATTGGTCACTCAGTCCACGGCTGTTTGTGGGGACGCTGCTGTGCGCAATCGGCTGCCGTGTTTCGCCCACAAAATATACAGTCAATTCACTTTACAGTGTATACGCTTTGAGACCTTTCAAAGGCAGGATAAGGCGCTACATCAACTGCAAGGATTATTATTATTGTTGTTACTGTACACTGAGAGCAATGTCCTCCTGCTGAATAGGGTCACAGGGCATTTAATGTCCAAATAAAATAATTTCACGTCTCATTCGAAGGACCGCACCTTCGACAAGGCAGCGCTGCCCCAGTATTGTGGTGGAGTGACAGACCAGAGTGTTGGGCGTACAATCTCCTGACTGGCAGCTGGATACGCTGGAGTGGTACCAACTGAGCCCAGTTCGACAGCGAGAACCATCGCTTGATATTTAAAAAATAAACCAGCGAAAGAGGGAATTAAAGGACCATTATTCTGCACTGCGGAGTACAAGTAATGAATGTCATGATGTGGCTCACTTATCCGCGAAAGGCACCATTAGCCACGGAGGCAAAAAAAAAAAGGGAACCAAGATCAGGCAACGCAGAGCCTTTAGTTGTGCTCGACGGCAGCATCGAGGCTCTGCTGTCTCACTCAAACAGTTATTTACAGCTCAGCTCTCTGCACCGAGCCCCAAGAACAGGTCACGCCACTTCATGTCATCTCTGTTTCATCCATCTCCCCCCTCCCCGCTCTCTCGCCTTCCTCTCTCCCTCCCGCTCCCCGCACTCCAAACCAGCTTCCTACACTGCGACAGCCATCGCCATGACAACGGTCAGCTCACAACCTACAGTCGGTCGGTCGGTCGGGGCTGAGCGAGAGCGGGCGGTCTTCTCCTGCTGTGAACGAGCTAATCTAGTCTTTCTCCGGGAGGTGAAGCCCCTCGTCCTGCCAGCTCAACCCGTCTCCCAGTGGAAGCTCAGATCTTCCCACTGTTTGTGAGAACCACAAAAATATATATATTTTTTTTTACACACACCAGTAACCAGATTAGGGATCTCGCATATTGCCAAGAGAGAAGCTCTCATCTGTAATTTGTCACCCACTTTCTGGCTCAATACAATTCCATATATATATATAAATAATAATAATCCTTGCATTTGATATAGCGCTTTTCACGTCGGGAGGACGTCCCAAAGCGCTTCACAGAACACACTCTAAAGTGAATTGACTGTATATTTGTGGGCGAAACGCGGCAGCCAATTGCACACAGCAATGTCCCACAAACAGTCGTAGATAGAAAATGACCAATTTATTATTGTTTTTGGTTTTGGAGGGATTATTATTAGGCTCTGTGTGGAGTAAGGAAACTTGCCCAAGGTTTCGCCCTCTGCCTGGAATTGAACTCAGGTCTCTCACTTGCAAAGCGAGTGCTCTAACCACTGAGCTACAGGATATATATTATTATTATATCTACAGTATACAGCATTCTAAGAGCTGCTATAAAAACAGTAAAATAATAATAATCCTTGCATTTGAAGTAGCGCCTTATCACGTTGTTGAGACGTCTCAAAGCGCTTCACAGGATACACTGTAAAGTGGAGTGACTTGTGTGTTTTGTGGGCGAAAGGCTGCAGCCAAACATTTGACAAAAAAAAACATTTGAGCTCATTGACCCTAAAGCTTCCAGTCCATGCATAATTCTGGCCGGCAAGGACCCTGTGCCAGTTAATGAAGGAAGGCTTACGTAAACCTAAAATTTGCCAAAGGTTGTGTCCGTGTGTGTGTGAGATGTACGAGCAAAATGATTCATGTTAGGGATGACAAGGCTGCCTGTGGGTCATACTTGGGGTCAGGATCTATGGCTGAACAGATGCTGTTTCTTCTGTAATACAGTGCATTTCCCCCCCCCGGACTATTCTTAACATAAAGGGTCTCTCTCTCTTTCTCTCACACACATTGCTGTGTGCGCTTTGACAGAACAACACAGCGTCTTTACATATTCATTGCTCCGCTGTGCAAGGCGACCGTTCAAATGCTTTGTTTTGTTATGTTTCAAAATATGTTCCCAAGTATCCGAGTGGCGGCCCTGATGAATATTGATAAATTCCCGCAAGGGAAGGCACGGGAAAAGCTACCCCAGGGGAAAAGCGGTGGTTTTGGACTTGAAGCAAGTTGCAAGGCTGCAAAACATTTGACAATGATGTTTCTGCGCTGCTGCTCACAGTGTTTAGCATTGAGATAATTGCTTCAAGCTCCTGGTCGCAAATCGGCGCATGGAGGGCTGACTGTACAGAGACAGCCGTTGAGACACTTCAGCGGAGATTAAGACAAGCTGCTTGCATTAGAGAGATATCTGCTAACAACCGGCAACAGAAGGAGCTGGTGATAGCAGTGACAATGCGCACTTATATAGTGCTTATCAAATCAGGTAGACACCACAAAACACCTAAAGGGTGTGACTGGAAAAGGGCGGAGGGAGATAGATTCTGCTCAGGGGACTCTGGCCTGTCCCACGGCCCCTGTCCTGCCCTACCTTTGGAGGTCAGACCTTCGGAAGTCCACCCTACAGTCCCTCCGCCTCGCCCCCTCCCTTTCCCTCCTTCGAGGCTTGTCTCAAGACCCTCCGCTTTGACCGCAGCTTCAATCACCCCCTAACCCCACCCTTCCCGATCCTTCAGGCTGTGTTTCTTCTGGTTCGTACATGGAACACCCGCATTGTGTGTGTGTGTGTGTGTGTGTGGAGAGCACGTGCACAGCTAGAAAAACAGAGCTGCGATTTAGAACTCGCGAAGTACCACAAAAGCGCTCCCAAGGTACAGCTTACAGAGGTTTTTACGGTTGTGGATTTCGTACCGCAATGTGAACAGGGAGGAGCTAATGGCACTAGGGACTGCAAGGCTGATTCCACATGAAGCTACTTTGCGGTTTTTCTCCTCTCCTCTCCTCATCCATCCACCCCCCACCCCCACCATCGCTGGATGCGGTAGGAGAAGCTGGCTGCAGTGAGGGGCTGATGTCTTTATTACAAAGTGGATTAGCATGCAGACAGCTCGCACGGCAATCAACACTCATGCTTTACAGGGTTTTATGTTCTAATGAGTAGCTTCAGCTGTCGAAGGGATAGCGAGGAGTTACATTCAGCGATGTGCTGTGATCCATCAATCACACCGAGAGCCACACAGCTTTCTCATTAACTTATATTTCGCCAAGACGCAAGTGTAGGTGTGGAACAGAAAAGGGCAATCCCCTGAAACCCATCTAACGGACAATAACTTCTGTTCCGTCCTCCTCACTCATCTCACAATGCCACATTGTGCCTGCGGGCAGACAAGCGAAAAAACAAAAGAATCAATCATGTCTTCTGTCAGCATTCTCTTACTGGGACTGTTCCCCAATTCAGATCTGTATGGGCTGCCTGGGCTAGTGTGCCCTTTGTGTCACACTGCCTTTCTGCCTTAACGTGTGGTCTCAACTTAGAAATTCGTAATTTTAGCGATTAGCGATTGCTTAGCATTCACAAGCACACATGCGCTCGCACACACACACACACACACACTCGCATATAGCCTAAGCTTTCTTCCGCCATCTCCCCCAAACAGATACTAATAATAATAATCCTCACATCTTTCAGACGTCTCAAAGCTCTTCACAGAATATACTGTAAAGTGAATTGACAGTGTATTTTGGGGGCGAAACTCGGCAGTCAATTGCCAATTGATGAGGGTTTTGCGGAGGCGACAGAGCTTATAAATGGACAAAATGAAAAAGGAAGGCATAATGTGGAAAGATTGCGCCTTACTGCTGAATGCGATGCCAAAATGATATCAAAATACAGTGTGTAATTAGTCCCTTGAATCCATTAACACACAAACATTTCTTTTTAAAGAACTTATTAGCAGGCTGTGCAATTACAGTCTGATTGCGATACAAGAGCATGTTAATTTCATTCTTGAACAAACACATTTCGAACCGGCATTCCTTCCTGCTGGGTCTGAAACCGTACGCGAGAGAAAATAAAAATAACAGTGCTGAATTTCGGGATACTTGCAAAATATGTAAATTTGACAGTCTTGCTAATGCCCTATATTCAGTATAGAGGGAGGGTAGAGCCCAACATGTCTGCTGTTACTGCTGCTATCTTGTTTATTCGCTGTGCTTTCGCCCACAAAACACACAGTCACTGCACTTCACAGTATATCCTGTGAAACGTTTTGGGATGTCCTCCCGACGTGAAAGGTACTAAATGCAAGGGTTGTTATTATTCACCATGTATTCAATCAATTCAATTCAAACAATAATAATTTATTCACTCAATCCACGACTGTTTATGGGGACGCTGCTGTGTGCAAGTGGCTGCCGCAAAATACACAGTCAATTCACTTTACAGTATATTCTGTGAAGAGCTTTGAGACCTGATAAGGCAATAGATCAAATGCAAGGATTATTATTATTATTATTATAATCCCACTTTCTAGCTCTTTCTCTTAATATTTTTATTGCTCGGGTGCTTTTCCAGTTGCCTATTAAATATTCTATTGATCCAGCCTCGGTCGCCCACTGTGGCCACGAGCCACAAAACCCGAAAACTCGCTGAATGAAGAAATTCCTTCCAACGTTTTATCTGATCTTCCTGCTAAGAATCATTCAAAGCTCGAACAGTACAGCAGGTGCTGAGCACATCTGGTGGAAGGAAATGGCGTGCTTTCGATTAAAGATTAAATGAAGTCTCCCGTCTGAAAGGTTTGCGCATAACGTTTATCATCCATCCACGGAAGTCAAGAGTCAAACAAGATTGGCCTGCGTCAACTTTGCCACCCCTAAATTACTGTAGTGAAAGGTTAACGCCTGAGGGACTAACCTACCCAGAGGAGAATAATGGGACAGGTCGCTGGAAATCTCATGAGAACTTGATGCACTAAATTAGGCAATAAATTGGCTTTAATTTAAAAATGCTCCATCCTTCCTTCCTTTCTCTCTCTCTCTCTCCTCAAAGCCCTTCTTTGTCCAGAGGTACAGCTGCACCACAGACTCGATCATTGGCCAATTTGCACCCCGCACAATGAATCCACAGGGAAGCCTTCTCAGGTTATTTGGATACCAACCAACACCGACAGAGTCCCTTTAGGCACCTTCTCTGTGCATGTCCTCGTACCACCCTGTCCTCTAACAGAGGTTTGCTGATAGATAAAACAGAACTGCAGTCACCAAGGACTAAATGAGCCTGAGGAATGAATCGCATCCACTGCGGTGAAGACTCAAATCCATTCATTCATTCATTCACACCTACTTTGCAAAAATCTTTTGCTCGTTTTCAACAATAAGGAGGTGAAGAATGATGCTTCGCACACAGGCTCAATTATCATTATAATAATCCCACTTTCTAGCTCTTTCTCCTTAATATTTTTACTGCTCGGATGCTTTTCACATTATCACATCTGTTACGAAACGTCGCATTTTTCACCCTCCCCTTCCCCTCTCCTAAGAATTGTTGGAAGGAACGGTCAGACCTTCTTGAATTTTACTTTTGGTTCAGTATTTTATTGTCTCAAGTGTATTTACTCTTCAGATGCCGAGCGTGTTGGGAGCGCTGGGGGGAAACGAAGGGTTATGAATAAGTGATGCATTGTGGTCTTATGGCATGTCCTTCAGAACATTAACAGCAGTGTAATACACAAGACTCTCCAAATTGGGAAAAGAAGAGCTTAACTGCAGTATCCTCTGAGATAACGCTGCCACCTCCTTAAGACAATGTTTCGGGGAAGGCAACACGCTCCTCTTATCCAATCAATCAGTGCAGAGATGGTGAGAGATTACAGTTTGAATGAATCTTAGCCCCTTAAGTGAAATTTTGCCCGTCAAAGTGGAACCCCCCCCCGGCCACTTAGTTACTGCAGAATTACTGTACTGATGCACCAAGTCAATACAGGTGTAATAAAGAGGGCTGGCTACTCAGGCAGCGGCAGAAAACAAACATCTAAATAGGCAAACTTCTGCAACAAAACGCGCAATTTGTTTGATGATGCGCTGAACTTTGACAGCACCCAGTATTTGACCCTTAACCAAAAGTTGGCGTTTTAGTCTCCTCTTCAGTGAGAGAGAGAGATCTTTTCAGAGGCACATTTCCAAAGATTTTTTTTCCAGGCACCTCATTGGAAAATAAAACATAAAAGCATTTTGTAATTTCCTAAAGAACAGTAAGTTCCGAGGGGTTCAGCAGTAATGGAGCACTACAGACCTGAATGAAAACTTTCAATACATTTTTAAAAATCTCACTGTAGGGTTACCGATTCAAAGCCTTCAGGACACCAGGTATAAGTTCACTCATTATCCACAAGCAGCTATGAAACTGTAATGAACAGTGACAACATTCTCAGCCACCGTCTTGGAAATTCTCCATCCACAATCAGCCCCGCTCACAGAATTACTGCAACTCACAATTCATAAATGGGATGTGTAATTTTACCCCTTATCCGAGGTCAGATCCCAGGAAGTATTTCTTTACCCGGAGAGTAATTAATGACTGGTTATGAGTAAACACACGGGGTGGTCGAAGCCAGGATGCTGGACTGGTGTAATTAGCAGCTTGATGCTGTAAAGGGAAGATGGTAGGTTAAATAACAACATGGAGCCAACTTCACCCAAGCTTCTCTTGCAATCTAGTTGCGTTCAAAATAGCATGGAGCAAATTAGCTAACTCAAGCTCAGAAACAACAGGAGAGAATTATGAGCTCCTGTGTTGGCTCTAACCCATAAGCTTCTGACTGAGAGAACGTCATCAATTGAGGCAAATCAATCTTTTTGCTTTCACTGTGATAAAAAAAACATTGCAACGGATGCTGATTAATGTCAGGTTATTGTGCTTTTAATCTCAGGTTAATGATACCCTGCTGATTCAGGCAAGGTGTTTGTTTGTTTGTTGACTCCACTGACACACGTTTTTTTTCAGGTGTTACTCACTTACCTGCGTTTAAGTGGCAGTCCTTAATCTGAAACTGAAGCTCATTCTCATTGGGGATGTCCTTCCACGTAGCCAGGAAAACTTGTCGCTCTAGGTGAAAGATCAAAGCCACTGTTAGAAGGAGCAAGGGTTTGTTGGGATGTGACGAGGCCGATTGTTAACTATAATAATAATCCTTGCATTTGATGTAGCACCTCATCACGTCTTTGAGATGTCTCAAAGCCCTTCACAGAATATACTGTAAAGTGGATTGACTGTATATTTTGTGGGCAAAACGCAGCAGCCAATTGCGCACAGCGACGTCCCCACAAACAGTCGTGGATTGAGTGACGTTTTTATTATTTTGTTTTCTTTCAATCTGAGATTGGCGCTCTGAGACGCTACCCTGCTACGTAAATGAAAGTTATTTATGTACTCTGGATTATTATGAGAAAAGCAAAATAAAATGAAAAGGTCTCTGGATGTTCCAACTGGGCAGTAGAGAACAGGAGATGATGGGAGATGCTCAGACTGTGTCAGTTGATGAGCAGCTGGAAACATGAGGTGTTGTACAGAGAGACCAGCAGGCGCTACGACGCATGAAACCACAACCCAACACAGACACAGGTTGCTGGCTTCACACCATCTGCTTTGGAGACTTCAAACCCGACCCGGGTGGAGTGGGACGGGTGGGCTGGAGGGGTCAGTCAGTCGTCAAGAGGAAGCCAGGAGCTCCTGACTTGAAAACTGCGAGTGTTACAATTTTGTCTTTCAAAAAAACATTTAAAAAAAAGCAATAAAAAGATGCAAAAGAAAATTGAAATCTTATTTTCTCGAGCATCCGGCAAGGCTGGTACTCTTGGATTCTCTGAAATCACTGACGAATTTGCATAGGCAAAAAAGAAGCCCATTGTTTATAAAGCTGAAAACGCAGTGATTGCTATACATTTTGCTGCCGGAAACCAACAGGATCTGCATGAACATCAGCGCTCCTTGGATTTCCATTTCAAAGCCCCCAGAATTTACATAACATCAGGCAAATTAACACAGCAATGCGCCAATTAGCACATTTCACTGCAGTCATTCAGCCCCGATAGTAAGATGTAAAATCTAGACTCGATCTGCTTCCGAAAAACGGGGTAGAAAGAAAGGTCAAGGTTTTCTGAAGAGTTAAATGTTAACATGCCACTCGGGCTCTCTTTCTGGTGCCAATTTGAACGCCTGTGACTTTCAGATTTTATGTTTCAGGTCTCCGTTTCTCTTTTCGTCTCTCAGCGAGGACAGTCGCTATCTATACAAACCAAAGCTCTGCTCAATTCTCGTAGGGTTTATTACCCCCAATCCGCCAGTTGACTAACAACTGGGCTCCTACTTACAGCTGGGCAAATAGAGGCGTGTGTGTGTGTGTGTGGAGTAAGGAAACTTGCTGAAGGTTTCGCCCGGCCCGGGAATCGAACACGAGTCCACACGCTAACCACTCAAGCACTACGGGAATCCCATAATCAAGACCAGTAAATCCAGCAGTGTGTAGGAACATTGGCAAACGGTTTATAAAATAGGACCGGCTATTGGGCCAAACCCAACCAAATTGAAAAGGCCGGGGTCTCGGAATAGAGCAAGATGAGGTCAGTGGCTGCACAACTGTTGGTGGACCATTACTCACCCATTTTCCCATCCTCCACGAAGAGCACGCTGAGCGGAATCAGGCAGCTAAAGTAGAAGACATCGATGTTGTTCTTTACAGCCACCTGGAATTACACCAGAGCCAGTGTTAGCATTAGGGTGTGTGTGTGTGTGTGCGTTGTGGGGAGGGGGAGGGATTGCTGACCCCCTTCCCTTTACTGGCAGCTCAATTTCTCTTCCCTCCCCCATCCCCCAAATTAGCGGGCTGCTATTCCACTCTTCTCACCGCTCTGCTGTGGACAAAAAGCAAAGGAATGATAATACATCTCAGCTTGGTCTGCACATCCTTAGAGCAAGTATGCGTCCTGCCGAGCGAGGCAGGGTTTGGAACTGTGTCCCTTGCCAAAATGATACTGACACTCGGTATTGGGGTGTGTGAATGTGTGTGTGTTCGTGAGAGAGAGAGAGAGAGAGAGAGAGAGAGAGAGAGAATAAAAGCATTGGAGGACTATTTCCCCGTTTTTATAAAGAATGAAATATCCCACATCCAAATGTGTACAAATTCAGTCAGCTAAGTTCAGCTCAGAAGCAATGACAAAATAATAATAGCTGTCAAAAGGGAGTTAGATAGGTACTTAAAAAGGAAGAATTTGCAGGGGTAAGAGCAGGCCTCCTTCTGTCTGTAAAATTCTACGAAACAAAGACCGAGGATATAAGACAAAGAGCAGAAAGCAGATTTCCGAAGCAAAAAAAAATCAGATTCCGAAATGACTTTCATTTCTTTTTCGCTCGGTACTCAATCTGCAGTTGGTCTCGCACCACCTGGCACAATCGTGGTTTGTTAATGAAAACTGTATCCCACTCTGAATGTCAGCACTTTGTGTCCTAATAGAGACTCACCCGGTCAGACTTTCTTTTACATAGTTTCTCTGCTCCTACCTAGCCCACCTTCCACAGTCAACCATCTGTAACCAACACAAATCAATGAAGGTTTCCAGCGCCATTATATAATCTGACGTGACAAGTGACAAATCGTTTAATATGATTGCTGAGATAACTTAACTCTTTCGAGACTACAGTTTTCTTCACTGTTGTCATTCACCATTGCTCTCAGCCCTAAACGGCCATCGAGTGGACCCGAGGTTTGCCAACGTCTGACCTCTTGCCTGTTAAAGCTTGTAAATTGCACGGGTTGAGGTGGGACTGGAGTGCTCAGGGCTACTGCCCAGCCACAGCAATAACAGTGCAGTTTCAATAAATGCGTGCAGTTTCATAGCTGCGCTGCCTTCCATCTACTGCTTCCCTTCTGACCAGCAATTTTGTTCCGTCTTATTCATAGATCTAACCTAGGCAGTCAAGGGTGCACCCCCGTAGGTTAGGAACAGTTTTCACATACCAGCATCAAGTTATTTCTTAAATGATTCCAGTACCTTGGCTTCCAATACTCGTCCTGGTCCCCTGTACTAACTGTTGATTAACCTCTGTGTAAAGAAATACTTCTCAGTGTCTGACCCAAATGTGCCTTTCATCTCAGCCTTCTTGCCCTGCTGCTTTGGCGTATCCAACATATTGTTCTGGATTTCCCTTGATGTATCTCCTCTATAGTTCTAAAAGAGACACCTCTTTTGAACTTGCTGTGCCATCGCATCGACTGTCCCAAGTATTACTATTTTATGACGGCACTATTCGAAAAAGCAGGGAGTTTCTCTCTCCTGGTGTCCTGGCCAAAAATACCCCAAATAAAATTGGTTGCTCACTCCATAGCTGCTTATGGGACATTGCTGTTCACAATATTGGTTGCCGTGTTTTGCCCACAAAATACACAGTATTTACAGTATATTCTGTGAAGCGATTTGAGAAGTCTCAATGACATGATAGGGTGTTATATCAAATTCAAGGATTATTATTATTACTTCCCAATTGTGGTGATTGAAATTGGGAGAGGTTATGTGTAATATCAATGTATCTAGGTTACGTTCAACATCAACACTTCTATATTTGGACCAAACATTGCTCAGAAAAGTGAGCTATTCTAAGCTGTAACATCTTGTCCTTTCTCCTCCCCTCACCCCCCAACCCTCCCCAAAAAAGCATATTGAAAAATCTCTCATTTATAAACATCCTCTCTCTTAACTTAATCTCAAATGGCCTTCATTGAGGAAAAAGGTCATACAGCATTATTCTGAGCAGGGCAGGCTGTGAATAGCAAGCCTGCTCTTTCAGCCTCCATAAATTTTAATCTGTGAATGTAGTCAATTCCATTTACTGTGCCTGAGAAGTGAGATTTCGGTTATGTGGATAGGAACGGAAAAATATCCTAATCATCAATGTGTTTCATATCGTGCCTAGAATAATAATAATCCTCCCGTTTGATATAGCACCTGATCACGTCTTGAAGCGTCTCAGTGAAAGGACTATAGTTTGTGGGCGAATATCAAAACGTCTCAAAGCTTCACAGTGAATTGCTATCAAGTGTAGTGACTGTTAGGCAAAAGCGGCAGCCAATATGCACGCAGCGATGCCCTCACAAACAGTGGTGAAGTGAATGACCAATTTATCTGCAGGATTGTTGGCCAGAACACTGGGAGAAAATCCCTTCTCTTTTCCAATAATATCCACGGGATCTTTCAACATCCACCTGAAAAGGCAGACGGGGCCTCGGGTTAACATCTCATCCGAAGGACGGCACCAAGCAGCTTCACATTACACGAAACGTCCACACTAATAAATAGAAATGGATGGGCTGGCTGATTACAATGGCAAGGCTGTGATGAATTACTTCATTATTCAATCCCATGGAGCCGGTTACTGTATAAAAACATAATCACTGATGTGTAAACACTTGGCAGTGTCAGATCGACTCCGACATTTTGTGCATACCGCTGCTCACTGGTTGCCACTCACAGACTCCCCTGTATAACCGATGCTCATTAACACAACGCGCCTTTTAAATCCGCAACGCAACGCTTCTGGTTGCCCTGCCACTTTGGGACAGTGGAAATCATTGCATTATATCTCAATGACATCTGCAATTATCTAATAATTGTCTGCTGTAATTCAAGTCCCCACCCCCGCCCCCCACCCCATAATAAATGTTCGATGGAAGCAGAGCATTTGACGAATCAAACAGCTTTGCCCGCAGAGATCACAGAGATTTCAGATATCATTAAAGCAAATAAACCTGAATGAGAAAGACAGACCGTGTTCAGAAAAGAACGGTTTCTCACTTCGACGACTCTTTGTGGGGGTTCACAGCCAACCCGTGCTCCCCAGCAGTTACAGTGACTGCAGAAACTAATTCAATTTCCAGATTAAAAGTGAAATGTTTAGTAATAATAATAATCCTTGCATTTGATACATCTCAAAGACCAGATTTATTACTTACTGTTAGGTAAGTGCATGTAGAATGTTAAGACACACGAGAGCTGCCCCAAGTCTAACGTGGGCTGAGTTCAGATCGCAAGGCGAAAACCGAGGGGGTTATTCACTGGCTGCTGGCTGTCTCTTACCTGAAGATTGTTCAGCGGATCCATTTTCATCACTGGCCCGATGGTATTGAGTGGCAACGAGATGTCGATGCTCTGATTAGGCATCATTGGAGTGTGAATCGGGAGCGGAGTGGTGGGGATCACCCCAAAACTGCAAAAGGAAAAGCCAAGTCAAGAGCAGTGTCACTTTCCTCAATGGGTTTCCTCTCTCTTCCCTCCCACATCCATCCCCCCAACACACACACAGACACACACACACAGACGCACCCCTCTCTCAGTGCTGAGATGTCGGGGAATACAAGCACAAGCCACCGCCAACACTATGCCACTGTACAACAACAACTTGCATTTATATAGCGCCCCTCACACAGGGTCAGGTCCCAGAGCACTTACCAGACCACTACAAATCAGGATTTACCTTCAAATCCCCTCACATTCTTACCCTCCCAACCCTCTGCCGTCTCCTCCATTTTCCCTTTCTCTGTTCTATCCATTGTGCTCTAATGACTGATCGACATCGAGAACAACAAAATTACATTTGTAAAGCGCCTTTCACGTCGGAAGGACATCCCAAGATGCTAGACAGACAGAATTACGGACATCAACTGCTTGCTCCCCAGCCTCCTCCGTCCAATAATACGTGACTGAGCCTCAGTCACTATGTCCCCTTCACTCAAACTCTCTCTTTGTCCTCTCCAAAAAAAAGCAATCGTTTTGACCATGTCCAATTTTAAGGTTGCTTTTCACTCCTGACGCACGCAATGTGAAACTAGACTGAATTCAACTGATATCCCGGTCGGTGGCTAGATTTAATGTCACCCAGACAGATGCATGATTCATGTCAACGTTTCATCGCATGGCTTCAATGCATCCCAATTCCACGACCTACACAAGTGAATTCATATCCGAGTTAGACTCCGTCAGGCTGGAAGATTGACACTGATTAAGCGGATTTAAAGCGTGTGTAGATGTTGAAACGTGCTGAGCACTCTATATCCTCTACAATGCCTGAGCAAGCAGGGCAGAGCACTGAGCTTTGGGAGGGGAAAAAAAGACAGACAACTGGAGCACAAACGTGGCACATTGTATAAATTGCCTCCCTCACACCAACCCTCATTTAAAACTGTGCTTTTGACAGGCATTGCTTGGGGGCTTTCCTGTGTGCATGTTAGCTGCCGAGTTCACCTACAAAATACACACAATCACATCACTTTACGCTATATCCTGCGGAGCGCTTTGAGACGCCTCGACATCGTGATAAAGCGATATACAAAATGCAAGGGTTATTATTTTCAGGACTCAGCGACCGACTGAGCCAGCGTGTTGGGCACTACATAAATGTACTATATAAGTTGTTGTAATGCCTTTCCTATCAGGAGGACATCTCAGAGCCTTTCCACAGGATGCAATGTGCTTCGACTGTGTATTTTGCAGGTGACCTATTTCAGTTCCCGATTTTGTGAAAAACAAAATGATGTAGCTTCACAAGATTCCCTTCATTCTGCTCTGATGACAAGAAAACAGAACATCTTGAGCCTTAAAATTGCATTCGCCGTTACGGGATTACAACAGGCAGGAATGATATTGCAGTCAGGCAGGCAGTTCTCCTGTGGCAGCGGTTAACATGAATAACATGAACAGCTTTCACCACATCCCCGGCAGAAAGCAACTCCGCCAGAAAATTAAGTAGCTCAGAGGAACTCAGTCAAAAAATAAATTTTAAAAAATAATAATTTGGTCACTCAATCCACGATTGTTACAATATATCCTGTGAAGTGCTTTGAGACATCTCGAAGACGTGATAAGGCGCTATATCAAATGCAAGGATTATTATTGTTACAATTCAACAACTGGTACAAATGTAAAGCCCACTGTGTTTATTTCAGGTTTATACCTTCCCTGACATCGTCGACAGCTAATGGATTCCCTGTTAACACTCAGCTTTCATAAACTCGAAAATCCTCCACCTGAGTTTCGATTTCACTGACAAAATTGCATTTGTATTTCCCACTTCTCACAAGAGCTACTGTACTCAGCGCAAGGATCATTATATTGTGTTTTCTAATAAAAACACGAATCCAGCAGCAAGGGTGAGAGGCTGAAAACGCGGGATTGTGTGAGTGTGTGTTTGTGTGTGAACGCGATCTGCCAATCGACTAACAACCGGGTACCTACTTACTGGTAAGTAAATAGAGACATGTGGAGTAAGAAAACTTGCCTAAGGTTTTGCCTTGCCCGGGAATCAAACCCGGGTCCTCTCGCGAGCACGCTAACCGCTATGCTACGGGACTCCAGTATAACGCTGAACTAGTCCTGAACCTCTCACACCCACACCAAATATTGGAAACAATTTCCAACAGCAATTCTGTACTGAAAGAGGATCCAGGACTGAAGATACCCGACTTGGATAATGTTAATGACCGTTATTTCTGACACAGCCACTTTGCAGCCGGTTACACAACCAACGCAAGCTCAATTTAGTGATTTCAAATGTCAAGGCTTCACTGTCAACGAGAGGGGATACATTTTCTGTGTCTAATGTTTTTTCTCTCTCTTTTTTTAATATAAAACAAGCTCACATTACTGTCTCTCCTATGGAGAAAAGGACAAAATGGGAGCTGGATTGCTGCATTTGCAGACGAGACCCTGTTATTATTGTTCATCTCGGATTATATGGAGGCAGCCAGTGAGAAGCACTCAGCTTGACGTCAACAGTGGCCTCAGTCAGATAGTGGCATCAGTCACTGGTGATTGACAGCTTTTTCATTGGGATGTTGATCTGAAACTGTCATTCCTTACCCAAGCACAGCTAAGCCTGTGTGAGAAGACCATTGCTTTAATCCTCTACGAATAGAAAAGCATCAGCACCTTCGCTGCAGTCTAGCTCGTGGAACCAGCATTGGCTTATGAATCTAACAGAAGTTAATTTCCTTGAAGGCATTTTGAGGTTGACCGGGTTTGACAACCTGGAACCCACACAGTCGCTGTTGCAGGAGTACTGCAAACACAACCAAGGACAAACAAATCCCAATTGCTTTAATAGAACAGTCATCCACCAACAACAACAAATTACATTTACCCAGCGCCTTTCACGTTGGAAGGAGTTCCCAAGGCGCTGGACAGTTAAGCATTTTTGTACCCGAGCTGGTGGGTTGGAATCAAGAGGGTTGGAGGTTAGGGGAAGGGGAGTGTGGGTAGGACACTGGCCCGATGGCAAGGTCAAAGAGGAAGGTTCCACTTTCTTACCTGTTTTTGTTAAACTGAATGGCAAAGTCAATCATGTGCTGCAAGGCCTTGTTCGTGAAGGTCATATCCATGTAGATGTGACCCTGTCGTCGAGAGAAGGTGCCGGAAATCTCCAGGCCTTTGGCCTTCATGGCGGGCAACCACACCTAAAAGCCACGAGCAAAGCAGGTTTCAGCTTCTGCATCCAGGGTAACAACAACAACAACTTGCATTTATACAATGCCCCTCCACACACCACCAATCAACAAAACTAATCCATACAAGTTGGATTTGTGCATGTGTGATGAGTACTTTTCATTTTGTAAGTGTAGCGGGCTCCAGTGGTGCACAAAGGATAGAGCCCTCGTGAATTGCAGAGCAAAGCAGCGAGTGCCACCTGGTGGCTCTCTTGGTATAGATTTAAATCAACCATCACCCAACGACCCATTTAAAGCTTAAAGCGAGACGGACAGGGCTGTGCACGTCAAAACATTCAAATCAGATCTCCTGAGTGAAGGAATATCAAACCTCTGCAGCCAGGTCACTTTTGGGGAAGGAGAACTGAGAGAAATATTGACAACCCCCTTACTGATTCCCACAGTCATGAGTCGTAAAAGTTTTATGACTGTCGGGCACGTTGAAAGCCGATATCACAGAAACTGAAGTGGCTCAAAAGGGTCCATGAATCACTGAAGCAGCTAATGATCTGTCGTGACCGTGTTCTTAAGACGACCATTGTTTCTCGCTGCAACATCAGTGACTTACGGCTTTAGGTGCTACGTAACCCCCGGAAGTGATTCCCATTCCAGTGGACAGTTCGAATAGATCATTCAGGCCACTGCTGCACACGGCCGGGGTGGGCGAGGGTCCGAAGGTGGCTGGCACGGATGAAGGTATGAAGCTTTGGCCAACCTGTGGCAGAAAGAAACCCTTAGAATAAAAATGCAACAATGGAAAATGAGCAACAACAACTTACATTTATATAGCGTCCATCACACGCGTACCGGAGCGCTTGACAGTGGCGGAGTCTGACCCAGAGCCAGCGGGGGGGGGGGGGGGGGGGTGAGAACGGGGAGGTGGCCGTGAGCACGATCATCAAGGAAGGTCTTTAGGCGGAATTTGAAAGTGGGAAGGGAGGGGGGGCGAGGCAAAGGGATTTAGGGAGAGAGTTGCAGAGTTTCGGGGCGCAGTGGCTGAAGGCACAGCCACCGATGGTGGAGAACAGGCGGGGGGTGGGGGAAGACAAGGCACGAACAGGAGCCTAGAGCCAGTCGAGCAGAGGCGGGGGGGATAAGCAAGATAAGATAAGTAAGCCTTCCATGATAAACAACTTCCCCTTGCTTGCTGAATGCTGGCATCCCACCAGATCAATGAGACTGTGCTAAAGCGGAGAGACTGGACAAGTGGATGTTTGATGACTACATTTATTGATCCCTGGGGTTTGAAGGTTGAGTTATGAGGAAGACGAGATAGCTCGGGCTATTCAGCTTTGCAAAGAAACGTCTCCAAGGACACAGTAGAAAGAGGTTCAGCAGATGCTTGATGATATAAGGAAAGAAACTCGGAACAATGCTCTCACATACACCGAGGCTAGCAGGACAAGAGGGCACAGAGGTTTGGAATGACATCAAAATGGGCAAAAGGGTCTTTGTCCCAATCTGTTGTGATCTGCACTACATCGTCAACAATTATTGATATCAACTACTGCAGGGTTCAGTTCAGGACAAAGCTGGTAGCAGTATAAATAGCTGCTGAAAACCATGATCTGAAATTCTAACACCATGGATGTCAACATGGTGATTCAGGGGAGGAGAGTCAGCTTCTGACACAGCTAACGCTTTCACGTGATAACTATCAAACCTCTAAAAAGTTTATAATCCACAACTGTTTGTGGGACATTGATGTGCGCAATTGGCTGCCACGTTTCGCCCACAAAATATACAGTCCATTCATTTTACGGTATATCCTGTGAAGCGCTTTGAGACGTCTCGAGGATTATTATATTATATCTTATTACTTTTGTAATAACTCCATCAGCTGGAAAGTGTTTGAGCAGTGAATCTGGAGTCAAGTCTTGGAGATGAAGAATCCTGTGGCCTGAGCTCTGAGCAGAGGGAAAGTTTAACTCAAAGACATCAGACTGTGAGAACCCCAAGGTTACTTACCGCTGGACTCCCACCTGTGGGCCCTGCAAGATCACCGCCCAGCTGTAAGATACAGAAGGTAACGAATTAGTGCCAACAGAAGCCGACTGTGCAGATTACCCTCGGCGTCTGCGCCAGACTTCATAACCAACACCTCGGTCAGTTATGAAAGGCTGATAAAATTACCCTGTGCAGTTCTTAGGTCGTTCTACACTGATGCCCATCTGTGTATAGACATCATTTATCTAATGCATCAACAGCTGGTACTCCAGACTCAATTTTAGTATTGATTTTGCTGGGATTATGTCAGTCTGGCATGGTTAAACTTTAGGGTTCTGCAGGCTATCTTCTCTATTGATTTTCTTCCACAGCTCATCTATCTATTAGACAAGCTTCAAAGTGCGGTTTAGTTGCCAGCAAAGCACAGGAGAGATTGAAGCCAGTCAGTTAACTCCGTTCAGGCCAATTCTTTTATGGTGAGGGGGGTGGGGGTGTCCTCAGCTGGGAGGGGAAGAATGGTTGTGGGCAGAACACTGGGACTCATTTAAGGAACAGCTCGATGAGTCGGTATATTGAAGGACTCAAAATAATACAAGTTTACATTTGTATAGTTCCTTTCACGTCGGGAGGACGTCCTAAGACGCTGCACAGTTAGGGAGTTGGACCCAAGCCTGGGTGGGATGGGGGGGCATTGGGCAGAGGATGGCCGAAAGCATGGTCAAGTAATAGGCCCCTTCTTCAGCACCTGAACCTCTCCTGAATTCTGTCTTCACAAATTGAAGTGCCCCTACCCCACCCCAAACCTCCTCCCCCACATCCCCCAAATGTGCCTCTCGAACGTATAAAATGTTATCTTCCTGTTTTCAAAGACACCGTCATAGGGACAACTATTTTGACCAGAGGTTTTAAAGAGGAAACTTTACCAGACTGTCCAATCCACCTCCCAGGAGGTCAACGGCCCCCATCTGCATCGAGGACATCTGTGGCACATTGACAGGGGGACCCAGGTCAAGGTTGAGGAGATCACCCAGCAGGTCACCCTGGGACGGGATAACTTGTGGCTGCTGCTCCAAGGTGAGAGTTGCTGTGGTGGGTGGGCCGACTGGACTATCGGGCTCAGCGCTGAAGGGGAGGATATTAAACATGGGTTAGAACCTGGTGCATTCAAAGGCCTGCAAAATACAGTCAATAATAATAATAATCCTTGCATTTGATATAGCTCTTTATCACGTCTTCGAGAGTCTCAATGCACTTCACAGAATGTACTGTAAAGTGAATTGACTGTATATTTTGTGGTTGAAACTAATTGTGCTTCGACGCCCTCATCACACGCTGCCTCTCAAGTCTTGGATATTTATGGAGTTGAAAATCATAACGTAGTCAGGGATCATGTCTCTGGACTGTAGTCCAAACAAGCTTTGTTCCCCTGGGTTTGCCATCAGTCACAGAGTCGGATGTAAACCAGGGGCTGAAGATTGTCGGGTGGCAACATTTAGCCATGTTCCTGGTGCTGTAAAACTGGAAATAAAAAATAAAGTCTTGAAGTCGTAGAATTTCAAGCTTATTTCAGTACGTGAAACAAATAGAGGAAGGGGGTTTGGTGGACAGCCTAACCGCAGCTGTAACACAAATGCTTGTTTTATTGGGAGAAGAATGCACAACGATGTCAGTTTCCTTTCCAATGTAAATCACTGTATTGTCAATGTGCACTTAACCTTGCTTTGTCCTCCAGTGCAGAACGGGCAGCGAAACAATAAAGAAGGAGACTGGTGAGGAGGACAAACATGGCAGACACTTATGGCTCAGAAACCACGAGCCAAACCCCAATCTCACTGATCAGTGGTCCAGTACCACATTGTACGTTGGGACGCCGCTCAGAATTGGGCCTCGGTGGTGAAGCAGCTACCCATCCAGCGAGAGACTTTTCAAGAAGAAATATCCACGAGATAGACAGTAAACGTGTACTGAGCGGAACCACTGAAGAGGTGGTGTAGCGCCACCCTCCAGGACGCTACTCTGCTTGAAGGGCGCTATACCAATGCAAGTTGTTGCCGATCGAACATGCTGCCAACACAGATCAGGTACCAAATCACCCAAGAAGATGCTGAAGGTTAGCTGAAGGGATATTAGCCTCTGAGATATTTGAGAAGGAAAGGCACATTTACCCATCGAAAATCAATCCTTCTCTTCCCCATCCCCCCACCCACCCTCTTTCAGGGCGACGTTGAAATTATTTGCTTCTCAATCTTGCCCTACTCCACCACCAAAGCTCTGTCACACTTCCTCTCGTCCTCTCAGCTTCAATCCTGCCCTCGCTAGTCAGTGTTTAGCTACTCTACCGATGGGCAGTTAGCGATTTCTAAAGAGAACCTGGGCCCACACGGGGAAGCGTGCCACCTCAAGGAAGCCAGCAGATTAGCAGGAGTGGGAGGTTGGACGGGTCGAGAGATTTAATATCATTTGATCATGAAACGTTTCCCCTGTGAGTATTCACCTCCCTCGGCAAATTGAATGGTTGGAGATGAGCCAGAGCAGCTGCCTACGATGTGCTATAACAAAATGAGGCCGACTGCTCAAACAATCCTTTTCCCGTTTTATACTTCACGCTCCGAGTTTTTATCCATCAAGCTCCAGTCTGTTCTGTGTACCCTGCGCCCTATGTGTGGAGCTACTCGCAGGTCTGGATAAATCACAATGTGATGGTGTAAGACAGAAGGATTAAAAAACACAAATCACCGTTTGTCTTCAGTTATTCAGTCAAGTGCACCAGACCAACCTACCCCGATCTAAAGCAAACCAATGTGTGACCACATTGTTTTCACGGCTATTGTGTCCCACCGATCGGGGAGTGACTGACTTCATTTCAACGGCTGCCAGACCCCTAGGACTGTAGACTTTTTCTACAGGAACAGGAGGAGGTCATTTAGCCTGTCAAGCCAATTCCACCTTTTGCATTCGATCGCGGCAGATCTTTTAACCATTTCCAAGCTTTTTTTTTTACACAACACCCTCACTTCCTAAGCGTGCCTCCCTCTTAAACGATTGTGCACATTGTTTCCTCCTGGGACACTGCATTGCATCTTCTCTTAAATAAAACTCTGCGATTTTGCTTGTAATTTAAATATATCATCCCCTTGCTTTGGCTCTCTCCGCCACACAGACAAGTTGTCCTCTATTAACTCGTCATCTAATGTAGCTCATCAATTTGAAAGGCTTCAATCAATTCATTCTTTAATGTCCACTCGAGGGAATGCAGCCCAAGGTTACCCAGTGCTTCCATCACAGCCAAAATCCCTTCATTCCAGTATGAACCTGGTGAATCATCGCTGGACTCCCTCTAAGGTCAGGACTGAGACCTTTTGAGACATTTCAGCCACGTGATAAGTTGCTCTATCAAATGCAAGGATTATTATTATTACTGTATATCATTCCTAAGGTTCGGCGGTACCGCACAGCACTCTCTATTGTTTTTAAGAAAAAACTGAGCTCCAAGTGTGACTGAGCAAACTACAACATCAACAACTTGCATTTATATAGCGCCCCTCATGCAAGGTAGCGTCCCAGAGCACTTGACAGTGGCGGAGCATGACCAGTAACAGGCATGCGCACACTCCTCTTCTGTTTATTGCCGAGTAGAAACAACACCTTCACAAAACCTCCCAATTAAAAAAAAGTCTCCTGTTGTGGCTTTCATCATTTCTGATGTATATCAGCTGGAAGCGACCAGCTCATATCCTGGCATCAAGCTGTCTCTAGAGCGATTACCTGTTACCAAGCACTGGGGACACATCCTGCTCAAAGCAGGTCTTAAAGAGTAGATAAAATGATAGGATCGTTAGCACGGGGAGCTTGATATTGGAGGACCTTTAAAGTGAATACTATGGCAACCAGAGCTCTTGATCAGCTCGATTACCAGAAAGAGTTAGGAGATTTTCCCTCACCCAGGCGACGCACTCGCATGAAGGACTCTAACCCCAAATGTTGATTGCAATCAGTAATTAGCTTTGAAATAAAAAGGGAATTAGATTAACCTGAGGAAGAAAGGCATAACAGGGTTGTGGGTTAAAGGTAGGGCAGTGGGACTAAATGCTGGCAAGTGGTTCGCAGATTTACTGTAAAGTGTAGTGACTGGCTGTTTGTAGGCAACACTCACCCTCCGAGCTGTATTGGCAAGTGCTTGCGGTGGATCCCGTGACTCCCCTCCACAAAGGCATTCGGGGGCTTGTGGTAAACCGAGGCCAACGAACCGATGTGACAGATGAGCTCGTCCAGCAGCGTGGGCTCAATCAGGTCCGTTTCCTCGGAGATGAGGGGCTTCTCGGACAGGACTACTTCCTTCGCGGCCACCGGGTCGGTGGACAGCAGGCGCCAGTAAATGTAGCCGCGGTCACGGAGATCGGGGTTATCGGAATCCTACAACCACAACAGTAGATTTCAGTAAATCTGCACTCTGCCCGTAACCCTGTTGTCATTATTCAGCAGCATCTCCCTGTACAGAGTCTGCGCTCATTGCTGCCCATCCCGGGTTGCATTTTATACGCGGTCTATCCTCTGGTGAAGAAAAAACAAAATCACTTTAAACTGGTTAATTTCTGCCTCTGACGCGGTGCTTTGTCTGATCTGTACAGTACAGGGCAGCTAAACATTGCTGGAAACTGTTAAATGTTAGAAGAGTAAAAACCTATATACAGCACTGGAATGAATGTCCTGTTAATGCTATAGACTGCAGTGGGCTCTCCTACCTGTGTAGCCAGACTGAGGACCTGCTGCACCAGCTCCTGGGTGTCTGTTGGCTTCTTCAGGAACAACTTCACAATGGCGGTGAGTAGAGTCAGCTGTACCTGGAATCCAGACACACATTTCCATGTCACTGCACATAGCCTCCTTATGCACTGTCCTGCCACAATCCTGCGCTTGATACTGTGCCCTATTATAACAAAGCATCTTAAAGAAAGACTGATTTTATCTGGGGGGATTGTGCACCTTAGGATCTTTCCCAATACAGAGCTGTCATGAGCTTTAGATCTTCATTCTCCAAATCATCGCGCAGGTGCCTATTAAACACTGTAACTTTTGTCCGTTCTTCAGATTACACCTGAAGTCCTTCCTCTTGTCGGGATGCCTTACCTGGGTGCTCTCATCATGGAAGCCGTCCAGGAAGCTCTCCAACAGTTCATCAGCGTTGTCGATTCTCTCCGCGTATTCGCCCACAATCCAGATCATGGCTGCTCGGGCGTCCGGCTCGTCGAGAGAGTCCAGGTTCTCGCATAAGGTGGCTATGATACTCTCATACCTAACGGATCAAAGTGAGAAACCATCTCAATCAGGACAAAGTTACTTCCCCATTTCCATTCTACTGCAAAATAACGATTGATGAGCACATCACACCAGGTCATGTCATCACAACCACTTCTAAAGACCAGACAGGGTGGACTAGGAGTGAAACCCAGCGAGTGGCTGAGCCGTACCAGATCAGGACGATCACTGGTCTAAGATTAGTTAACTGATCTGCTCCGTAGGTGTCAGCAAGGGCGTACAATTGCTCTCAGTACCTTGGGCTAAAGAGGGGAAATCTACTGTCAAATCTACCGTCTGCTGATGAAGGTGCGAGCAATGACGTCAGGGTTGGGCTCGGTTGCGATATACTAAATGATCCAGTAGTTTTCACACTTGCTAATAATGGTCCCTTGGCTGAGGTGCTCAAGAGCAGGAATGGAAGGATGCTCTAGATCAGACGGTTACTTCACCAGATCAAGATACAGTCAGTCAGTAATTCTCTCTTCCGCCCAGTTTCTCTCCTCCTTCCTGAGGAACGGAAGGCCCCACTTACTTGTTGGGATACTTGCGGAAGATGTCCCTGATCACCACGATAGCTTCCTGGACCACATAGTTCACTTTAGTCTGGATGAGATCGAGCAGGGTGCTGACACAGCGCTCAGCAGATTGCTAAGGACCACAACAAGACTCGATTAGCACAAGGTTGATTCACGTTCTTCTATTAAATCAGACTTGCAATTAGTCAGTTGTGAGCCAAAGCAAAGGGTGGAGGGGACAGGAGCAAATAAGGACACGCTTTTTTTGTCCCTTCATTATCCTCCATTAGGTCGTCAAGCACGGAAAGCTCTTCTCAAAGAGAAGCATTTGGCAGCCTGTTGGAATGCTCCAAGCACCAAATGAACCCAAACAGTTTACATTTTTGCTGCTAGCTCTCATCTGTTTCCTACAGCAGTAATAAGTGTGGCATTTACCCAGCTAGGGACTGTTTTAAGGCTTTCTAAATCTAGTCAGGCTGACTAATCGACCATTAGCAATCCCTTGGATTACAAACCACCTGTTTGGTTTGGTGGGTATGTTTTTCCTTTGACTGTTCTACTCCTACCAACCCTCTCCCCCCAAGGATTTTTTNAATATTAGCTTGACACTCAGAGGGAGTGGACGCAGAACCTTTAAGTCCTGCACTCACCCAACTCAGCCCCATGAGAAATTACTGTAATTCTAAGCACCAAATTGCCAGTTCAGAGCTATTATCCTCCGCATTCAACCGGATCAAACGTGCCCAATTGTTCCATCAGTGGACCTCACGCAGTGCCAAGGCTCAACAGCTCCACCTCTCCTGTAACTGGTTATCGTATGCCTTAGTTTTCAGGTTAAGAGGACAGTCTATTTTCAGAAACACACACCCACAATTATCAGGAGAAACAGAGGCCACTGACCTCAACTTTGATGGCACATCGGCCGATGGCACGCACGGCTTTCCTCACAAAATCGACGTCAACCTCGGTGGCGTACTCCTTCAGCTCGGCCAGGACCTGAGGGGAAACGAGACACGTTGTGTAACCGAGACTTGGATCTACATCCCCAACAAAGCCAGCATCAGCCAAATGACCAGAGATCTCACGTGAAAACCCAAAGTGATGGAGCAGATTTACAACCAACTTTCTGGAGATAACGATGGTCAACTGGCACTAAATCATGACACACAATATCTTTCTGTTCCTTTTCAAATTCTTCAGTCAGAATCGAAGCTGAGCAGCTCCATAACTTGCTGACTGGTTGTTTCCTCTCATAGCCACACCAAATCATATGCTGTGGAGGACAGGGTAGGACAGGAGCAGTGTAACATGAGGAGGCCATTAAGCCTTCATGCCATCTGTAGACCCTGGCAAAACCCAGTCTTTCTCCCTCATTTCCTCCCTTCCTTCCTTCCCCAAATTGCACATGTAGTGATTCTGCGGTCACCGGTCCCACACGCATGGCTGACGTGCTCTGAAACATGCACCGCATGGTACACTGGGAAAACAAGGGCTAATAATAATGCCTTTCATTTAAAAAAAGCATAACTTAAATTGCGAGGAAGTTTCACCCACAAAATGTACGGTCAATTCACTTTACAGTATATTCTGTGAAGCTCTTCAAGACGTCTTGAAGACGTGATAAGGCACTATATCAAATGCAAGGATTATAATTATTATTATTAAGTGAATGCTGTTCGACAGCTGATCTTTAGCACACTCATCTTTTCACATCCGAGCCATAAGCCTGTATTGCACAAATCTCGGTTGCTAGGCTGCAAGCTGCAAAAACATCAAACACCTGAAAGGCTAAACTAATATTTATTCTGTATTTTCAATAAAGGGCTAATTTCTCCAGAAGGACACATGCTGGAATCCTATCAATCCTCTCGACTTTAATTGTCTCTTTGACTAGTGCCTTTTGGAAACTGACGAGATTAGTAGCGAACTGGAATGCCTGGGGGCATGCAATTGGCACATCCAACAAGTCCAGGCTTGGTGGATCTTTCTCCACAAACAGTTTGCACGTCAGACAACTCAAAAGCCTCCGACATTGTTGGAACATTCCAGAACAAGCCTTGCATCAACAGTCAATCTCTCTCTCCCCACACACACATACGCACGCACGCGGACAGTCTAGAAGATAGTGAGCCGCTCTGAATCAAAACAGAGGTGAGATAAGGGAGCCACGAGTAATGGAGCTATCAGGTCAGCACATTAGTAACTGCTAACACATTAATAGCCGTGTTTGCTCTGTTGCTCTATTTACAGGATGTTCTTGCACAGGGAGGGAGAACGACAACAAAAGATATCAAAATCCCACACCCCAAATTGTCTCGATTCATATTTAAATCCATAAGATCATGACTTTACACAAGACCAGGGCTCAGCCCTAGACACTGTTAACGTGCCCCAGTTTATCCAGTCTGCGATGAATCAATGTGACAGGCGACTGAGAGGTGCAATACAATACAATATTACATTTGTATAACGCCTTTCACATCGGGAGGGTGTCCCGAGGCACTGGGCAGTCAGGGATTGGGACCCAAACTGGGGTCTGGATCGGGGAGGGTGGAGGGGTCACTGGTGCCTCATATTCTCGCTGGCTGACCTGAGCAATGTTGGCCTGAGAGGCCAAGCGGATCATGATGTCCAGCTTTTCCAGTTTCACGTAGATCGGGTCGTTGTACTTGACAAAGAACACCTTGATCTCCTGTTTCAGGATTTCAGGCCTACGGGAAAAAAAAGAGAAATCTCAGAACTCTGCATGTGAACTTGCGAAGGACCAGCCTGGGAGTCCATTACAGCATCTGAATTAACCAAGCTTCACTCAATACTTTCCAATGGGGATTATCATAGCGGGGAGGGGAAAGCTGAGAGTTGGCAGAGAGACATAATGTCTCAGAGCTAACAGTTCCCTACTGTCTGAGCCAAGCAACACTAAACGACGACGACAACAAATTACATTTGTTTTAGCGTCTTTCGCGTCAGGAGGACGTCCCAAAGGTGCGAATCTCAGCATTTCACGATGAACTCAACTGAGCTCGATTTGCTCTCTTCCCCGTCACTTGCTCACCTCTTCTGTACAATGAGATTGATGTTCCTCAGAGCCACGTACTGCACCTCGGGCTCGCCAGAGAGCAGGGTGACCAGGGTGGGGCCAGCTTCTTCAGGATGGTATTGTAGTACTCGGACTCCTTGGGGAGGAGCTCGATGAACTTCATTAGCACTTTCACGGCAGAGAGGACCACGGCAGAGTTGGCGTGGGACAGGCGTGGAGTCACCCTCTCGCAGATACTGAGGTGTGGAGGATAAAAGCACAAGATTATAACGATAGATAACAATAATCCTTGCAATTGATGTAGCATCTTATCACATGATTGAGACATCTCAAAACCCCTCACGGATTTAACCGTAAAGTGCAGTGACTGTATATTTTGTGGGTGAAACGCGGCAACCAATTGCACAGCAGTGTTCCACAAACAGTCATGGAGTGAGTGACCAATTTATTTATTTGAAGAAATCATTACCCCGGGAATGCGATCGTCAATGGACTAACATCCGGGTTCCTGCTAGATAAACAGAGACGTGTGGAATAAGGAACCTGACTTGGCCGGGAATCGAGCCCAGGTCCTCTTGCTTGAGGCGAGTGCTCTCACCACTATGCTACAGGACTCCACAATACGCATCTTTGCCTACAATCATCCGAACTTAATCAAATCTGCCACTTTCCCTGAGTGACCCACCCCGGCCCGCTGTGACTTGTGGCAGTGACTGGCTCAGGCAGCCACACACAGTACCGGCTCACCTCTGCGCCTCGCGCTCATCCTTAGGATTGTAGTTGGACAGGCAGTCCAGGATGAAGATCTGCCCCCACTCAGTGCACTCGTTCAGAGCCGTGATCAGCTTGTTGATGTTCTGCGGATTCAGGTCCAGCAGGTTGCTGTTGGGGTGAGACTCGCTGATCTCAGACAAGGCAGCTACAGCATTTGCCACCACCTGGGGGCAGGGAGATTAAGAGCATAATAATAATAATACTAGTGTTGTTGTTGTAATACTGGCTTTTGATACAGCGCCTTATCACACGTCTTCGAGCTGTCTCAAAGTGCTCCACAGAATATACCGAGAAGTGAATTGACTATATGGTTTGTAGACAAGAACATAAGAATTGCTAGGTCCATCCAGTTCGCCTTCCACCATCCTGGCAGTCGAATGCGCACGTCATGTCCCAAACTTACACTGTGTCTCCCACGATATTATTTCCTGAAAGAAATCAATCTAATTTGCTTTTGAAAGATTTTTAAAAATCCTCAACTGAAAACAATAGGCAGCTTTCAGCCCTTCAGTTCGTTTTTTAAAAAATATTAGCAGCATCGCTTTGGCACCAAATTTTCAAATTACTACTGTGTATCTGGTTTTACATGGATTGACGTGGGAAATTCATGGAGTCACTGACTGGCAGATTACTGAGGGGCGGAAGATAAAAGTACAAGATTATTTTGTACTGATTAAGATGATTCAATCGTAATTAGCTCTACCACTTTGGTTGATTTGATTAAGATCGGATAATCTTGTGCTTTTATCACTGGGTACCGAGCAAGTGGGAAGAGACGTCATCAGGAGCAAAGCAATCAAATGATGAGGTAGGTTTTTAGGAAAGTAGGCAGTGCTGATCAGGGTGAGGAATTTGGGGAGATTTTCGGAGTGCTGGATCATTGCAGTCTCAAGCTCAGCCACCAAGGGAAGTGCAACAGCTCAGAGAGCTCAGCTCAGACAAAACAGAGAGTGGTGTTAATAATAATAATCCTTCCATTTGATATAGCGCTTTATTACGTCTTCGAGACGTCTCAAAGCGCTTCACAGAATATACTGTAAAGTGAATTGACTGTATATTTTGTGGGTGAAACTCGGCAGCCAATCGCGCACAGCAGTGCCCCACAAACAGTGGCGGATTGAGTAAATTATTATAATTTTCTGTTTATTTGTTTGATCGGACACAGATGTGCATCAAGCGCATCTTCCTCTCGCGCGCACTCACTCTCTCCCCCGACCCACATTCCCTATGGCCTGGCAGAAAATTGATTGATCAGGAAAGAATAACAGCACAAACTCAAATCAGTCACTCCAAATGACCCAACACTGCTCACCCCACAAGCACGTGCAATTGACTTGGCAGCCCCTTTCAATCAACTCACACCAACAATACGCACTGTTCACTTCCTGGCAATAGCCTACGTATTAAGATGCAGCCAGGCCTGAAAACATTGCAAGTAAATGGGGCATCGCTGGGCAAATTGCCTGCAACATATTCACCTCAGTGCTAGCTGAAGGCGTTTCCGAAAATGCTCAATGAAGTTTTCTCTTGTGTGAGAGGCGCTATCAATATGTAAATTGCTGCTGTCCCACCCAGGAAGCTGGCAGTGGTGAAAAACTGAATCGGAAGACAGCTTGCACTCATATGTCCTGTTGAACATTCCAATCGGAAGCACACACACACATAAAGGCTGATCGAATCTATCGTGCACTGGTTCCTTAGTTTAAACTCCTTTAAGGATCGGAAGGACGTCTTAGTTCTCAAGACGTGACTGCACTGTACAATCTTAAATTCAGAGCCAAGCTGGTTAGAAATGAGATCAGATGGAACTTTTTCACCCGCAGAGGGTTGTGAAAATATGGATGCATTGCCAAATCCCTCAGTAAAGTATAATAGGATTAGCTGAACAAATTACAACATTAAAAGGTTCATGGTGAGGGGGAGGCACAGGTGCCAGGAAAAAAGGCACTGTACCCCACTGGAAGTAAAAAAAAAGGTAAACATCTTTATGTAAACATCTTCAGGAGAAGAAGGAAGAAAATTTGATCTGCACAAAGGACAACAGTCAAAGCAGCCTTGATGTTCCTTTTAAATCGATTAATTAAAGAAAATAGGACCTAAAATGAATGTATTGTAGAATCGATAAGGCTTAATGTGTGTGTGCTTCCAATGCTGCGCACTCCAATCGGAATATCCAGCAGGATGAAAATTGCGCCATTATAACAAGACCAAGGCTACCCGATCAAAGCCACTGGAAGTTGTGTTTAGAATCACAAAGGACGCAATTCAAACAGTCAATGAGTTGAAACAACACTGATGTCATAGAGACAACCTTGGGGACAGGCTGGTCATGTCCCTTAGAGATTCAAGAACCTTAGAACACCCACGCGCGCACGCACAGATGACTTCTCTCGATTTCATCACTGTTTATGTGCAGCCAGTAAAGCACTACAGCGAGCCTTTTAAAACCAACAAGCAGAATGAGTTAGTATTGAAAGCTAAAGCCTCCAAATACCACCCACTGATCTGATCTGTAAAGCAGGTTATTGCTAGGATTGGTGCAATAATAACATTAGGATTATTGTTATCGTACTCTTAGAAATCAGAGTCATGGTGGGAGGGTACGAGAAAAAAAAGTTTGGGAAGGTGTTAATAGCAGCTAGAGAAAATTATCACAACACAGAGCTCTGATAGACCCAAGGCTAGCTGTATAAACACAGCAATTCCTTTAGATAATGATTAATAAATGATTCCTTTAGTTTGTTGGCAGACAGTACCATCTAGTGGTAGTGGAAACACCATTACAATTCTGGAACTTTGCTAAACACAGTGTATTAATGAATTCACCGAATGGGTGATAACCTCAATCCTATATTCCCAACGACCAAGGACGGAAGACAACATGGGGTTGGTACGAGGAAGAGGTTAGAGGGAGAAAGGGAAGGGAGTGAGCACAACGGTGAACCAACTTGGGCTGAACAATCAATCCGCAGATTGTATTAGGAAATTCCGAGTGGGTGAGATGGTCGAGAACTGAAAGCAATGACATTTCTTTCATACATTTGAAGCAGAGTCTTCGGGAGGATGGATGTGGTGACAGGACCTTCCCTGAGCAGGACTGGGAATGTCTGGCCTCAAGATGGATTTGATTGAGCACGAGCAGAGACCGGCAGACATTAGTGGGTAGATTGTCTGAGGAGCCACGACACAGGTTTCCTTTGTTCCAGTGACAGAATAATTCTGCTATTGCATTGTGATCGATGGGTCAAACAGCTCACCTTCAGCCTCTTCCCGACATTAAGTAAAAGGGTTGGAATGAAAGAACTTGGCAAGGTGGAGAGATTGGGGTGATGGGGTTGGGGTAGGTAGTGGTGGGGGGGAGGGGGGATGGTTAAGAGTGTTCCAGAATTTCGGGGGTGTCGTGGCTGAAAGCGAGACCGTGCTTAGAGATAACAGTCAGTGCTCCAGTCGCTGTGCAACCATAGTGTGAGAGATTCGAGTGGTTTGCCTGTTGTAACACAATTGCGTCCGCCTGTAAACAGATAGATGAAGAGATTACCATGGGGTTGGAGTCAGCGATCAGGTCCCGCAGGGAGTCGAGGAAACCCTGGTCCTCCACCATCTGGGCGTTGATGTCGTGTAGCTTGGCGACGCACACAGCGGCAGTTTTACGTACGTATGGGTCCTCGTCCTTAAGACACTTGCGGAGCGGCTCGCACAGGTACTCCGTGATCTTGTCCACACGGATGCATCCCATGGTGCGGACCGCCAGGGCTCGGATCAGAGGGTTCGGGTCCTCACAATCCTGTTGAGAAACGAGACGCGTTACTAAAACCCGCGCTCCCTCTGGGCAGAGACGATAAATCTTGCGTTCGGTGCGACGCCTTTCGCTTGGAGTGAACATCTCAAAGCGCTTTGCAGGATTTACTGTGATACGTAGTGACTGTGATACGTATGCTGCAGGGTCAGCTCCCTGACGCAGTGCTGCTTCTGCACTGAACTGACACGGACTGAACTGACATTTTTTGTGGGCCTTAGATTATCAAGACTAGCTTTGTGTCACCACAAGGAATAAACGTGCAAACCTAACGCACAGCTCCCGAACTCTCAACGGTGCTTTCAGGCTGGTATTGAATTAAACCACCATTCGTCTTTATTAATGATAATCCTTGCATTTGATATGGTAGCTTATCACGTCGTTGGGACGTCTCAAAGCGCTTTGCAGTAAAGTGAACTGACTGTATTTGGTGGGCGAGCTTTACCTTGACAAAGCTGTTGACAGCCATGATGGCCATGTCGGGTTGGTTCTTGGCATAGTTCATGAGGTAGAGATACACAAGCTTCTTCAGCTCCAGGTTGTCTGTCTGCATACAGTTCACCACATCCGGGAAGAGAGAACTGCACAAAACATGGAGAAGACGGGATCTGCTTAGCTCCGCTTGTGGGCCATCGAACGTGGAGGAGGGAGAGGAGAACTTTTGGCACATTATCTCAGCATCAGCACCATCCCTCCCCTCTCCCTCCTCCCGCCCTAACCTATCCCACCCACAACGAAAACCTGTAAGAATAAGATCAAAGCTCCTTGCATTTTTCACGTGGACATGGGGCCATCATCTGCCCAACATGTTGTCCCATCAAGCATCAACAACAAAATTATATTTGTATAAGGAAGAATATATTGTGTACCCCCTCGCCCCTTCCCACCAAGATCTCACTCTCATCCAGCCTGTCAGTGAACAGAGGAACATGGGAAAGGGAGGAAGTTATTCAGCCTGTCAAGCCTGACTCAATTTGTTTAAATCCCATTTCCCACCTCTCCCTCATCCTTAGGTCACAACTGAAGAGACTCCATAGCAAAAGGCAGCATTTTTATATGCAAGACCTCGCACTGCTTTTGCAAAGGATTAAATCCCACTCACCCAGAATCTCTTTCGCGGTCGATCTAGTTAAGCCCGAAACGTGGATCGGTCCTTGCAATTTGTGGCGTGTAATGTTTTGGCGGCAACACACATTTTTCGTTAACTTTTTGCCAAGGAACCGCCATTAGCCCGAGCCAATTGCATCTTCCCACCTCGGAAAAGCTTTTTGCTTCGACCTTCTTTTGAGCACCTTCCCACGGTTGCCTTGCCGACAAGCCTTAGCACCCCAGGGTGCTGATGAACACGAGCGCGGTTGCTAAACTGCAACACAGCCGCAGCAACTGTGCAGCTTCCAGGTGCCTGAGCCAAATCCCCCCCCACAGCCACCCCATCAAAATTCCTATAAATGTACTCCACTTTAGATCCATATCCTCTCTCTCTCTCTCTCTCTCTCTGCGGATGGACGTAGCATATCAATATTATTAAAGGTCAAATCTAAACTCGATACCACATAAAAAGGCGGAAATTGAGATGTGCTGAGGAGGTAATGAAATCTGAGGAGCTCCCACTCTGGACTCTGCAGATCACACGCTCACTCCAACAATAAGACTCCCTGAATCCCAAGCAGCAGGTTCCCAATCGTTACTCGTCCCACCTCACGTCCTTGCCGACCGTCATGGCGGCGATGACCTTCTTCACTGCCTCCTTCCTCTTCTCTTTCTTCTCATTGTTCAGCTCAGCCTTCAGTTCGAATATCTCTCCTGGAACAGAGTGTGCAATACCGGAGACGCACGATTTTAGCTTCATTTGCGCTCTCTCCACAGTCTAAGGAGCGTGTGGGTGTGTGTGTTATTTGTTTTGTCTCACATACACACACACTCTCTCGCTCTCTCCCCCCCATCCGACACCCTCCACTCAGAATCAACCCAGCGGCAAGCCCACAAAACCTACCCTCAGCCCACACAGACCTCTTCTTCCTCGCCATTCCACCCCCACCCCGATTCACAACCCAAAACACACCCTTTCTGAACACAGATGGCTCCCAATCTGTGCTAACTCCACTCCCTATCTACCAGATGGCATACACCCACACACAGAGGTGCACATCCACACACACAGAGACACACACACACATAGAAGCACACACCCACACACAGAGACACACGCACTCACCCACCCACCCACAGAGGTGCACACACACACACACACACACACACACACATACATACACAGAGGCACACACACATACGCGTGTATTTGCTGGCTCCATTGCTCCTCCACAAACAGTCCTGCACAGATGTGGACACATGTCACGACACCTTCACATTCACATTGGAGTTAACAAGGCCGTGGTTTCATTCTGTGCTGAAAACCGTCTGTAAGACCACTGTACAATATGCAAAGCAAGGGGATTCGGCTGTGAGGCAGAACCTACCTTTCTTATTAGTCGTGAAATACTTTGAGTCGGTCATGGTGGCAGATACCTCTAACTACCTGTAAAAATAAACATTTTACAATGAGCTCTATTCAAGGTGTTTTTTTTTCCATAAGCCACTCTTCAGCAACAGGCCATAACTCAGCACTGAGCTTTCAGCTGACAGTCACTGGCTGCTGTGCTGGGGTAGCAGGAGGTTTAAGCAAATAATGAACTGTACGCCTCAGGAAAAAGACCATTTTTGGGGGACGGAGGAGAAAGCGAGGGAGGAGGGAAAGGATCTCAGGAGTATTGCTGAAAATTGGAGACAGCTGAGAAACAAGCATTTGATTAGAGAAAAGGTTTTCAGTTTGTTTACGAATTTGTGTTCAGAGAGGGGGAGGATGCTGAAAGTTTAAACAGCTCATTTTATTCCATGACTTGGTCTCAATGCAAACCATAACTGAAGCCCGTTTTTAAAACCCTACCTCTTGAACTATTTCTTTAGTCACCTTCCCCTTCTTCTGGCTTTTCCCATCTCTCTCTACAAGCTATACTGCTCTGATAAAACACTTTACTGAGATGTTATCCCACGTGGAAAGATGAACAGAGCTATATTGGGTAAACTGGAATTATAAATTGTCATAAAAGGCACTCAGAAAAACAGTAAAATGGCAGGTGTTGGAAACAGAAAAGTCAAAATGGTGCAGTGGGATGTGCTCTTATGTTGGGGAGGATTAAGGTGCATCTTTGTCAGATCATCTGCATCTGGGACTGTGCCAGATGTTAATGTTTGCTATGAAAATACAATCGACATACACGATCCAGGCTAACAAGGCAGCGCAGTCCAGGATTAATGTTGAAAGGTTTATCATTCGGATCAGACATTCAACCAAGAGAAGTTTTTTAAAAAAGTATCGGTGTATCGTCTGCCTGTCCTTGGATAAAAGAAATCCTAGGAAGAGCAGGAATTTGTGAAAAAACAATAATAATGTTGTTCAAATCCTTAATGGCGCAGATTAGTTGCAATGTTTCCCTACATAATAATCACTGCACTAAAAAGCAACTCAAGTATGTTGAGATGCTGACATTATAAATCAAATGCAAGCATCATCATCCCTTAACTTGGCAGGAGCAACATTCACCCAAATAATTTCCTTTTCCAAGGGGAAAACGCACACAAACACGCACATACATGAGGAGCTTCAGATTCAACATCACATTTGAATGTGTTAATTCATTGAAATGGTTAAAAAAAAACACAGCATGTTCCCTTCACAGATCTGGTGTGAAAGTCTGCTGAATGCAGAACACTCGGCACATACATTGAGGAGTTTGTGCATTAGAACCCTCCCGATGTCGCTGTCACCAAGTTCTGATCAATATCTTACTTTCAGCAGAATTAGGCAAAACAATTTGTTGTGCCATCTCATTTGAGAATTGTGGGGTTTACCTTGTGCAGATGAGATGCCACACTCACACAGTCCAGCTCCCCAGACAGCCCAATTATACTCACTTACACTTCGCTCACTGAACAATAGGAAGATTGTGTTTTCAATCGTTTTCCCTACTTGTTTCATCACAGTTTCGCCAGCAAAAGCCCTGAAGACGGTTATGAGGTGAATGATCTCTTTTATCTGGGGAATTACTGGCCGTGACCCTGGAGAAAAACCTCCCTTCTATTTCCCGGTAGCCTCATCACACAGGATCCGTAACATCCACCTGATCGAGCACAGAACAGCTTGGTGTAACGTCTCATCCGAAGGATGGCACTTCTGACAATTGCAGTTCCCCCCTCACCCCCACCCTTAAAAGCACTGTACTGGTGTGTCAGTCCTGAACCGTGATCTCAACGTCCCCAACTGGGGCGGGGGGCGGCGCGGCAGAGGAGAGAAGAAACGGGAGAAACAGGGAACTCAAACCCACAAAGCTTCTGATCCGGAGGCAAGAGTGCAACCGGCTGAGCCAAGGTGACGCAGTACAACCGGCAGGACATTTTGAAGAGCCTGTTAAATAAAATGGAGGGGTTTGGGAGGAGTGGGGAAGGGTGTGGGGGGGGGGGGGTGAATGAAGAGTGAAGCACGAGTAGACAGAGGCGGAAAGAGAAAAGACCAAGGAGCAGCCGGCTGCTCCGAGCGTCAGGGCCTGGGCTTCGGGGAAGGGGAAGGAAAGAGAAGACGCGCCCTTAAACCTTCTCTCTTGGTCTCTCTGTGGCTAATAATAATAATAATAATAATAATAATAATTCTGGCATTCGATGCTCTGATGAAACAGAACTGACAGAAGGGAAGGAAGGAGTCACAGGCGCTCACACCCACCAGAGACCATGGCCATTGTTTCAGGAGAGAAAGGGGGGGGGGAACAATTATCATTATTATTATTATTATTATTTATTATTATTATTAGTAGTAGTAGTAACAAGAACATGAAACGCAGCCACGATTTCCTGGGCTTCCTGACAGGGACCGAATGACACCCCCTCACCCACCCATTGCCCCCCTCGGGGTTGGGGTGGGAAAGGCCTGACAGCCCCTAACCCTAAGCAAACCCCTCTCCCTTGAGGTTTATTTTCTTTTCACCGGGAGCCCGGGTTTACCGGCGGTGGCGGCGGCCCACCCCACCCCGGGCCCGCCCCGCCCGCCCTCCCGGGGGGGGGGGAGGGTAGGCAGCGCCGGGTCGCGGCTCAGGCCGGTGTGGGAGGAGAGAGAGAGAGAGAGAGAGACTGACTGACCCGGTCCCGGTCCCGGGCTGTGCGGCGGCGGCGGCGGCGGAGGAGGAGGAGGAGGCGGAGAAGCTGCGGTGGAGCGAGTTCCGTACCCGGAGTGGAGAAGGCGACGCACCGACTGGGCGGAGGCGGTACGTCGGGTAATAGGGTCCCCGGATCGCCTGTGCGCCGGGCAAAGGGTCCCCCCCCCCCCTCCACCCACCACCACCACCACCACCTCGAGGGAGGAGCTAATGCCAATCCCAGGGGGCGGCTGATACACTGTGGAACAATACAGTAATAATAATAATAATAATAATAATAATAATAATAACCCTACAGCGGCTTATTACGTCGTTGAGGCGCCTCAGGGGGATTCTCGGGACACGCTGCGAAGCGGGGCGGGGGGGGGACTGTCTGCGCAGCTTTGGGGGGGGCGAAGCTCGGCAGCCAGGCAGCGTCCCCCCGGCGAGACGGCGCACGTTATCGATGGCTTATCTGGCCAGCGGGAGGTCCCGCGGCCCCTTACGCGCGGAAAAGGCTGGCGCAGGGGAGGCGGTGGGGGCGGGGACGTTGCCGGGAGCCGAAAATGCGAATTAAAAATGACTGATTCGGTCACGCAATCCGCAACTGTGTGTGGCACACCGACCGCTGTGCGCAATCGGAGTGTATACACACATGTGTGTATATATATATGTATGATACATGTTGTATTTTTTGAAGATCTCTCATTTTATTCTCTGTGTGAAAACATACTGTTTTGTTACGCCTGTTACCGTGCACACGGGGCTCTTTGTTCTCACCGAATAAATACTAATGTGCGTTCACAGCGAGCCGATACGGGAGGTCGGTGGTTTTAAATTTTAAATGGCTCTGGAACTCCATCCCCCAGTGCCTTCGCCGCCTCCTCTCTTTCCTCCTTCAAGGCCGGTCTGAAGACCTTTCTCTTTGACCTTCAGCCTTCAGCTCCCCTCTCGACTCTCTACCCCTCCTCGCTCCCTCCCTTCCCTCCCCTCACCCTGACCATTTCCCCCCAATGCTCGGGTCCTGACCCAACTGTACAGCGCCTTGGGACGTCCTCCCGACGTGAAAGGCGCTCAATAAATGGAATCTTGTTGTTGTTGTTGTTGTTAAATACAGAATGCCGAGCCGAGGAGGGGGCACGGGGGATTATTTCACTGGTATGTGGTTAATAACCTTGCCAATGTGGACTTGCAATTGGAAAATATACTACACGTCCACTCGGGGGTGTATTACAACCACAGTAATGTGATGGGTAGGATCCAAAAGTGAACACCCTGCAGAGGCTTGTTGTAGGAAAGCCAACAGACTCAGACTGAAAAGTAGATCTTTTATTTCAATCAAATCGTTACACACGATCAAGCATTTTTGTTTTAAAAAATCCTCTTTGCACGGCTTCCAATCTTTACCAATCCTCCGGGTAAAATCGGTCATCCCCTTCGGCGCCGTTTGTGGGACGTTGCCCTACCAAATTGGCCGCCGTGTTTGCACGGTCCGCGCTCCCCGACAGCAATCCCGACCGTGCGTGATCGAGCCTGGCACGCGGAGCACTGGAAGGGCTTCTCCTCGGTGGGAAAGAGCCGATCTCTCTTCTCTCACCCCCACTCCCCAGCCCTCCCCCTCCCGGTGTGGATCCATGCGGATTGGACCCGAAGGACCTCTCGGCCATGTCCTGGAGCACACCATTGAGAGGAAGTGAGCGAAGGGCTTCGAGGGGTTTCTCCCCCTCGGCTTTCTTATGTTCTTTCAGGAAATAACGTAGTACATTCATAGGCAGTTCGGGATGTGCCGGCGACCGCCAGGAATGTGGAAGGCGAACTAGACGGACCTCGGCCATCTTTCCCGCGAGCATTTCTTATGGCTCAGGAAGGTCCTCTCCCCCTCCCCCTCCCCGCTCCGCAGGTGCGGACACACGGGTGGGTTTCCAGGCGAGAGCGGCGGGAGAACCCCAGACCCCACTGCCCCCAGACCCGGGAGTCCTTCGGTTGTGGCCGGACTCCTCTCTGTCCATTCCCACGTCCGCTTTCTCGCTCCCAACAGTCCGTACGGAGAATCTAACGCCAAAGGGTAAAGCAACTTTCGGACGCGCTGAGGCGGCCGAACGGTCTCGGGTTGTGAAGGGGGAAATTTCGGGACTCGCGCCGGGAATTTTTTCTTTACCGACTGATATCTTCCTACCCCTGGGGGGGGGACACTGGTTGCCCCGGGGGTGGGGGTGGGACACTGAGTGCCCCGGGGGGTGGGGGTGGGACACTGAGTGCCCCGGGGGTGGGGGTGGGACACTGAGTGCCCCGGGGGTGGGGGTGGGACACTGAGTGCCTCTGGGGTGGGGGTGGGACACTGGTTGCCTCTGGGGTGGGGGTGGGACACTGAGTGCCCCTGGGGGTGGGGGTGGGACACTGGTTGCCCCGGGGGGTGGGGTGGGACACTGGTTGCCCCGGGGGGTGGGGTGGGACACTGGTTGCCTCTGGGGTGGGGGTGGGACACTGGTTGCCTCTGGGGTGGGGGTGGGACACTGAGTGCCCGGGGTGGGGGTGGGACACTGGTTGCCCGGGGGGTGGGGGTGGGACACTGGTTGCCCCGGGGGTGGGGGTGGGACACTGGTTGCCCCGGGGGTGGGGGGGACACTGAGTGCCCCGGGGGGTTGGGGGGAGGGACACTGAGTGCCCCGGGGGTGGGGGGTGGAGCAGCATCCGGTGTGCTGACCGTCGCGGCTGCCGGGGTGCGCGGGGGGGGGTTCGGCTGCTACTCGAGGCCGCGGCTCAGCCTCAGGCCCGGGCCCGGGCTCGGGCTCAGGCAATGGCGGAGCGCGGAGCTCACCTGACGGCCGCCGTCAGCCCCGAGCGGCCCAGTATCCTCGAGTTGGCGGCTCAGGACACGCTGTTGGCGGCGGTGCGGCCCGCGGCCCGGCACGTCAGCAAAGTGAGGCCGGGGTCCCGGGGCCTGTGCGTGGCCCCCCCCCCACTGCCCCCAACACTGCCCCCCCCCACTGCCCCAACACTGCCCCAATCCCCCCTCCACTGCCCCCCTCCACTGCCCCCCCCCACTGCCCCCAACACTGCCCCCCCCCACTGCCCCCCTCCACTGCCCCCCCCACTGCCCCCCTCCACTGCCCCATTCCCCCCTCCACTGCCCCCCACTGCCCCCAACACTGCCCCCCCCCACTGCCCCCCACTGCCCCCCCCACTGCCCCCAACTGCCCCCCCCCTGCCCCCCCACTGCCCCAATCCCCCCCCACTGCCCCCCCACTGCCCCAATCCCCCCACTGCCCCCCCCACTGCCCCAATCCCCCCTCCACTGCCCCCAATCCCCCCCCCACTGCCCCCCCCACTGCCCCCCACTGCCCAATCCCCCCCTCCACTGCCCCCAATCCCCCCCCACTGCCCCCAATCCACTGCCCCCCCCCACTGCCCCAATCCCCCCCCACTGCCCCCCCCACTGCTCCCAATCCCCCCTCCACTGCCCCCAATTCCCCCCTCCACTGCCCCCAATTCCCCCCCCACTGCCCCAATCCCCCCTCCACTGCCCCCAATCCCCCCTCTCGCTGCCCCCAATTCCCCTCCAATGTCGCCAACGCCCCCCACCCCAATTCGCCCCCATGCCCACAATTCCTCCGCCCCCCCAATGCCCCCCATAAGACACAGCGCCCTATCACGTCTTCGCGACGTCTCAAAGCGCTTCACAGAATACACTGTAAAGTGTCGTGACTGTGTATTTCGTGGGCGAAACTTAATAAGTTGACCGCTCGCTCACCGAAGTAGTGTTTCCGCAAATTTGTTCTGTATTTCCGCCCCCCCCCACCCCTCCCCTTCCCCCCCCCCCCCCCCCCACCCTTCAATCGCAGGCCGTGTCCTCTGGTTCTACTGTTCAGCACCTTATTCATTTGTATTGCAGGCGCTGGCGGAGTCCAATCCCGGCCGCTACGGATTGCTGTGGCGGTGGTTTGACGAGATCTACACGGTGCTGGACCTGCTGCTCCAGCACTACTGCCTGTCCCGGAGCGCCGCCTCCTTCTCCGAGAACTTCTACGGTCTGAAGAGAGTCCCCGCGGGGGTCACGGGACCCTCGGGGCTGGCTTCCCGCGGACTCCCGACCGCCCACCACCTCCGCTCCCTCCTCCTCCTCGTCCTCGTCCCGTACCTGAGGGTCAAGCTGGACAAGCTCTTCGGCAGGCTGAGGGAGGAAGAGGATTACGCCATTCGCTTCCCCGCCTCTCACCGCCAGCGCTTGCACAAGGCCTTTCTCGCGGCCTACCCCTACCTGAACATGGGCTGGGAGGCGTGGTTCCTGGCTCACCAGCTGCTGTACGTGTTCGGGAAGGCACGGCATCATTCGCCCCTGCTACGGCTGGCCAGGGTCCACTTGGTGACTCTCTCCCTTGCAGACGTGCTGGATCTGGAGAAGAGGTCCTCCTCCACCAACGCATCACAGCCCGGGCACAGGTAAAGCGAGGACTGGCATTTTACTTTTGCGACCGCCTTACAACAGCAACAGCTTGCATTTATACAGCGCCCTTCAAACGGGTGCTATATAAATGCACCCTTACGTACGTTGATAGGTTTCCGCATGTGTCAGGCAAAGAAAAATTACCCAACGCCTTATTACTTTGAAACATTTTATCTGGTAGCCCCTAATTTCCTCCCGACGTGAAAGTTGCTATGCAAATGTAATTTTGTTGTTGTTGTAATTTGGCATAGTTGAATCCTCTGTGTATATTAACAACAACAACAAGAACAACATCAACATATTACATTTGTATAGCGCCTTTCACGTGATGATTACGTCCCAAGATGCTATGAGGTCAAATATTTGGACCCGAGCTATGGGTAGGAATAGGAGGGGAGTGAAGGGCAAGGAGGGAAAGCTGAAGGCAGTACCTGGATTATTAACCCTCCCTCTCTCTGTCTCTCTCTATCTTAGTGTGACTGAACAGCTGACCTTCTTCTTTAGCAAAGCATGCGGACGCCTGGCATCTTCCCTATCCACCGGCCTGTCCTTGGGGGTCTTCTTCCTTCAGTTCCTCGAGTGGTGGTACTCAACGGAAAACCAGGAGACTGTGAAGTCGCTGTCCTGCCTCCCAACCCCTCCGCCTCCGGTCCACCTCGACGGACATCTGGCTCCCGCGGCCTTGCCCGCCTTGAAGAGCCTCTGCCCGCTGTGCCGCAAGCCACGGGCCAACCACACCGCCCTCTCCACCTCGGGCCACGTCTTCTGCTATAGGTGCATCTATGCCTACGTCAAGCGCCAACAAAGGTGTCCGATGACTGGCTACCCTTCGGAGCTGCAGCACCTCATTAAACTCTATTCCCCCGAGGGCTGAGCCCGTGAGGCTCAGAGGATCAGGCTATGCTCGATGGCTTGTGCCTCTCCAGCCCCCCACCCCCACCACCCCACCCCATCCGCCTTGGCTTGATTCAGCCAAGTTTGGTTTACAAGCTCTGTTACATCGAAAGGTAATACATTCACTGAGCTGGACTGTGCAACAGTATACTGTTTAAGTAACCTCTGGTAGTCAATGGTGGGTTGCAGCCTGGTGCCAGGATAGGCAATGGCAGATCAGCACTTAGACCAAGTGACAGTTGTAGGCTAAATGCTCTCTCTCTTCCTTCTCACACTCAGTAATATATATGATAATCCTTGCATTTGACAGAGCACCTTATCACGCCAAGAGCACATCTCAAATTCCCCTCAAAAAACAAGACTGAAATTCCGCTGCATTGTGAAAAACATTGCTCTTTTCTCTAAAGTTAATGTCACAAGGATGATTGTAATAGCGGGTGACCTGCGAGAGTCACGTGTCTATTACGCTTACCATTTTAATTAAGACACACTCTCGGTGGCACCACTGAGAGCATCTCAAACTTGTCCATGGCTGAGGGGTTGGAAAGGGAATAAAGCGAGTTTGAATGACCAAAAAAAAAACTTCTCACTGTAAATTTGCACTGGCCACACTGGACTGCATCTTGTGAATTTATCTTGTTAAGAATGAAATCGCACAATTAATAGTTGGGGGTGTGGGGTGAGAACTGAATCTCCCTCTCCCCCAACAGGGAGAAACTACTTTTATTAAAGGGTAGATTTTGTTTTACTGTGATGCTTATTTGTCAAAGATGATTTCCCTCTGTTAGTAACTCCTTGACTTACAGAACATCAGAACGATGGCTCCAATTAGTAATGGAAGCTCGATCAATGCTAAAACCTCAACACTGTAATTCGCAGACACACTAACTTAATCCATTGTTCCTCCCCCTATCCCACTCTGTCTAGACTCAGACTGAACACACACTCAGCTGCACCAGGTACTCTTAACAACAACAACAAATTACATTTACACAGAGCCTTTCACATCAGGAGGAGTCCCAAGGCGCTGGACAGTCAGGGATCCCGACCCGAGCTGGTGGTTGGAATCAGGAGGGGTGGAGGGCAGGGAAAATAAGGGGTGGAGGGCGACCGAAGGCACGGTGAAAGAGACAGCTCTCGAAGGAGGTAAGGGAGGGGGCTACGTGGAGGAACTGTGGGATGTAGTTCCAGAGGGTGGGGGCAGAGAGGCTGAAGGCTTGCCTGCCAATGGTTTGATGGTTTGAACAGTTTAACTCGATTGAGTTTGACTGCGATTGGCGAGGTGTTTGGGCACCGGGTAAATAAAAAGGCCCTCGGAGAGGGAAGAGCGTGGCACAGTATTGTCAAGGGGGCATGACATTGGGCACATCGGGCAGGTCTGTTCTTCTTGCACGTGTCATTCAAAGCTGTCTCTGTCAGCGGCACAGTGGAACTAAGAAGGCAGAATAGCGACAACACTGCTCGCTGTTGTGAGGCTGGAATGTGTGGAGCGGCCGCCGACAGAGCCGGGCTCTCAGCGCCCGCAGACATATGTCAGCAAGGTGTCCTTGGCCTGCTCACTGGCATTGTACGAGCTCATACGGACTCGCAGACAGGCAGGGATTACCAGCCACGAACAATAGGTGTTTTGTGAGGTCGTCTTTGCTACCTTAACCCTTCCAACTACAATCACATCCTCTGTCAGGCATTCGTCCACACGGTTCACCGATGCAACATTGCCGCCGTTTCTATCGATTTGCATATCGTTCCCCCCCCCCCCCCCACCCCGACAGACACACACACACACCTCTAAAGACCTTCCTTTTTGATCGTGCTTATGGTCGGTCGGCTCTCTGCTCTCCCTCTCCCTTTGGCTCGTTGTCAGACTCTGGCGCTGTGAAGTGCTCCGGGACACGACCACGTGTGAAGGGCGCTATATAAATGCAAGTTGTTGTTTATTGGGCTCAGCCATAAGGTTCCCGGTGCGATCCATCTAACCCACTCTTCAAAAACCCTACCCCAATCCTTAAAGCGTATCCACGGAGAGGAGGGCAGAGAGAGCTTTTGCTCTGCATCCAACCATTTGTAATCTGTACCTGGGAGTGATCGCTGCCCAACATCCCAGCGATTAATGAAATACTTCATCGGGTCTGTCCTAAAATGACCCTTCGCCCTTCTCAACCTATGCCCTCTCTTGTCCCGTTGCCTAGGCACGTCTGAAAGGATTGCCATGTTGGTGCCAAGTCATGAGCAGTTTCGTGCTCTGAGCTTAGACTGCCCCCAAACCCATTTCACGTAAGGTCCCTTGCATTGACAGAGGCTCCTGTTGAGCACCTTACATAGCTCCTATAAGGAGGGAGCCCTTTCAAGGCGAGAGAGACAGTATTTGATCAAGATTACACACCTTGCCGGAAACGCAGCTAGTCTTGCACGCTCTGTATCACGTTCCTCCTCTGTACAGTTTCCATGCCCAAGAGGACAAGAATGCTAATTGCAGATGGTGAGATCAAATCTGTTGATATGGATGTCAATTTTCCAGTCGATTATTAGTGTATCTGCAGCTCATGTTGCTTCGGAAACAGGCTGGTAATACGTACGAGGGAACCGAACATTTATTTGAGATGAATTTAATGTATCATCTACAGACTTGCCCGAGAGAGAGAGAGAGACGTGCAGGATGTTTCATTGTGCATTGTTGGTGTCTTAGCTTCAGCAAACCCTTCTCATTTTACCTGCATAATAATAAAATAACAATAATCCTTGCATTTGATATAGTGCCTTATCATGTTCTGGGAGCGTCTCAAAGTGCTTTGCAACATTTTGCTGTAAAGACTGTCTATTTGGTCGGCGAATGCAATGGCCAATTTGAGCACAAACATCTCAAAAGCAGCCGTGATTAACCAAACTTATGTGGGGGATTGTTGGCCAGGACATCGGGAGAGAGAAACTCCCTCTCCTTTCAAATAGTGTCTCGGGATCTTTAACATCCACCTGAACAGGCAGACAGGACCTCAGTTTAATGCCTGATGCAAAGCATGGCACTTCCAACAATGCAGACCCCCCCCCCCGCCCCAGAACTGGCACTGGGAGCATCAGCCTAGACTGTGAGATCAAAGCCTGCGAAGTAGAGCTTTGAATCTACAACCTTCTGAGTCAGAGAAGAGAATTCAAACCAACCAACCGAGCCACGCTGCCCCCGTGCCTAGTTGTAACACGATATCATGTTAAGGATCCCAATGTACTGTACTGAATTGTCAGCTTTGCTCAGTTGATAGAACACTTGACCCAGTCACTATACTCTACAACAATTACCTGTGAAGAGCCTTGAGATGTTTCAAGGCTTTATAAGGGTGGTTATGATTTAAATGCTTGTGGGACCCTCGAAAGATGAAAGCAAGGACGCCACTGAGACATGTGGTTTCCTGGTGCTTTAGAACAGGTCATGTCCGAGATCAGATTTCCTATTGTCAATTCACTTGAACCATTCGACTTGCCTGTTTTCCTTCCTTCCAGTTTGTTTTATGAACCCAGTTTTGTAGATTAAATTATTTGTGTGTAATTTCACCTCTTCTTCACGTCGGCTTCATGTTTCGAGGGGAGCATTGTGTTGCGAAATCCTGTTTGGACAATGGTACTTCCCACTGCATAGTGCAGACCTAAGGGACGCAGTGTTTATGTAGAAGACTAAAAATGGTATTGACGATATGCTTTTATTGGGGACAGATGAAGCAATCAGTTTGGCAACTAAGCCAGGGGACTGAATGTCGAGGTTGTTCTGAATTGCATCAAGAGCCTCAGGTGAGGATATTATATTTTGGGGGGATAAATATCAAATGACACTTCCGCTCCCCCAAATGGTAGAAGTTGCAAATCTGAAGTGAGGTGGGGAGGGTGTTGGGAGGTGTGATCTCAACCTCTGACGTTTCAAGAAAACCTGTTTATTTATTGAAGAAATCATTCCCTCTCCACACGTTGTGATGTGAGAGATTCCCTGTTAGACTCCAATGTTGTTGTCCTGTTAGCCATTGAAGACCTTCACTCACAGGAAGCACTTTTTTGCACAAAATGATTGATGATTGAACGCAAACTATCTGCTCACTTGCTAAGGTTTGCTTAACACAGCTTTGAAGACAAAGCTGTTACAGAAGCTGTTTTCGCATGCTTGATTCATGATGGAAAGTTGTTCTGCCTTCAAATAGGACGTGGGTGCAAGTAGGACGAAATGGGACATGCGAAAAATTGACTGTTGCATTTGGCCACAAAAATTCACAGTCACTACACTTTAGAGTAAAATCCTGTGAAGAGCTTTGGGACATCCTCCTGATGTAAAAGGCATTGTATGAGATGTAAGGGTTGTTATTATTTGGGCATTCCCGGGCAATTCTCTTCGGCTATGCTTTCGGTCACCTTTTCGGTCACCTTTTCCCTACCCCACCCCCATTTTTTTTGTGTGGGGGGGGAGGAGAAATAGGAAGTCTTTCGCTGGGGATGTTAAGTGCTTCAAAGTTGTTTGTGTGTGTGTTTGTTGTGTGGTTGGTGTGTGTGTGCAGTTATATGGTTGACAGAAAAGCAGCTAAAATGGAATTATCTCTTTCGTCCCCCCCCCCCCCTCCCCAGTTAGAAGCAAATCACTCTGCTTCCTTGAGTCTTCTCTGCACCTGGTAGGATTAGCATTACTGAAAATAACAGCCACACCTTCAGGTCCTGAAATCCGAGACACTCAGTTAAAATAAAAAATATTCCATTGACTCACTTGTTTTCAGGTGCTATAGAATATACATTTGAGACCGTCACTTGGTATAACACATCAGGAAAACTTAAGTAACCAATTTTTTTTTGGTGTAATCATCTTAGTTTTTTTTTAACGACCAGACAGGTCGACCACAAGTGCAGGAGGTGACGGTGATGTCTGCTCTTGGCTCTTTAAGGTGCCGGATGTCTCTTGTTTTCGGAGTGCATTAAGTTACCCATCAGTGGTTCTGAGGAACTGGATGACTGAGCTGCCTTTTCTGACTAAAACCAGCAAATAGCTCTGGATAAATATACCAGAGGGGGAAAAAAAACACACAACTCTAAGCCAACAAGATCAAGTGGGCTCTATCTATCGACTGCTGTTGCCTTTTTTTTCCGTTATTAAGGGGCGAAAAATCAATTGATTTCCAGGTACGTGAGTCCTTAACAAAACTTTGTCCTGCGGCTGAGAGTACACTAAAGAATGGGCATGTGTGTCAAACAGACTTGCTCCTGACGTTAGCAATTTATGAATGGACTGGGTGATGTTCTAAGGCTGCAATTTACAAATGTTCTGCTTTTTTTTTTCTCTCTCTCTCCCCCCTTTCCTCTCTCTCTCCTCACCAATATATCAGACCAGAAATTAGATTTGAATCGATATACCATGAATTGTCCCAAGGTTAACTAAAAAACATTTTAAAATGATCGTTCACGGGGAGAGGGATTCACCCAGCGAATGGATTACAAAAGCATTTTCATCAAAGTGGATTATTGCCTTACAGACAGCTTAATATTGTCTTTTGTATTGGCGAGGGAGCCTTGAAGCAACTTTATGATTTATACTGTGGTGTCGTTGTACATCTGAGAGCTGTACGCTTTCGAATGAGGTAAGATCACACATAAAGTTGTGCTCCCGACATGAAAGTTGCTGAATAAATGTAAATTTTATTGTATTGAAGTTATTTTGCAAAGATTCCCGCACTTTGCGACTGAGAAACCAACTGTTAAAGATAGTTAACTCAACCCATTCTTTCAACATTCTGCGCCTTAATCAACAATAACAGCAACTTGCATTTATATAGCGCCCCTCACCGAGGGTAGCGTCCCAGAGCTCTCAAAATGCTTACCAGGGTTGACTGGGGACTGTAATGACCGTGTTTTGTAGGCAAAGGGAGGTGTATCAAAAGAAAAGAAAAATGAGAACATGAGGCCATGACATTAGCAATTGTCGGTCTATTCTTTTTACCCTGTGGGAATGTGGGGCAGGAGGAAAACTCAGCTTTTGATTTGGGACAGGCCTCACCCATTTGTGGGCTCATGAGATGAGTGGATAAGTGCAATACGTGCAAGCTTAAGTGCTTTGACATGTCTTCCCGACATGAAAGACGTTGTCTAAATGTATATTGTATTGTAATTGCTATTATAAGAACAGAAGAACACAAGAAATGCTAGATGAAAAAAGACCAAAGTCCACCTAATTCACCTTCCACCTTCCTGGCGGTCGCATGCACATATGTCCCGAACTACCTATGTACTATATCCCATAATGTTATTTCCTAAAATAATACTATAAAAGCTATTGTTTAAATAGTTAAAATCAACAACATACAACGTTTTCAAACGCAGAGATACAAAAGTCATTGCTTCAAATGATCAGCCAGGCCTGAGAACCGAACAACTTATAAAACATTGGAATCTCCAGCAGAAAGTGCAGAGAAAGAAAACATTTGGAAATGATTTCTTTCTCATTGAAGATGAGTTTCCCCCCCTCTCTCTCTCTCTCTCTCTTGCTCTTGGTGTGCTATTTTCCTGCCTGAGACGCTATCTTCAGTGCCTTTCAGACATTCTTGGTTAAAGACTTTGGTTGAGGGAGAAAGACAAGGGTGGGGAAGCCACGAAAACACAAAAGAGAACATTATTCCCCTTGGAGTCCACTATACGCAGGATGAATAGAGTATTGAAAAGCTCATCATTTGAGGCTAGATTATTTTTCATCCTTCATAACTAAACCATTTGTCCGTAAGGAAACAAGTGGTTTGTAAGTATAATTTGCAAATATGAGAGTTTTTCAAAGCTTCGAGTCGCAAAATACAGGAACCATCAGCCAGCTCTCCTTTGTAATATTTGCATCCAATTTGTACAGTAATTAGCTTTGATGTGTTAATGGTTTGTTAATCTGTGTCTTTAATCAATGGAATGGTTTTTGTGGCACTTTTTTTCAGTGACATAGACTTACGGATAAGCAGCGGGATCCAGGTGAGGTGCAATTACACTTACAACACAACACAAGTTTACATTAAACAGCGCCTTTCACGTCGGGAGAACATCAAAGGCACTTAAGAGTCCTGACTTGGCATCTGAGTTGGGGTTGGGAGCCGGGGTGGGTGTGTGGGATGGGGAGGGGAGAGATGACCGAAGGTGCAGTCAGTGAGGTAGGCCTTGAAACAGGCTCTGAAAGAGGTGAGGGAGGGAGGGAGCAAGTCGGAGGAACTCCGGGATGTAGTCCCAGAGAGTGGGGGCAGATAGGCTGAAAGCCCAAATGCCCATGGGTTAAGGCAGGGAAGGAAAGGAACATGAAGCAGGCCGGTTCCCGCTGAGCGAAGGGTTCCTCAGCACCACTGTGGGTGTAGATTTACGAGACAGGAGACACATGAAGTCGATGCATCTTGTGGCAAGTGGTGGAACACTGTGGGATTTCACAATAAGGTATAGGACCAGGCGAGTCCACAGTGAAGCCAATACAGTGTTGGCGGTCAACCTTGCCTGTCTGGCTGATCAATGAGGCTTGAAAGTATGAAGGTGTATCCACAACCCTGTGAGCCAAAGCCATAACAAGTAGGGAGGGTGGTGTGATGTGATTTGTAGAAGCAGTCTTCTCTGGCACCACAAAGTACCATGTTCCTATCAGCACCAGATCCTTCCTTCAGTGTTAAGTCTCTAAACTGTGAGAATATCACAGATATGATGATGTATCTTTGTCTCTCCTACAAACATCTTACTATTATCTTGTCAAGATCTTTTGTGGCCCGATCCAAAAGTCAGCAATCTAAGCCAATTCAGAAGTCACTGTCTGACTGGCCAAGTGTGACGGGCACTGAGATTGTGAGCTCATTTTCTAGAGTGGAGCTGAACAGGTTTCACAAATGAAGAGGATTTGACAATGACGGGAGGCACTTCAGTTATGTGGATGCTTTTATGTGTGGGGGGGGTGGGGGGGGGATCGGCTTTCCAGGAGTTGGGTGGGTGCCAGGGCTGGTGGAAGAGAGACCGGTAGTGCAGTAAACGGCCACAAAGTACGCAGTCACTCCACTTTACAGTATATTCTGTGAAGCGCTTTGAGACGTATCGAACCTTGCTTTTAATGAACCAGGAACCTTGCTTCTAATGTCACATCAGAATAATGGAATTCCCAATATTGTAGCTTACAGTACAATGCTGGAAAGCCAACCTGGACTGTGAGCTCAAGTCCCAATGTTGGGGCTTAAACCCACAACCTTGTACGAGCAAGGAACAATGACTTGAGCTGATTGAAGTTATGCCGCCGCAGCTCTAGGTCTGGCCTGGAGATTTTTAATACAATACAAATTTACATTTAAACAGCGACTTTCCTATGACTCAGGAGGACATCCCAAAGCGGTTCCTGGCAACAGAAGGACGATTTCCAAAGCCTCGAAAAGAAATGGCTCCAAACAGCTATCGGCTGATTCAGCTCCGAAGATGCGCGACTGGGATATGTCTGCTCATCGCACTGTTAACCTCGCTCACACTTCTACTAGGTTACCTCGAGAGGCCGGGTGAGTGTGGCTGCTTTCCTTCACCATCGAGTTCCGTGCTCGTCTGCATCGGAGAGGTTCTTATTTTGCACGTGCACATCAGAGGTCTGTGGCTTTCACTATCCTCAAAAGATAAAAGTCCCTGTAAGAACTTTCATTTTATTATTATAATAATAATAACAATCCTTGCATTTGATGCAAGTAAACTCCTGATAAATAATAATAGTCCTTGCATTTGATATAGCGCTTTATCATGTCTTCGAGACGTCTCAAAGCGCTTTGCAGGATTTTAACCACGAAGATCAGAAAACTTGCTTTTAATGTCACATCAGAATGATGGAATTTCCAACAATGTACAGTCCTGCAATGTCAACCTGGACTGTGAGCTCAAATCGTTGCATTTGATGCAAGTAAACTCCTGTTAAATGGCGTTAAAGCCGGAAAGAGCCCATCAGCAGCAATATATGTTGCAAAACCCATTTAACTGTGAAGAGTTATCGAGGGTGTGCTGTGTGCAAACCGGTTGCCGAATTCAGCTGCAAAGTTTTACAGTAAATCTGTGACAGGCCTTGAGCTGTTCTGGATGTTGTGGGTGCTGTATTAAATGTAAGGATTATTCTTACGCTCTCGGTGATCAGATTGCTGCTTTTGTGGCTCTGTCAGGAGCGCGGCTGCTCTCGGGTCTCCCGGCGAGATCAATGCTCGTGAACCCTCACTGCCACTGATGAGCTGAGCGCTTTGAGGCATCTCGAAGACGTGATCTGGTGCTATAGCAAATGCAAGGATTATGTATTATTATTACTGATGCATTTTCCTTCATTTGCAGAAAGTAAACCCGTTTCAAAGCGCGACGTCACAAGTAAGTGGATCTCTCGTCCCTTTGCACTCGCCGGACCCACATTTACATGCGTCATCCATGTACACACTTGTGCACAGAAATACACACGTAAAGCCATCGTTTTTTTTCCTCTCTCCACTACACACCTACCATCCTCTCCTCCTTCCCGCTTCCCCCACTTCCCTCATCCCCTTCCCCCCCCCCAACCCTTTCAATCTCTGCGGTACCTTGCACAGTAACAGTTATTCCTTTCCTCTCTCACTCTCACTTTAGATATCACATCATCAGTTCAGTCCTCCGAAGGTAAGGCCACTGTGCTAGTCAAGCTTTGAACCATTGAATCATCGCATAGATTCACAGCAATTTTCTCGGGAGTGAATCTATTTATTAAGCATAGAATTTTCATGTCACTTTGCTTATTGCGTTGGCATTCTGCGAAACATTTCATCCCCAGCACATTACCATGTGCAAATTGGCTGCCCTCAACACACACAGTCACTACACTTTACGGTATAACCCTGTAAAAAGCTAAAAGGCTTTGAAGATGTCCTCCTGATGTGGAAGGTGCTTAATCAGATTGCAATAATTATGGTTGTTATGATTGTTATTGTTGTCTTCTTCCAGCCAACCTTCCTCCCAGATGAAATGGTCGCTCACTTTGTTGGACCTTGATGTGTGCAAAATAATTGCCATGTTTGGCTGCAAAAACAAGTCACCTGATAGCAATTGTTGGGAAACACTTCAGTGTTATTAAAAATATAAGACCTTCTCTCTCTTTCTTTCTCTCGCTCTTTCTTTCTGTCTTTCTCTCTCTTTTTCTGCTGTTGTCCCACAGCACGGCTAGTGAACGGGAGGAGCGGGTGTGAGGGGAGGCTGGAGATCATGTACAACGGGACCTGGGGCACGGTGTGCGACGATGACTGGGACATAGTCGACGCCAACGTGGTCTGCCGGCACCTGGGGTGCGGGCGAGCTCGCTCGGTCTCTACCAACCTGGCCTTCGGCAAGGGCTCGGGCCCCATCCTGCTGGACAATGTGGATTGCAAAGGGACAGAGCGTTCACTGAGCCAGTGTGGCAGCCTGGGCTGGGGCATCCACAACTGCTACCACTATGAGGACGTCTCCATCATTTGCAATGGTAAAAGGTTTGGCTTTTTTTGCATCCTCAAACAGTCACCAGCTTCAGAACTCCACCACGCCGGGAAATTCACCGGCAAAGTGTGCGCTTCAGCAAACATTCCTGTAGAATTGTTTGGGTTACAGCACAGACGGTGGTCACTGGAGCTCTGTACTCTAATCCCATTCCCCTGCACTCTCCCCCAACGTGTTTGTGCTGGTACTGTTTATCCTCCCAAAGCCTCTAACATGCTGAACTCCCCATGTACTGCACGTACCCAGGAGACATCCGTGTGAAGACTTCAGCGTGTTTAGGACAATAGATTACCAAAGAGCTTTGTCGTTCATTTTTACGTTCTGCCTCTTCAGATTTCAGTTCCCCATCGCTCAGCCCAGTGAGTAAGAACGTGGCTTCGGCAGAGAAGAGCGTGGAAGGTAAGACACAAAAACATCCACACGACCTAAGTCAGATTTGGTTCCTCGCTTTGGGGGAGGGCGGGGTGGGGAGGATGTAAGGAGGGAGAGCAGGACAACAACATTGTTAGACCGAGTCCTTGGAAGGAACACACCCACGTTAGTTGAATGCCTTACCCAGCACTATATATGTCACACTTTTCTCGTATTTTATTTAATTTTCGCCTTGCCGCCTCTCTCCCCACCTTTGCCTTCCACCGTACCTACGGTCACCTTCTCCCTCACCACCACCCCCCTCCCCCGGCTCAGCATCGGGCTCCACCACTGTTAAGAGCTCCGAGACGCCATCCGGGGTGAAGGGCCCTAGATACATGCAAGTTGTGGGTGTTGTTGTCTCTTCCAGAGGGCAGCATCCGCCTGGTGAATGGACAGAACCCTTGCCAGGGCCGAGTGGAGATCAAGCATAGAGGGCAGTGGGGCACGGTGTGCGATGACGACTGGGGCCTCAGTGACGCCAGCGTGGTGTGCCAGCAGATTGGCTGTGGCAAGGCCGTCTCGCACACCACCAATGCCTACTTTGGCTACGGCACAGGCCGCATCCTCCTGGACAACGTGAACTGCGATGGTGCGGAGACCTCGCTGGCGAGCTGCTACAGCCTGGGCTGGGGGGTGCACAACTGCGGGCACCACGAGGATGCTGGCGTCATCTGCTCAGGTACCATTGGAGTCCTGTAGCTTAGTGGTTAGAGGACCCGGGTTCGATTCCCCGGCCATGCAAACCCTTAAGCAAGTTACCTTACTCCACTGTTTACTCAGCTGTAAGTAGCCCTGTGAAACATTTTGTGAGAGGGTGCTGTAAAAACTTTCTTTTACCCCCCTCCCCACCACCAGAATCTTGGACATCCACAGCAGCCCCTGATGTCCTCTCCACCTTCCTTGTCCCCAAGCAATATGATGCAGAATCCACCTCGGATACCAACCTGGGTAAGAAATTCTGCCACCGTATATAAATGTTCATCTCAGGCTAAGAGAATGGAACTTATGTGGAATTTACATTGTTTGTTCCTTCTTTTCACTCTTTCTCCCCCTCTCTTCCTCTCCCTTTCCTTCTCTTTCTCTTTCTGCCCTTCTCTTTGGCGATGGGCATGATATGAAATCAAGTGGTTGTTGTTGTTGAATTGTTTCCGTTCAAATTTAGTCACAGATGCTACGGAGCAAGTTTCAGAAGACATTAAGATAACAAAAGTATCGACTTCCCAAGCTGGTAAGATCATTGTGGGGGGAAGAGTGGGGTAATCAGATGACTATATTTGCCAACAAACCAAAGTGCCAGGAAAGGGTGGTTGAAGCCAGGACACTGGGTCTCATTTAAAAAGCAGCTCGATGCTGTGATGGGGAGGAATGGTAGGGTGGGTGTTCTGGAGGGATGAGATCGGATGGGCCGAAGGGCCTTCTTCATCCAGACCGATCTTATGACCTTTCGGTTATCGCGCTCGCCTCGCAAGCGAGAGGACCCGGGTTCGATTCCTGGGTGGGTCGAAACCTTAAGCAAGTTTCCTTACTCCACACTCCTCTGTTTAACTAGCAGTGAGTAGGAACCCGGTTGTTAGTCGATGGGCAGATGGGGGTAATAATCCCTCCGCCCAAAATAATAAATAAATATATTAACTTGGTCACTCAATCCACGTCAGTTTGTGTGGCACTGCTGCGCGCAATTGGCTGCCACGTTTCGCCCACAAAACACACCGTCACTACCCTTTTCAGTAAATTCTCTGAAGCGCTTTAATAATTATAACAATCCTTGCATTTGATACTGCGCCTTATCGCTCCTCCGAGTCGTCTCAAAGCGCTTCACGTGATATATACTGTAAAGTGAGTTGTGTATTTTGTGGGGTTTGAGACGTCTCAACGACGCGACAAGGCGCTATATCAAATGCGATTATTATTATTAATATTATTATTATTATTTTATTTTCCAGTCAAATCCATCCGGCTGGTGAATGGTAACAACAGCTGCCAGGGGCGGGTGGAAGTCTTTCACAACAATAACTGGGGCACTGTGTGCGACGACGACTGGAACATCAGGAATGCCGAGGTGGTTTGCCGGCAGATGGGCTGTGGCAGGGCAGTGTCCGCCACTCAGCTGGGCTCCTTTGGTTACGGCAACGACCCCATCCTGCTGGACAACGTCAACTGCCAAGGCACCGAGACTGCCCTCATCGACTGCTTCAACCTGGGCTGGGGGCAGCACAACTGCGGGCACCATGAGGACGCCGGGGCCGTCTGTAAAGGTAAACGACAACAACACCTTGCATTTGTACAGGGGCCTTCATGCGGGGGGTGGCGGCCCGGAACGCTTGACACTATAATCTGCGAAGCGCTTTGAGACGTCTCAAAGATGTGATAAGGCGCTGTATCAAATGGAAGCATTATTATTATTGCTGTTTTTATTGTTATTGTTGTTATTGTTGTCATTGTTATTGTTATTATTATTAATGTCATTATTATTATTATTATTATTAGAGCTCCACACTCCTGAGCTGGAAGACGTTGGTAGAGAGGCTCAGGCCACACTCAGCATGTCCGTGCCACCGTCCACAAGAGCGGCCGAAGGTCAGTGTAAAGTACAGCCAACGGGGAGAGTGTCAGCGCCCGACCGCACGTGTAATGCGATGGGTGTCTGCTTGGCTCGGTCGATAGCGCTCTCACCTCTGAGTCAGGCAGTTGTGGGATTTTCTCCCCCAATGTCCGTCCTGGCTGGCAACCCCCTCACCCACTCCCCACTCCCCCACTCTCCCCTCAGCTAAAATCGCTCATTCACTTTACGTCAGTTTACAGGGACGTCGCTGTGCGCCAATTGCTGCTACGATCGCCTACAAATTGCACAGTCACTGCACTTTACAGTGAATCCTGCAAAGTGCTTCGAGACCCCCCCACCCACGAAGTAAAAGACACTGTATCAAATGTGAAGGATTATTATTATTATTTATTATCGTGAATGTCGTCGGATGAGACTTTAAACCGAGGTCCCGTCTGCCTGTTCAGGCGGACGTCAAAGATCTCGCACCGTTACTCGAAGAGAGAAGAGAAGGGAAGTTCCTCTCTCCTGCCCGGTGTCCTGGCCGACATTCTCCCAAGTAAAATCGGTCTCTCATTTCCATGGCTGTTGGCGGGAAAATGCTGTGTGCAATTCACTGCCCCGTTTTGACCACAAAACACACAGTCACTGCACTCTATAGTATAATCCCGTGAGGGTCTTTGAAACGTCTCGACGACGTGATAAGGTGATCTACCAAATTCAAGCATTTATTATTATTATTATGGGTTTCCCCTCCTGTCTCCCCCATTGCCCCAGCAGTTCGGGACATCCTCCCAATGTGAAAGCACTACACTGTACAAATGCAATGTGTAGTCATTGTTATGTATTGTCTCTCCCCACCCCAACCCCCCAACCACACACCACCCCACCCCACCCCACCCAAGGAGCACTGATCCGACTGGTTAACGGGAGACACCGATGTGAGGGTCGAGTGGAGATTTTCTTGCTGACCCAGTGGGGGACGGTGTGTGACGATGCCTGGGACCTGAAGGACGCCCGGGTGGTGTGCAGGCAGCTGGGCTGTGGGCAGGCGCTGGCCGCCCGCGACGAGGCCTTTTTCGGGCAGGGATGGGGCTTCATCCTCCTCGACAACCTAAAGTGCCGCGGCAATGAGACCTCCCTCCTCCTCTGCTCCCACATCGGTTGGGACGTGCACAACTGCGACCATGGGGAAGACGCGGGGGTGACGTGTGCGCTATGAACAGTTCGGAGGCGACCGCCTGCCTTGGGTCTGGGGGATTGGGTGGGGGGGGGAGCTGGGGTGGGGGCGTTCGATTGGAAGGGAAGGAAGGACCGATCGATCGATCGATTGGAGGGGGTGGGACGATCATCAATCAATTGGAGGGGATGAACCATTGATCGATCGGGAAGTGGGTGCGGGGGGGGGGAGGGGGGGAATTGTGGACTTGAATATATGTAAATCTATAAATGTGTAAATAACTCTAAAACTCATCGAGACCGAGCGGGCCAGCGAGTCTGCCCTGTGTTTGTGCACTTTGTACATTATCCTGCGTAACTGAGCGCCGCCGTCTCTCGCCAGTAATTAGGTCACCGTGCGCCAGAAAGAATCTGGCTTTACAGAGCAAGAGGAGGTGAACGGGGAGGTGGGGTTGGGGGGGGGGGGATTGGGGGGGACGGACGGTTGGGGCGGGGAGAAGGCAATGCTAGGGCGGGGGCGAGGTCGCAGGTGATTTGAGGGTCGCACAGGGAGGGACGTTCATTAGATTTCAATGTAAATAGTAATAGTAATAAAATTGTAAAATCAAATTCCCTTCTCCCCCGCCACCACCCCCCCCACCCACACCCCCCTCCTGACTCTCCCAGTGAGTGTCCTGCCCGGCAATCCTCCAGGTCAAACGAAACACACAGTCACTCCACTTTACAATGTATTCTGCGCAAGCGTTTTGAGACGACTCAACGACGTGATAAGGCGCTATATCAAATGCAAGAATTATTATTATTATTATTATTAAAACTGGTCGTTCTCTCCATGTTTTGTCACTGGCTGGCTGCCACACTGGCCCACGGAACCAGTCACTGCACTACACTTGGACGGGAATTGTCTGCAAAGCGCTTTGACATGTTTCAACACTAGAAGCGTGTGTCAAATGCAAGGTTTATTATTTGATTAGGATGTCTTCCCCATTTACTCTTCTCCCCCACCCACACCCCCGCACTCCTCCCCACACACTGTAACCATGACTGATTGAGAGATGAGATCCAGAGCGAGCGGGTGAGGGATGGGTGGGGTGGGTGGGGGGTGGTAGTTGGAAGGAGCCCTATAGGGTATTGGCTAGAGCGCTCGACTTGCAAGCGAGAGGACCTGGGTTCGATTCCCCGCAGGGCAAAAAGTTAGGCAAGTTTCCCTAAGTAGGAACCTGGTTGTTATTCGATTGGCGGTGATAATCCCTTCAAAAAATAAATAAAAACAATAATAAATTGATCACTCAATCCATGATGGTTGTGGGACACTGTTGTGTGCAATTGGCTGCCGCGTTTCACCCACAAAATATACAGTGAATTCACTTTATAGTATATTCTGTGAACCGCTTTGAGGCGTCTTGAAGCCGTGATAAGGCGCTATTTGTGGAGTCCTGTAGCTCAGTGGTTAGAGCACTCGCTTTGCAAGTGAGAGATCTGAGTTCAATTCCAGGCAGGGCGAAACCTTGGGCAAGTTTCCTTACTCCACACAGAGCCTAATAATAATCCCTCCAAAAAACCCAAAACAATAATTAAATTGGTCATTTTCAATCTACGACTGTTTGTGGGACATTGCTGTGCGCAATTGGCTGCCGCGTTCGCCCACAAATATACAGTCAATTCACTTTACAGTGTGTTCTGTGAAGCGCTTTGGGACGTCCTCCTGACGTGAAAAGCGCTATATCAAATGCAAGGATTATTATTATTATTATTATTATTATTTCAAATGCAAGGATTATTATCAAATTATAACCAAACCCACTGAGAATGGACATGGTGTATTATTAGATGACTGAATTGCACTGTGTGTAATCTGGTTACAGAGACTGACAGGCGTCACTATTTATGTGGATGGTGCAGTATCTCCCGCTGTGTGATTTTAGCCTCTATTATATACTGTGTGTGTGTATTTGTGTGTGTATGTGTGTGTGCATATGTGTGTGTGTGCGCACAGTATCCTTTTGTTGCATACTGTATTTCAAAGCTACACAAATAAAATTAACACAGAAGATAACAGCCTGCGATCGCTGTTGCGTTCAGTGATGAGGTTACATTTACCTCGGAATAGTAGAAATATCTGCTGATTACCTGCTGTTGGTAGTTATTCTACAACAGCTTTGCCTCCACACCGTACACAGTCACTCCCTTTGGAGTAAATCCTGCCCAGGCAGCGCTTTGAGACATCCTCCTGACGTGAAAGGCACTGAATCGAGTTTAAGGATTGTTATTTATTTCGCCCACAAAATACACAGTTGATTCACTTTACGGTATATTCCATAAAGCGCTTTTGAGACGTCTAGAAGACGTGATCAGGGCACTATATCAAGATGCAAGGATTATTATTATTATTATTCGATCCCAGACTATAATTGGAATGAAATTAACGATATCAACTTCGTATGTACGTGACTAATTTTTCTTCACTGCGAATTTGCCACAAGCCTGCGGGTAAAGTGAATGGATTTCAGAGTCTTAGTAATAATAATAAATGATAAATGACCAGAGAGCAGAAGGCTTTGCTCCCTCTGCCCCAGCAGCGCAGAGCAGTGCAGATAGTCTGATTGCCAACTCTGCTTACTCAGCTCTTGCAGTTGCGCTCGGGGGGTGTGTAGTGTGTAGGGGGGGGGAGGGAAGGGTGGGGGAGTTGTCAAAGCAATTGATCCGTCAAGTCTGCGCTAGCGTCAATCATGGGCTGCTCCGAGTCAGGAAGAAGCGAGTCGTCGCCAGCCCCAAGGAAGAGCAAACAGTGCGGAAAACTATACTGTGTCTGCTTCCACAGGGCAAGACTGAAAGTCCACCATTGTGGAACCAAGTGCGAGCACACACAGGTCTATTTTTAATACATTATTCACTAGGGGCCTGTAACGAGGAGACCTTAAAAAAAATAATGTGGTCACTCGAACCATCACACTTTGTGGAACACTGCTGTGCGCAATTGGCAGCCGCGTTTTGCCCACAAAATACGCGGTCACTCTGCACTTCGCAGCGGATCCCTGCGAAGAGCTTTGGGACGTTTCAACGATGTGATAAGGCGCTGTGTCAAATGCAAGGAGGATTATTACCACCGGGCTGATAGCCTACTGGGCCTGCCTGCTCGCTGCTGTCAATGTAATTTTAATTTCTCAATCGAATGGCAAAACAAATAATAATTTTCGTCGTGGAAAAATGGAAAAACGCACGAGGGATGCACAGGCTTGTGCGTTCGAGAGCGCAGCCACCACGGAAACACAAAGCTCAGCCTCTCTCTCCTCGGGCCACCCTTTGCGCTCGCATCGCATTGCGTTAGGCTCAAGCTGGCTTGGGATGGGGGTGGGGGGTGTATGCATTTTACTGGACGTACTCCGAGAGCTAACATTTAAAAAAAAGGGGGGGGGGGGGGCATATTTTGTTCAGCAGGTGGGTCAGTAGGCAAGCGAGCCCTTGTTATTGCTGAGGCCTCACAGCGGAAATCACAGAGCGGTTTCAGTCAAGAGAGTGACTGCTGAGGCAGGAGTGACTTTCCATTTAAGAACAACTGATGGATTTGCCCTTGTGCTGATAGAGTCGGAGTTCTTCATCCTTGTCTCCCCCAGTGAGCACCAGCCAGGTATTATGTAATAATAATAATAATAATACTTCTTGCATTTGATGCAGCGCCTTATCACATCAGAAGGGCGTCTCCAAGTGTTTCAAAGGACTTACTGTGCAATGGAGTGACTGTGTGTTTGTAGGCAAACATGGCAGCACAATTGCGCACAGCCTTGTCCCACAAACAGCCACGGAGTGAATGACCAATTTTATTTGGGGGAATTGTTGGCCAGGAGATTGGGAGACAGAAACTCCCTTCTCTTTTTGAATAGGTCTATGGGATCTTTAACAGCCCCCTGAAGAGGCAGATGGGACCTCGGTTTAACGTCATGTCTGAAGGACGGAGGGCTGCTTGGATGTCAGTGCTGCAGGAAAGGAAGGTTAGCAGCCGCTCTGTAACTTCTGACTCGGGCCACTGGATGGAGCTCCATGTGTTTATGAAGCTGTGTGGTGGAGTGGTGGGCAGAACCCAGCCTCTGGCTCACTTCCAAACACACTTCTCACCCAGCCACAGCTGGGCGCAAAGGTGCTATAATAATACTAATCCTTGCATTTGATATAGTGCCATATGACGTCTTCTCAACGTCTCCAAGCGCTTCACAGAATATGCTGTAAAGTGAATCGACTGTATATTTTGTGGGCGAAACACAGCAGCCATTGGAAACAGCAGCGTCCCACAAACAGTCCTGGATTGAGTGACCAAATTATTATTATTATTTTTTTGGAAGTGATTATTACGCCTGGAAAAGTGATCCACCTAACGGCTAATAATTGGGTTCCTGCTTACTGCTCGGTAAACAGGCGTGTCAAGTAGGGTTTTTTTCCTGCCGGGAATCGAACCCAGGTCCTCTTGCTTGCGAGGTGAGCACGCTAACCACTATACTACAAGACTTCACAGGCGTTGGTGGGATAAATTTTATTTGGGGGATTGTCGGCCAGGACATAGGGAGAGAGAAACTCCCTTCTCTTTTTGAATAGTGTCATTGGGTTTTTAACATCCACCTGAATAGGCAAATGCAATGCAATAAAAAATTACATCTGTAAAGCGCCTTTCACCTCGGGAGGACGTCCCAAGGCTGAACAGTCAGGGATTAGGACCCAAGGTGGGGGTTGGTGGGGCGGATCAGGGAGGGTGCAGGGCAGAGATGGAAGGAAGGTGGCCAAACGCATGGAGGAAGAGGAGGGTCTTGAGGAGTGCCTTGAAGGAGGCAAGGGAGGGAGCAAAGCGAAGGGAATGTAGGATGGAGTTCCAAAGGGTAGGGGCAGAGAGGCTGAAGGCCTAACCGCCGATAATGGGACCTTGGTTCAATATCTCATCTGAAAGACGGAACCTCTGACAATGCAATACCCCCCAACGCTGCAATAGATTGTCAGACAACGTGGACAACATAAGTCCCGACGTGGAACCCTTGACCTTCTGCCTCAGAAAGGAGAGTGCTAACAACCGAGGCAGGGTGACACACCTTACAAAAACACGAAAGATAATAATAACAATAATAATCCGTACATTTGATCTAGTGCCTTCTGGGCTGCAAGGGTTATTATTATTTATCGTTAAAACTATTTCTGGTTCAAAATGCTCTTGGCCTGCGCTTCCCCTGGATGGACAGGTGCTCCTGGCGCAGACTGACATGGAATCAATCAATACCGTCAAACATCTCCTGTAGCAATGCAGGCTCCACAAGATAACGTTTGCCAGAAATCATCTTGAATTGATTTTTGAGGGTTTCTCTGAGATCAATTAGCTGGTTGAGGGGAGTAATGGGAAAATCAGTGCTGCGGGCGGTGGGGAGGAGGGAAGGGGAGTGAGGTGAGAGCAAAGTTCCAGTCCTTTTCAGGGCTGTTGTTGATGTCGGCGTTAGTGGCCCCATAGGCTACTTTGTATTATGGATGCTGGTTTGCGAGAGGATTTTGTAGGTGGGAAATGCCAATGGCATTGGGGTGTTGATGGTATATAATAATAATAATAATAATAATAATAATAATGATAGGGTGTGCTGGAGCCCAACCCACAATGGTTGCTGGGAGCAGAGAAAGAGCTGGGTGATGAGCATGGTGTGCGGGCGGGAGGGGTGTGGGGGGGATGTGTGAGGTGGGCGGTGGGGGAGGAGCGGGGTGAGGTGGAGGGTGGGGGGGGGGCATTGCATGCCAGGCATCACCAGATTGAGTTGCTATGGCTACTGCCGTGCTGTGGCTGGTGTGGAGGACCTGCGACCCGATTGGTATCTTGGATGCTAAGAATGCATTCTGTGTAAAGAGCACTTCTGAACAGAGATGTGCCTGATTGTGCGATTCAAAGATGTGCATCCTGTCTATGTGTGTGTGTGTGTATTTTAAGCAAAGAAACAGAAATAAATAAAGCGCAGTAGTTAATGATGATTCTCCTAACTGCGTTTTAACAGGGAGGGACTGTACTGATTGTGGCGAGGCTGCTCATCAGCTACACATTCACACGCCCAGCAATTGCTGTCCCCAGTACTGAGCAGCTGCTTCCTGTAACTCACAAGATTGATTCAGGGTGAATGTAAGAATAATAATCCTTACATGTGATACAGTACCTATAGTGGAGTCCTGTAGCTCAGTGGTTAGAGCACTCACCTTGCAAACGAGACACCTGGGTTCAATTCTGGGCAAGACGAAACCTTGGGCAAGCTTCCTTACTCCACGCACCTAATAATAATCCCTCCAAAACAAAAAATAATGATAAATTGGTCATTTTCAATCCACGACTGTTTGTGAGACGCTGCTGTGAGCAATTGGCTGCTGTGTTTCGCTCACAAATATACAGTCAAATTCACTTTACAACATATTCTGTGAAGCGCTTTGAGACGTCCAGAAGATGTGAAAAGCGCTGTATCAAATGCAAGGATTATTATTATATTATTATCATGTCTCAAAGCACTTCCCAGAATATATTGTAAAGTAAATTGACTGTGTATTTTGTGAGAGAAATGCAGCAGTCAATTGCACACACCAGTATCCCACAAACAGTCGTGGATTGCGTGACCAAATTTTTTATTTATTTATTTATTTATTGGAATGGATTATTACCCCGGAAGCGATCCACCTATCAACCAACAACCGAGAGGACCCGGGTTCGATTTTCGGGCAGGGCTGAAACCTTAGGTAAGTTTCCTTACTCTAGACATCTCCTTTTTACGTTGCAGTAAGTAGGAACCCAGTTGTTAGTCAATTGCCGGATCGCTTTCCGGGGTAATAATCCCTCCTCCAAAAAGCACAGTAATTTGGTCACTCAATCCAAGACTGTTTGTGGGACGCAATTGGCTGCGGCGTTTCGCCCACAAAATATAGTCAGTTCACTTTGCAGTATATTCTGTGCAACGCTTTGAGACGTCTCAATGTTCTGGTAAGGCGCTATATGAAATGCAAGGATTAATATTATTATCTACTCTACTCTAACCCCACAATAATCACGGAAGGAATTAAAAGGGGACAGACGATTTGCACAGATGGTTGCTGGAAATTTAAAGTTCTCCGACCCAAGCCGTTGCGGCCTCAGCTTATTGCATTTCACTCGAAGAAGTAGGTGCCTGAAAAAGAAGGGCTTCAAAGGGCACGCGGAAGTGGGGGGGGGGGGGGGTCGAGAAAGGAACAGCCATTCCCCCACCCATCTCCTTCCCGAGTTGGAAGCTTTCTCCATCACAGCAGCACCCACCACCCAAAGGCTCCTCATAGGACAATATGCAGTAGAACTGGTTTGCTGGTGGTTCTTGGGAACTGTAGTCTTCTGCGTGTATATATATGTATATGCACTGTATGTATAAAAACACACACACACACACACGAGCTGAGCTTTGCAAAGTCAAGAACTGCAATTGCAGCAGAGGGGTGGAGAGGAGTGGAGAGGAGTGGAGTGGAGAGGAATGGAAAGTGCGCATGCGCCAAGTCCGCCGCCGGGGGGGCACCCCCTCATTCGCTACATTGTATCCAGAGGAGGAAATCCGGGCGGCGCTATATATGGGCAGTGACGTCAGCGCGCCGGGGCTGGCTGTGCCTATATAAGGGCAGTGACGTCAGCGCGCCGGGGCTGGCTGTGCCTCTATAAGGGCAGTGACGTCAGCGCGGAGCTCTGGTGGCGGTGGGGGGGGGTGTCCTGTTACTGGTTACTGGTTGGAAAGGGGAGGGGTTGGGGGGGGGGGGGGGAGACACTGATGCAAACTGAAGCTGCGGCAAGTGGGCAAGAGGCAGACAGACAGACTGACTGACAGACTGACTGGTAAATCTATTGCTTCTTATATATATATATAATATAAAGGAGGCAGATTTTTTTTTTAAAAAAAACACACACCCCCCACACACACACACACAAAAAAAAGAGCAAAGGGTGGAAAGGCGCACAGACAAAAGGCAACCCAACCGGTCAGTCCTGCTCGTGTCTTTTTAACTCGTAATACATTTTACTTTTTTAGTCATTGCCTAATAGTATCCGCAGAAACGTACCAATTCTGTTGTGTGTTTTTTTAAAAAAAAAACAACCACCAAAAGCCAGAGACACCCAGATCCCACATCACCACCAGCAGCAGCAGCACCAGCACCACCAGCAGCACCAGCAAGAAAGCCATCAGCAGCAGCACAGCAGCCATGGTAGACCGTGAGCAGCTTGTGCAGAAAGCCAGGCTGGCTGAGCAAGCCGAGAGGTACGATGATATGGCAGCTGCAATGAAATCGGTAGGTCTCTTATTCTTATTTCCCCCCCCCCCCCTTTTCCCCTTTCCCCCTCTTTCATTCATTCGCCTCTCTCCCTCCCTCTCTCCCTCCCTCCCTTCACCCCTCTCCTCTCCTCTCCTCTCTCCTCTCTCCTCTCCACGTCTCTCACTCTCTTTAGGTTGCACTCGTGCAATATTCTCTCCACCACTGTAACCCCATCCCATCCCGACCTTTAAAACTGTGATTGAATAAGAAATGGGGCGATAGCGCAATATATATATATATATATATATATACACATATATATATATTGCGATGGATGGATGGAAATCGTTTGCAATATTGCTGGTGGGGTGGTGGGGTGGGGTGGGGGGGGTGGGGGGGGGTGTTGTTTCAGGCCTTGCACTGAAAGGGAGAGGGAGGGCTTTGACTTGTCAAATAAAATCATTTTTCAATTGAATTCATAAAGGATCGCAATCAGGGAAAAAAAAATTGGGCATTGATTTCTTTCCTTCGTGATCTTGCGAGTGCTAAAAGTGCCAACAATTTTTTTTTGGGGGGGTGGGGGGTTGTGGGGGTGGGGGGGGGTGGGGTATGGGGGTGGGGGGGGCTCTGGGCAGCATTAGATAAAGCTGTGTGTGTGTTGTGTGTCATTTTTAACAGCAACTGAACAGCATTGCAACTGTGATTTCATAGATAAAAATATGCTTTTTTAAAAAAAAAATGTGCTTTTAAAAAAAGGAAGAGAAGATGGGGTGGGGTGGGGGGGGGGGGGGGGGGGAAATCGACCAGAAAGAACATGCCAAAGGGGGGGAGAAGTAACAGAATGCGGTATAGGATGTTGGGGCGGTGCCGTGTGAGCAATTTCGTTTTCAACTCTTCCCCCAAACACTACACACACTCAGTCTCTCTGTCTGTCTACGATCCTTTGACTGATCACTCTTCCCTTTACTCTCTCTCTCTCTCTCTCTCGCTCTCTCTCCAGCATTCGGGGTGGGTGGGGTGACCTGCAATCCAATAGATCGAGATAATCTTGTGTGGGGGTTTCACCCCACCCCATCACCTCCCCACCCCCCATCACCCCCATCCCCCCATCACTCCCCCCCTCATCACCCCCACCCTCATCACCCCCCCCATCACCCCCACCCCCCATCACCCCCACCCCCCATCACCCCCACCCCCCCCATCACCCCCCCCCCCCATCACCCCCACCCCCCCTCCGCAAATTCGGAAACGTTAGCATCACATTGATTCCTGAGCTCCATTTGCTGAAGTTGAAATTGACCCACTGGTGATGGTGATGGTGATGATGGGGAGGAAGGAAGGATGAGGGTGGTGGTGGGGGTGGGGGGGGGGGGGGTAGGGAGGAGCTGCAATGGACATGTATGTACCAATGGGACATGGATGGAGCTCCCATCCCATCCCATCCCATCCCAAATGCTTCAGACCTGCAGTGAGTGGAGAGGGAGGGGTGTGGTGGTTAGGGAAGGGGTGGGGGGTGGGATGGGGGGGCAGTGAGAGAGGTGAAAGGGAAACAGAAAAGATGGTTTTCCTAATTTTCTCCCTCTCCCCCCCTCTCTGTGGAATGTGACCCTGCCTTATTCCTGAGCTGGCTGTCTGGTTCCAACAGTGAACAAAGCAAACATGGGAGGATAACATGTATATTGTATGTACAGATAAGCAGCCTCGCACACATGGAGAGAGCATTTCTAATTTGATATTTGTTTTACCCCTTTTTTTCCTATTTCTTTGTACTCGTGGGGGGGGGGGGGTGGGTGGGGGGGGTGTGCGAGGGATTAATTGAGGCGTGTTCATTTTTTTTGGCACTGAGGAACGGTGCAATCTGTTCAGCATGCTAAATGCCTCTTCTCTGTTGCACCATTTGTCAAAGGAGGAACCCGGTTTGCATTCACCGCCGTATTGGCGTCTTCTTTTATATGTGTGTGCGCGTGTGTGTCTGTTTGCCATGGTTATTGGCAATTTGAAGCTGGGGCTGGGGGTGGGTTGGGTGGGGGGAAAGAGAAAAGAAAGATGAAGGAAATTGCTAAACGTTTATTTTATATATTTCTCTAATTACACAGGAGAGGGTTTCAGCTTGTGTCATCCAGTTGCGTTCAGAAAAGGAATTTTAAAAAAATACTCCAGCGAATTAGGCTTATTCTAATGACTCGTATTTATTGTGTGACAATATTTTACGTAGTGGTTTGCGGTGGTCTCTTATCAATTTGGTTTCTATAATCCCTTCCTATCTCTCTTCCCTCCTTTCTCCCCTACCCACCCCACCTTCCGCTCACCCTCACTTCTGTTATCTGATTAATGATATCAGTGGGTTTTGCTTAGAAAATAGAGCTTTAATGGCACAAAATATCTTTCTTTCAGAGGCAGCTAAAGGTTACGTCTCTGTCCTTAAACAACTGCACTGCAGAACGTTTCACTGCCTTAGGCCATTGCTTACAATAACATTTTAATTTATATATACTAATTTCCCTGTCTCGTTCCCCATCCGCCCCCCCTCCCCAATAAATCCATGCTCAAAAAGGTGCCATGATCAGCTCCACAATGCAGTAAGTGACATTCCTTGGTTGCTGGGTGTGGTTGGATTAGTCGCGAGGGGACCACACCCATTTTTCTCTTTCTCTTCTCCTTCTTCCCCTTCTCCCCACTTCCGGACCCCCCGCTGCCCCACACACGTACAAGCCAGGCGACCGATGATGAGCTGTTAAAAAAAAAAACCACACGCATCCTTCAGCCGAAAGCTCCAGCATAAACCCTGATCTAGAATCGAGTTTGTAACTGCCTTGTCATCATGTTCTCTCTCTCCCTCTCCCCTCCTCCCCCACTCGCAATCCAGGGGCCTTGCTGCCCCAGCTAACGTTTGAGCCAAATTGTAAAGCCTCAGCTTTCAAAGGCATGTTTCTCCGAGGCAGAGTCCGATTAACGTAAGTGCAGAACATCGACTTGTGGGTCTGTCGTTGGAAGACGAGAGCCAAACCACAGACAGACAGTCAGACAGCCAGACAGACAGACAGACAGACAGACAGGAGGCGACTCAGATGCACGGTTCAAACCCCGACTACCCGGAGGGCAAGATGGAGTTTTTATAAATTGGAATCGCATTTCTTTCCAATAATGTGCAATTTTTATTTAAATTTCTGAAAAACAATTGGGGACCAAATGTTCACGAGTGCGTCGGTTATTGCATTGTAGAGAAATAGCTCGTCTGCACGGTGGAGCTAACCTTCCTCGTTAATACGTCCCTCGCCCTCCAGTTATTCGTTGCATTTCACCATGTACTCTTGTGGGAAGATGTAAGTGAACAATTACAATACAAAATTACATTTCTAAAGCTCCTTTCACGTGGGGAGGACGTCCCAAGGCAATGATACGGCTTTGATGTCGCCCCTTTTACCAATAAATGCCATTTGTTTGCATTTGTTGGCTTTCGTGCGTCAGCCTGGTGCAGTGGTCGCGCTCCCGCCTCCTGAGTCAGAAGGTTGTGGGTTCAAATCCACAGTGCTCCAACACAGGTGCCATACTTCGGATGAGACGCTGAACCGAGGTCCTGTCTGGCATTCGGGTGGACGTTACAGATCCCACAGCACTTTTCAAAAAGAGAAGGGAGTTTCTCTCTCTCCCAGTGTCCTGGCCAACAATCCCCCAAGTAAAATTGGTCAATCACTCCGTGCCTGTGTGTGGGACACTGCTTTGCGCAAACTGGCTGCCACGTTTCGTCCACAAAATACACAGTCACTGCGCTTTACGATATATCTGGATAACGTGTTAAGGCGCTATATCAAATACAAGGATTATTATTTAACATCAGATGGGCACAAGCTGGCTGTCAACTCAGGCAATCAATTGGTTGCTGGCCTGGCAGCTGCTGAGGTTCCTTACAGCAATAAACCTTGCATTTGATATAGAGCATTATCGCGCAGTTGAGGTGCCTCAAAGTGCTCCACAGGATTTACTGTAAAGTGGAGTGACTGTGCATTTTGTAGGTGAACGCAGAGGCCAATTAAACCCACAGCGATGTCCCCACAAACAGCCGTTGAAGTGAGCAAACGATGGTGAGAGCTTCACAACGGTAAAGAGGTTTCCTGCTTCGGTCGATCAGAAATTCCTCCCTCCCAACTCCCCATTTCAATAGAAAGAAAGAATTTGTGTGTTTATCGACGCCTTACCACGTTAATGTCTTGGGTTATTGCTGTCTTGTGTCAACTGGCAACAGTGTTGAGTGTCTGACTTGGTTTCAGCGATGGGCCGAATGGCCTCCTCCTGCTCTGTAACATTCTGTGACTCTTATTTCTAGCTTAAACACCAAATTCTCAGCGGTGTTGTGAGCAGAGCCACATGTCGGGGTTCCACTTACCGTGTCAGGCTTCCCCCCACCCCCCCCCCCCCCCACCCCCCAGCTTGGTGTGGCCTCTCTTTCCTGGGATTGTGATCTGTTTGGTAAATGAAGGGTGTCCTGCCGAGCTGTCGAGGCGTCTCTCAGTGTCTGAGCCGGGCTCGGGTAGCGGGAGAGTGGTAACTTGACCGCAATCAGTCGTCCTTTTTATTTTGGTGTAGGAGAGGGCAGAACCCGCAGAGGAGAGCGTTTCACACAGCGTCTCTCTGTCTTTCACCGGATTTCTCTGCGAATGCTCAGGGTGTGCGTTCCTGAACGTTTGGTTGTTAAAAGCTAAAGGACCAACGACCTGTGTTTAAGAGGAAACTTGAGGTATGAGTGAGGGACGAGGGAATAGTAGGGTGGGAGGGCTCATGTGGAATATGGAGCTCTCAAAGGGGCTGGTGTTCCTACATTGCAAATGAGAAGTTCCCAGTCGATGGGAACCCGGCTCGTGTTGAAAGCCCTCCCTCCCTCCCTCCCTCCCTCCCTCCCTCCCTCTTTTTCCTCCTTCAAGACCCTCCTCTTCGACCATGCTTTCGATCACCCTGCTTCCCCCCCTCCCCTCCATCCTCCCCAATCCCGACCCCCAGTTTGGGTCCAAAACACTAATTGCCCAGCGCCTTGGGACGTCTTTCCAATGTGAAAGGCGCTATACAAGTATAATGTTGTATGACCGCACTGTGAAAGTAATAAGAGACATTCGGTTTGAAGCTCGGTGAAGACCGATGCATCTTCATTCAGACTCTCCAGAAGGAAAGCTCTTTAAATTGCTGTTGTAGAGTAGCGGGATGTGTGGCCTAACGTGTAGGATGGTCCTAGCTGGACAAGCAGCGGGAAAGCTTGCCAGACAGTGCTCTCAATGGCAAGCTATGTGGTTTTAGCTGGTTAAGACTCCTGGAGTTACCCCATCACACACTCTGGACTCCCCAACCCTTGTTAAACCGATGTTAAACCGAGCTTCCATCTGCCTTTTCAAGTGAACGTTAAAGATCCCATGGCACAATTTGAAAAGCGAAGGGAGTTTCTCTCTCCTGGTCACCTGGTCAACAATCCCCCAAATAAAATCAATCATTCACTTCACAGCTGAGCGCAGGGACATTGCTGCACACAAATTGGCTACTCACAAAATAGACAGTCACTACATGTTGCAGAGAAATCCTATGAAGCGTTGAGAGACGCTGCATCAAATGCAAGGATTATTATGAATAAAAAGGTTCAGCTGCAATATCTAATGAGCGAGAATGCACAGAACTGTACAGAGAGGGAGGTATTCAGAAGAGAAGCTTGAGCTTTTCCTTAGGAATATCGAACGGAATAGTTGTACAGCAGCAAAGGCAGCTGTTGTTAATCACAAACTAAGGGAAACCCTCATTTTCCTCACCAATAATTGGAAAGTCTGCTTTCTCTCTCCACATCCATCAAAGTCCCTTTGGGATTGTTCTTCCCCAAAATGAATTCCACGATCCCGTAAAATAGAGGAATACTAAAGGGTGTGTTGAGAAGACCAACCTAGTGGTCAACCCCCTCAATTTTAATTACCAATAAGAACTCCAGGAGGGGCCGGGAGAAAGTTTATATATACACACACACACACACACTCGCGCACGTCAAAACATTCTGAGGTTGAGGCAACAACAAATTGCATTTACACAGCGCCTTTCACATCGGGAGGACGTCCCAAGGCACTGGACAGTTTGCACCCGAGCTGGTGGTTGGGATGAGGAGGGTGGGGGGTGGCTTGGGGAAAGGAGGATGACCAAAGGTGCGGTCAAAGAGGAAGGTCTTGATACCGGCCTTGAAGGAGGCAAAGGAAGGGAGCAAGGCTGAGGGGCTCCGGGATGCAGTTCCGGAGGGTGGTTCCTGGAAGCCTGACCACCGATGGTGGGGCGGGCAGGGCGGGCATGGAGCAGACAGGTTGGCAAAGCAAAATCCGTAATAAAAAGCAAAATCCGTAATAACTTCTGAAAGGTATTGAATGCACCATGGAAGTATAAGTTGGGGGAATAAACAGAACTGTTCTGCAGTAATTCTGTGATGCTTTATAGAGGAAAAATGGCAGCGCAGACATGATGGGCCAAATGGGCTGTCTCAGCATCGCAACTGTCTGAGTCATTGCAGGGAGGGAGGGTGTCCAGACAGGCTGTCACTGGGCCAGTAAAAGGCCTGGGTTGGGCAGATGTCTTGCATGTGGGTATATGTGGGGTGGGGGGAGGGGGGAGTGTAATAATGATGATAATCCTTGCATTTGATACAGCGCCTCATCACGTCTCAAAGCGCTTCACAGGATATACTGTAAAAGTGGATTGACTACATTTCTGTGGGTAGTTCTGTGCTGGCTCCCTCTTGCTGTCTTTCACTCTGACGGTTGCTGTTGAGCAGGAGCACTCGCTACAGTCACAACTTGTATTTAAGTGGTACCTTTCATGTTCGAAGCTCTTTGCAGAGAGAGAGAGAGAGACTGTCAGCCGGTGGGGGTGGTGGGGCTATTGGCCCGATCGGATTGGAAGCTTTAGAGGAGGCTTGAAGACTAATGGGGTGGGGGAGGGCGCGGTAAGTGGGGAAAGAGTTTCCGAGTGTAGCACATTTCAACCCGTATACCACTTTGCTATCGTGCTATTGCGACGTGGAATTGTGCGCGTGCGCGCGTGTGTAGTGTGTCCGTTCGCCTTGGCTCCTTCAAGGCACGTCTCGAGACCCTCCTCTTCTATCGCACCTTCGGTCACTATCCTTCCCCTGCCCACGAACCCCCCACCCCACCCCGGATCACAAACCCCAGCTCGGGTGCAAACCCTTGACTGTCCAGCGCCTTGGGACGTCCTCCCGACGTGAAAGGTGCCGTGTAAATGTCATTTGTGGTGGTGGTGGTTGTTGTTAAGCGCCCGGTGCTGAGATACGCACACACTGAACCGAGCCTCCCCTGGACACGGCGGGACAGAGACTTAACACACCTTGTGTAACCGCTGCGTTTCGGGGTTGTTATCTGCTGCAATGCAGCTGTGCCCGCCGGCCACGGTGCACTTGTTTAAAGGGCGGACTTTTCTGCTTTAAACCCTTCACCCTCATCTCAACCCCTCCTCTTCACTGAATGGCCTGTTCTTGAATTCTGCATTGATGGAAAGACACCCTTTCTTTCCCCCCACCCACCCATCACCCACCACCACACACACACACACACACCTTCCCGACCCAGAACAGAACTTCACACCCTCTCAAACCCATCCAGGGAGCGAGGGAGTGAGCGAGCGAGATTGATCGATCGATCCCCTCTACCGCAGACCCTCGCTGCTCTCACCCGGTAACTGTGTGGTGCATGCATTCAGTCAGTCAGTCAGTCATCCATATAAGGCAAAGCAGTCAGCATATTCTGCTGCCAGTGGGTTTGGCTGGTGTGTATGTATGTATGTGTGTGTGTGTGTGTGTGTGTGTGGCGTGTGTCTGTGTGTGTGCGCGAGCATCTCAAACCTGCCAGGTTCAAGCCCGTGACTTGTCATCCAGCTCATTAAAGATGTAGCACTGAATTCTGCTGAGCTGCTGTGCTGTGCATCGCTGCCCAGGGCCGTGTGGTTGAACTAAGGCGTCCGCTCTTTATTGAGCACCTCTATTTCGTACGAACTCCCCCAGGCAGAGAAGCGACATCGATGTTGAATCTTAACCGATGTTTCCCTGTCGTCTTGTATAGAAAACAATAGGAACGTTCAGCCCCTCGAGCCTGTTCGGCCACAAATATCCAGCGAAGGAAATCTTAGGAAAGGCGCCCCTCCCCCTCCCCTCCTCTGGTCTGGTTAGAAACCTGCAAAAGGCTTAATGTATTTAATGTATTAAAAACAAGATGATTTGTGACCTCCTCCTCCTCCTCGTTGTGTTGAAGGTGGAGATTGTTTACAGTGGCTGTTTGGCTTCTTCGCTTACTGGCTCTTCTGCCGGTCTTTCTCTCACTCACTCGCTTGACCGTCTCTTCTGGATCGCTCACCCGTCCCCCCCTCTCCCCCCTCCCTCTCTCTTTCTCTCTCTCTCTCTCGCCTGCCCCCACCCACATGGGAAGGAGTTGAACATGCGCTGTGGTCTCTCTGGAGTCTCTCGTGTTTGCCACGTCCGTTGGCAATGACTGATTGCACTGAGCATGTGAGGCACTGAACCACTGCGTGATTAGAGGCGAGTGCAGACTGATTGATACTTGGGGTTTGTTTTAAGCCTTTCAAGTTCTGGCTGTGTTTGAAGATCAGTCGAGGTTCATTTTTTTCGGGGTGTGTTTTGCAAAGCGACCTGTTTAGTGGCTGCGTACAAACAGAGCTCCCCACACCCCCACCCACACACACACACGCACACCAAATTCCCTGCTCTCTTCCCCCATCATATCCGATCATAATCATGATAATGGCAGACGAGAGCGTTAACAACCAGGTGACCTCTCTCGCTCTGTGTGTCTCTGTGTCTGTCTGTCTGTCTGGGACTGTGAACACAGTCTGTAGAGAAGCTGTTCCCTGGAGGAACCTGAGCAGAAGAGTTATCTGCAGTTCCTGTGCGGTTGGTATAGAGAGCCATTTCTGGCAGGAAACAATCTGCTGATGTGGTCTGGTCTATCAGAACTGCAAGTCCCTCCTCTGCCACCCTACAGTCCCTCCTCTGCCACCCTACAGTCCCTCCTCTGCCACCCTACAGTCCCTCCTCTGCCACCCTACAGTCCCTCCTCTGCCACCCTACAGTCCCTCCTCTGCCACCCTACAGTCCCTCCTCTGCCACCCTACAGTCCCTCCTCTGCCACCCTACAGTCCCTCCTCTGTCACCCTACAGTCCCTCCTCTGCCACCCTACAGTCCCTCCTCTGCCACCCTCTGCCCTCGGAAAGCGTGGCTTTTCGCTTGCTCAGTTTCCTCCCCCTTGCGACACGAGAGAAGAGGCGGCGATTGCTGCGCGTTAATTGTCAAGTGTAGTGACTTGTTTCTGGTTCGCAAATCGCGGCGACAGGTTGCCGGGGCCGGAGGTAATTCGGGTGGAAGTGTTGAAAGATCTGGGGACGCTGTGCAAAAGTCTTGTGAGCTTTTTATATACATATGTGTGTGTGTGTGTATATATATATATATATATAGGAGTTTCCCGCGATACCCTGGCCGACAGACGCTCAGGTAAACTGGGACATTTGCGTGGTATGTGCGTGTGGGTTTGCGTGTGTGTGCGTGTTGGGGGGGGGAGGAGGAGGAGGAATCGGTTGGTGCACAGTCACAAAACATTCGCCTGCAAAAACCCACAGTCCCTCCCCCCCGTGCTTATTATCCTTTAAGATGATTTAACATTAAAACCGCGAGGATTGCGGTCATTACAGTGTTCCCTAACGCCTGAGTGTCTTGTTCTTGTTCGTTTTCCCTCCTTTTTTCCGCCTCTGCCCCTTCCCCCCGCTCATCCATCCCCCTTTCCCCTTCTCCCACCCCACCCCCCCCCCCCCAAACCTCCCCCACCTCTCGCCGCCCAGGTGACCGAGTTGAACGAGGCCCTGTCCAACGAGGAGCGCAACTTGCTGTCCGTGGCCTACAAGAACGTGGTGGGCGCCCGGCGCTCGTCGTGGAGGGTGATCAGCAGCATCGAGCAGAAGACCTCGGCCGACGGCAACGAGAAGAAGATCGAGATGGTGCGCGCATACAGGGAGAAGATCGAGAAGGAGCTGGAGTCCGTGTGCCAGGACGTGCTGAACCTGCTGGACAACTACCTGATCAAGAACTGCAGCGACACGCAGTACGAGAGCAAGGTCTTCTACCTGAAGATGAAGGGCGACTACTACCGCTACCTGGCCGAGGTGGCCTCGGGCGAGAAGCGGACCGCGGTGGTGGAGTCCTCGGAGAAGGCGTACGGCGAGGCGCACGAGATCAGCAAGGAGCACATGCAGCCCACGCACCCCATCCGGCTCGGCCTGGCCCTCAACTACTCCGTCTTCTACTACGAGATCCAGAACGCCCCCGAGCAGGCCTGCCACCTGGCCAAGACCGCTTTCGACGACGCCATCGCCGAGCTGGACACCCTGAACGAAGACTCCTACAAGGACTCCACGCTCATCATGCAGCTGCTCCGTGACAACTTGACTCTCTGGACAAGCGACCAGCAGGACGAGGAGGGCGGAGAGGGCAACAACTAAATGGACCCCGGGGAGGGTTGAGGGTGGGGGGTTGCGTGTGTTGGCTAGTGCTCAGCTGACGACCCCTGTGGTTTTTTTTTCTCCCCCCCCCCACACTTCAAAGGGGGTGGGGGGGGGGTATGTAGGGATGGGTGGTGGTGGTGTGGGTGGGGGGGAAGCTTCCAGTTTAACCCCTTGTTGACGCCTCTTCGAATATTTGCCAAAACTCAGCAGCGGCTGGTTACAGTGATGGGTTTGGCAGCCCTTTGCGTTGGCAATCGGACTGTTCTGTAGTCTTAAAAAGGGGGGGAAAAAACACACGAAATAAAAGCGGAGTCGTTTCATTCACAGCTTAAAAGTTAGACGGGAGTATGTAACAAACAATACAATACGAGACAAACAAAAAAAAACCAACAACAACAAAAAAAAGGGAAACGCGAAGGCTTATGCAGACACACGCGCACACGTACCCACCGCGCTCTCCGATCCTGTGCTACCAGTAATCGCTCGCTTGGTTCACTCTCTCCTCCCGAATCCAAATCAAATCCAAATCAAATCCAAATCAGTGTTAGTAAAATGCAGTATAACTTCGTATTTATTTATTTCTTTTCTTCTTCCGACGTCGGTACGTTTTGGGCTTTTTTTCTCCCCACCACCACCACAACAACAATAACAAAAGGGAAATTAACGTACGAATCGCGTATCGTTTATGAATCCCAGGACTCTGGATTTTTTTTCCCGTCCACCCCCACACTCCTTTCCCGAAATGAAAGGGAGAGAGCTTTAAATCATAATATGATTATTAATAATAATAGAAATAGAAAACGCTGAAAGTCATTTTTTTTAAACAAAATAATTCATTCGGACACAAAAGATTTTTTTTTTAGAAATAAAACGTTTCTCTCCCCTACCTCCCCCTCCCCCACACCCCACCCCGACCTCCTTCCTCTTCTCCCCACATCCTCTCCCTCCCTCCCCTTCCCACCCCATTGACCCTGCGGTGTAGGCTGCAACTTAAACGGTATTTATCACAGGAAGGTTTTAAGAAGGAATAAAATTTCGACTCGCGGGGGGCTGTTGGGGGTGGGGAAGGGGAGGGGGGAAGACCTTACATTTTTTTTAAAAAATAATTGGCAATTTAAAAAAAAATGATTTTAAGATCACAGTAAGCGAGAAAAGGAAAGAATTCATTTTTGAATTTTATTTTAAAACGCAGATACAAAAATCCTCTTTCCCTACACCTGCTTACTGGAAGCACAGCATTATTTGTGTGTGTGTGTGTGTGTGTGTGTGTGTATGTATGTATGCGCGCGCGTGTGTGTGCGTGTGTTGGTTGGGGGGTAGATTAAAGGGGGTCTGGCTGCTATTGAAATGAAGATAAAGGCAAACGTCATAAAGATTTTAAAAAAAAAAGGACTTTAATCTTTAAGCAGCTTATTGTGTTTTTTTAATAAAAAGAGAGAGATAGAGAGGGAAAAGCACTGGCCTGTTATGCTGTCTTATTGAGTGTACTATGATTATTTACTGCCCTGTAACTGTTGAAACAATATTGTGCATGCTGATGACATATTTAAACTGTAGCTTGGGTTTAACTTATAGGTGTGATTGTAATTCTTATGGCGAAAAAAAAAAGTACTTGTCTTCAAAGTGTAGCTGATTTGCTGACGTACACTTCACTTAAGAGATCTTTTTGGTCCTAACAGGTTTCAAGTCAAATCTGTCTGTTATGGACATTTACTGTCGTGATATGCAATTCTATAACTTGATTTGTGGAGAGTGAGAGTGAGAGGGGAAACAAACAAACAAAAAAAGATTTAAAGGCACCACCACCAATGTTATAGCTTAATCTTAATGTCTGGTATTCAGTCATACGTGACATCCTCATTATTACTGTGTAGGAAGCTTAAATACAGTATGTTGTTGTTAGGATGAATTTCCTTTTGTGCTTCTTGTCGTATAATGCGGTGAGCTCTTTGCTAGGTCGGGCAGTGAAGTTTTATTTTTATTACTTTGTTGTTTTTGTTTTTGTTTTTCCAGCTCAGTGTAAATCTGTGTGTGTGTGTGGGGGGGGGGGGGGCGGCGGGGGGACGGGGGGGACGGGGACACAGGGGGAGGGTTGGGAAGGGGGAAAACTGTCACATGTGGATCATTCCTCAGCGGTTTTATCGGTGACTGAAATACCTTCTTTTGAATGTGAGTCATTATTTGTAGCGGTTACGCACATAAAGGCTAATAAAAGTGCAAATTGGTCAATAGCCACTTACACAAGAGTCTTGCTTCCTCGTCCCTCTTTGTCTTGTCCTGTTGCCGCCGTGTGAACTCCCAACCCATTGGTGAGGGGGGGGGGTGCAAGCTGTGTGTGTGTGGGAAGGGGTGGGGGGGGGAAGAGAGGAGGGGGCATGGATTAGGCGGGTTGGCGTTGCCCGGATTAGGGCGTGCACAGGATAGCATGGTGGGGGGGGGATGGGGTGCAGATGTTAGAATGGGGGTCAGGGGGTACATAAGGATGGGTGGGGGGAGTGGGCGGAGGGAGAGCAGCAGCGCAGAGAGAACAGGTCAGTCTTCAGCGCTCGAGACGAGTTCCTCTGAAAAGTACGAGGTGTTGCAAGTGCGGTAAGAGAACACGAGCTGCAGTGAGGCACCGCTGTGTAAACAGACGCACTTCCCCGTCAGGACTTGGTCACCGTTGTCTCAAACCGGCCGCTGGGAATCCTCCTGAGGTCAGAAGGCTTTCGGGGCGTTTTGCCTCCTGTTCAAAGCCCCTGTTCTATACCCCACAGCGTCACTCCTCACCTCGGAGGACGGCCTCAGTTACATTGTTCCAGCTGACGAGCTTCGCGGGAAAGGCGTCGAGGCTCGACTCCCGGGATCGGGAAATCTGGGAATGCGATCGGAGGTCATCGGAAGCGAGCGCCGGTTTCCAGTTCGAAAGCCGAAGATGTCACCGTGTGGGCTGGTCATTCCAGGGAATCGGGAAGAATTTTTTCGGCCAGGCGCTCGGGGCTGTCTGTGCTTTGAGCTTATCTTAAACCACGCAGAGTTCTGTATTATGCGCTGCCATCTACACGTTAGAAATGTCCCTGAATCTGGATTGAACCGTGGATTCTCCCTCTCTGCATTCCTCTGTCGGAGACATACTTTGCTCACTTCGTCCCGGAGAGGTTTGGGCATTTTTCACACGTGAAAGGATATCGATCCGATTGTGCCTTTAAACCCATTACCAGGTGATAACGTATGTAAACACATGCACACAGTATTGAACACTCAATTGAAGAGGACTGATGTTTTGGGAGGGGAACAGGTCACACAGAGCTGATAGTCCAAAGCAGTAAAAATGTCCTGTTAGTTGGGTGTTTTTTTTTGCTACTGGGGAAAATTGGCTCTGCCTCGCTGTCCACTCTCTCACCTTCCTATAATCGTGACTTAATTCACCTTTAAATACACGTACAGTCACTACACGTTAGCCTAAGTCCTGCGAAGCGCTTTGAGCAGTCCTCCCAAGTTGAAAAGCGTGATACCAAATGCAAGGATGATTATTGTTAATAGAATAATTCCAACTTTAAACCTGCCCCCACCCTGATAACAACAACCACGGGCTGGATTGGGGGGTGGGGTTGAGTCCAGGATCATTTGTTAATTACTCTGGGTAAAGAAAGATTTCCTGGTGACTGTCCTGAAATTGCTCGCTTTTGCAAACTCTAAACCTGGGTCCTCGTGTTGCGCTATCACAGTGGGTTGACGGGAAATCTCAAGGTCTCTCTCTGTATAAACTATTTCAGGTTTAGTTGAATGTTTCGCCCACAAAATGTAAGGATTATTATTATTATGTTGGTTTCAGGAGAACATTAAAGAGAGATCGTGTTGGAAGAGAGAGGGGGGGTGGGGTTGGTGGGGATGTCCTAGCGCACAGTCCTCCTCCGCCCCCATCCCCACGCCCCCCCCCCCCCGATAAAACTGATCACTTGCTTCCTGGCTGATATGTGCGAGTTTGATACGCGTAAGATTGGCTGCTGTCTGCTTGTCTCCACAGTCACTACGCTTGAAGGTGACTTGCTGTGAAGCACTTTGAGATGTCCCGCCTATATGACAGTCACATCGAAGGCAGGGATTAGGAGCGAGAAGAGAGGGGTAGCAATGGCCCATATTTCAGTGATGGAGGTTATAGACTCGGAGCCCTGGAGAGCGCTGTAGAGACATTCATATTCCTACGGCCTTTATAACCACAATGCCATTTCTATATATACACATATATATATATACTCACACGCACCACCGTCACTTAACGTGACGTCAGAGATGTCAGATGTAAGGACCCTTCCTGCCCCGTGTGTATAGATATAACTTTAAAATATACCTTATTTCCTTACAGTCATTCTTTTTATGAACGGAATCTATTTCCGACCATTCAAGCTTGAGTTGCCTTTCTTGATATTACCAGGTCTGGTATTTCGGACTCAGATCTGTGCATAGCTCGTCTTACCATCGTGCTTGACCTCCCCCCACCCCCCCCACCGAGGTATTTTTAGCCGTGAAACGAGAATGATTTATAAAAGTGCCGGAAAAGTGGATCATCCCGCTGGAAGGTGAGCTTGATAAATGTTAGTGATTCCTAACCAAAAGGACGTTGGCTGGCGAGGCTGCAATTGTGGTCTGTGACTCCTTCAGAGATTAAGAGAGGAAGGTCGCAAAAGAGAAAGAAAAGGATTAATAGGACCTTTATCACTTCAGTCCCGTAGCTTAGTGATCAGTGCTCTTGCCTGGCAAGCGAGAGGACCCGGGTTGGGCGAAACCTTAGCCAAGTTTCCTTACTCCGCACACACACACGCGCACACACACGCTCCTGTTTACTTAGCAGTAAGTAGGAACCCAGTTGTTAGTGGACTGGCGGATCACTTTAGTGACCCCTTAAAAAAAAATGTGGTCGTTCAATCCACGACTGTTTGGGGTACACTGTGCGCAATTGGCTGCCGCGTTTAGCCCATGAAATACACAGTCAATCCACTTTTGTGGATTCTGTGAACTGCTTTAAGAGTCTCAACGATGTGATAAGGTAATAGGTCAAATGCAAGGATTCTGAAAAAATGATTATTGGTATGTGTGCAAGTGTGTGTGTGCAAGTGTGTGAGCGTGTGCGAGTGTCTGTGTGTGTGCGAGTGTGTGCGAGAGTGTGCGCGAGTGTCTGTGTGTGCGAGAGTGTGTGCGCGAGTGTGTGCGAGAGTGTGTGTGTGTGTGTGCGCGCGCGCGCGAGTGTGAAGTGTCATCTCATTTGCGGTGTGAAATCATGGCAATGCTTCTGTGTTCCGTGCTATGCTGTGCTATGCTGTGTGTGTGAGACCAGTTATCTGCAATGCAGTTCCTGAGCCTCGGTTGAGAGCAGCTGAGGGTTGGCTTGGTGCCGACGGAGTCTGTCTGCTCTCAGTCTCACCTCCTCCCCGAATCAGAGAAGCGGTAGACTTGATCATTAAACCCATCGAGTCACCAGTACTGTATCGGGAAGCAGAGACCTTACCCACCCAGCGCTACGCACACGTTTGGGTGTCACAAAAACAATCTGCATCTCAGCGTAGGCTTGAAATTCCGCCCTTTCGTCTTATAATTTAACACGGTGCAGAGTATTTGAGCGCCGCGTTTTGCCCACAAGACACACAAGTCAATTCACTTTACAGTACAGTCTGTCATTTTCTGTGGCTTCTGTAGAATGTATTTGTGTGGAGGATTCTTACACACTGCCCCCACCCCTCACCCCGGCTAATAATAATAATAATAATAATACTTTAATAATTCTTGCATTTGATACAGTGCCTTATCATGTCATTGAGACGTCTTAAAGCGCTTCACGGAATATACTGTAAAGTGAATCGACTGTATATTTTGTGGGCGAAACGCGGCTGCCAATTGTGCACAGCAGCGTCCCCACAACACAAACAGTCATGGATTGAGTGACCAAATTATTATTATTTATTATCTTGGGAGGGATTATTAACAACAACAACAACAAGATTGCATTCATAGAGAACCTTTCACGTCGGGAGGACGTCCCAAGGCGCTGGACAGTTGGGTCAGGACCTGAGGAGGGGGGAAATGGTCAGGGTGAGGGGAGGGAAGGGAGGGAGGGAGCGAGGAGGGGGTAGAGAGTCGAGAGGGGAGGTGAGGGCACCGTTGAAGAGAAAGGTCTTGAGACCGGCCTTGAAGGAGGAAAGGGAGGAAGCGGCGAAGGCACCAGGGGATTGAGTTCCAGAGCCTCGGGGCTGAGAGGCTTACCAATTGGCCAATCGACTAACTAGCAACCGGCTTCCTACTTACTGCCAGGTAAACAGAGGCATGTGTGTGGAATAAGGAAACTTGCCTAAGGTCTCGCCCCGCCCTGCCCGGGCCCTCACTCTTGCGAGGTGAGTGCTCTAACCAGAAGGTCATAAGATCAGTGTTAGATGAAGAAGGCTCTTCGTCCCATCGGGTGATGGGTGGAGGGGAGGGGGGGGGACTCTCTCCGTCTGGTAACATTGGCTCCAAGGATTCGGCTTTTGGGTCAACCTGTCACTGGGTGATTGTGGATGGATGCGGTGGAGGGGGAACGTGGAAGGAGCTGAGATTGGCTGTTGGGCTGCATCTGTCACCATGGAAACTGCATCTCTTCCCGGCTGAAGCCGACGGTCCTTGGCTCTCGTGCTGTTGTCTCACACAGGCATCGGCTGGCTGGTGAGGCTCGGTAATTTTTGTTTTAACCCTCTCTGTCTCTCCTCTGCTTTGTCGCCCGTCGAGAGGGTCCTGGCCTGAACTTCTCCCCCTCGTTCGAAATACTTTTTATTTCCATCGCATTCTAGACCAGGGGTCCTTAATATATAGCATATTTCCTGTGAAGGCGCTTTGAGACGTCTCGATGACGTGTTAAGGCGCAATAGCAAACGCAAGGATTTATTTATTACCGCTGTATTTTTTGAGCGGAGAATAATATGATGACTCTCTGTGCCTGGTTTGGATTTTGCTGCGAAAGTTTCACGTGGGTTGTTGGGGATAGCGTTCCCTCCTCCCCCTCCCCCTCCACCTCCAACTCCACTTCCCCCCTCCCACTGCCCCCTCCCCCCTCCCACCCCCGCATCGGGGACTTTGAGCTCACAGTCAAGACTGTTGACCCAGTGCGATGCTGGGGGAGGGAGATGCCGTCCTTCATCAGATGAGGCGTTCAGCGGAGTTCTCCTCTGGTCCTGCTCAGTTGTGTGTTCAATGCCACACAACGATACTCAAAAACAGAAGGGAGTTTCTCCCAGGCACCAGGTCGACAAACCCCAGATAAATTCAGTCGTTGGGAACGTTGCTTTGTGCCAATTGACTGCCCCGTTAGCGCCCAAAATGTGCATTCGGAGCGGAAGAAAAACCTTACACAAGGTAGTATGTATATAAAATATTTTATTGCTGAGTTACAATCCACACGTTCTAGACAATTTATCTTTTTTTAAAAAAAAAACCACTCTTAACGAAACCAATTCACCATCGATGGGGATGAACTGGGTGATGCCTATTTTGGCACTGAGCCGGGCGGGAGGGTGGTTGGGCAGGCGGGCGGCTGCTGGGCGGGTGCCAGGTCTGGGTGGTGGGGGAGGGGTTGGTGGTGGGCTGTCACCGTAGCCTCTACGCTGGTTTCTTGGGGTCCTGGACTCCGATCTGGGCTTTGGACTCATAGGTGATGGGGATGGTGACCTCCGCTGACTTGATGGCTGCTTTGGGCAACGGAGCCTCCACTGCCAGCACGCCGCTGGGCGACAGCGAGGAGTTGATCAGGCCGGTGTCCACATTTGGGGGGAGGCTGTCAAGAAACAGAGGGAGAAATTAGGAACAACAACAATTTGCAATTACATCGTGCCCCTCACGCAGGATAGCCTCCCAGCTCGCTTGACAACAATGGCAGAGCACTACGCCAAACCGGGGGGAAAGGGGTGGTGACCGTAGGCACGGTCGAAGAGGAAAGTCTTCAGGCATGATCTGAAGATGGAGAAGGAAAGGGGGCGAAGTGGAGGAGCAGAAAACAGGGACGAACAGAGAGAAGCCATTCAGCCCACGGAGCAAATTCCCGTTAGTTTCTTAGATCTGGTGGTGAGGAAACTCTTTTTCTGAATTTTGCTTCCCCGTCTCAAATAGTTTAAAGCTATAAATATAATAACAATCCTCACCCCGTTGAGACGTCTCAAAGCGCTTCACAGATTATATTGTAAAGTGTAGCGACTGTGTATTTTGTGGACAAAACGCGGCAGCCAATTGCACGCAGCAGTGTCCCACAAACAGTCGTGGATTGAGTGAACAAATTAATGTGTCTTTTTTTTTGGAAGGGATTATTACGCCTGGAAAGTGATCCGCCAATTGACTAACAACCGGGTTCCTACTTACTGCTGGGTAAACAGAGACGTGTGGAATAAGGAAATTTGACTAAGATTTTGTCCTGCCCGGGAATCAAACTCAGGTCCTCTCGCTCGCGAGGCGAGTGCTCTAACTAATACATTAAGGCACTCTAAATAGGCTGCGAAGACCCTCTCTCTCTATGTTGCGGTAGCCAGCCCGGCATTCATTCCTTGCCAACGCTCACAAAGGGGGAAAACAATACAAATGCCACACACCAGAGGGTGCCTTTGTAGCCCAGACCAGTGGCAGGAACCGAGGGTAAACAGACGCCTTATTACAATGACCCTCGCATTTATTGCAGCGCCTTATCAAGTCGTCGAGACGTCTCAAAGCGCTCTGCAGCTTATTCTGTAAATTTTGTGTTAACTGTGTATTTTGTAGTCTTCAGGTGGGGAAGGAAGGGAGGGAGGGAGGGAGGGAGGGAGAGAGAGTGGGGTAGAGGCGAGGGAGGGAGGCAGATAAAAGTTGATTCACTTACAGATATTTCCGAGTGAAGCACCTTGAGATGAAACCGTGCTCGTCCTGCCTCTCCTCGTGTTTGCCTGTGGGAGGGAGAAGAAAGCGACTCTCTGGGTTAATTAACGGCGATCAAATTTGTGAGCAAATTGAAGCCGAGGATCACGTTCTTTGCCGATGGGAACGTGTGGCTCAAAAAAGATCTTTTAATCCCATGTCCCTACTAAACCCCCCCCCCACTCCTCCTGCACCCCCACACCCCCCTTTTAAACCCGCTCTCTCCTATTTCCCAAGCAGAAGGAGCCTCCTCCAAATTCATCCCTGAATTCACCCCCAAAGTCTCTCGTAGTTTACGCTGGTTTATTCTCCCTAACATTCGCCTTATTAAATTCTATAGCGGCCAACAACGTCTCCCGGGGCCTCACAGTTCTCTACAAAGTGTAGTGACTGTGTATTTTTTACAAACGGAAATGGCAGCCAATTTTTGCCCAGCGACGTCCCCACTAAGAGCCACGAAGCGAACGGCCGGGCAATTTAATCTTAAATTTATACAGCGCCTTTCTCATAAAATAAACCTCCCTGAGCTTTATATATATTTATATACATTTTATAAACAGTAAGGCCTGATATGGTGCTCTATAAAACTCCAGTTATTAAAAGTCATTCAATCCTAAGTTATTGTAATAACAATCCTTGCATTTGATACCATGGCCATATCGCGTCTTCGAGACGTCACCCAAGCGCTTCACAGGATAACGGTAAAGTGTAAAGTGTAGTGACTGTGTATCTTGTGGGGCAAACAATCATTATCACCCGTTGTCATTGCGGTTTTACCGTTGATCTCCACGTAGTTGTCTTTGGTCTTGATGGTGATTTCCTCCGGGGCGAAGTGACTGACGTCCAGGCTGATTTTCCACGTGTCAGACGTGACCTTGATCTCGGACAAGCCGGTGCTCTGTTGGCGGGTCAGGGGCTGAACGGTGGGATGGTGTGCGCAGCCTGAGCGACGTCTGCAGCGGCTGCTGTCGCTGCTGCCGCTGTCGTTGCTGCCGTTGTTGTGCCGGTGGTCGCTGAGGATGCCCCTAACTGTGTCGCGGCCAGCGAGGGGATGAGGTAGCCCGGCCAGGAGCCGCTGAGGGTCGGCCAGTCCATGTGCATAGCCGGCATCCCGAAATGCTGGTCAAAGAGCCGGCCGGGATAGTGCCAATCCCGGAAAGGATCCCAGCTGGGAGATCGCAGGAAACTGAAGGGGATTCGGCGCTCAGACATAGCGACGACGGGAGCGATAAAACCTTACCAAAACTCTGGGAGAGGAAACTTTTTGGCAGAGTCGTTTGTCCGTGTTGTGGCGAGCTCTTCCTACAAAGAGGGCTGGCTGACTGCTCCTGTCTTTATATCCAGGGAACCGGGGTATATTTAGAAGCCCGTTACACACATGTCTATTCTAGGAAAACTTAACAACTGCTTGCGGAATGCTGGCAGGCGAACAGATAACCCTGGTATTTCCAAGCCCCGAATTAACCTCTGACCCTCTCATTCTCTGTGCTGTTTGTTGTCTGTGTTTGGTGTTTTACACTCGCTCCCTGTGTTGTGTAATATATACGCCATAATTTGCCGTAATTTGCTTTGCATTGGATACAGCCCCTTTAAATCAGGTCGTCGAGACGTCGCAAAGCACTTCTCGTCATATACTGTGAAGTGGTTTGACTGTATAGTTTGTGGGTGAAACACGGCAGCCAGTTTGCGCGCAGCCCCCACCCCACCCTCCCCACCCCCACCCCACCCTCTGGCACGGAGCCAGTTCCCAGCCACTGTTAAATGCTCCGAGACGCTGCTCGGTGTGAGGGCCGCTGTATACATGCAAGATGATGTTGTACCCTTCTGTCTTCCCAAACACAGCATCAAGCTATTCCTAAAATGAGTCCAGTGTCCTGGTGATTTCTCCCCCCCACCCCCCACCCATGGCTCTTGACGTTAAGCTGTGCTCTTAGATCTGTCCGTGTAACAGAATGCACTCAGACTCCCGGCAGCACCATCAGGCAGTCTATAAATAATGCATCACTTTAGTGCTTTCGTTCTGTGTCAGGCAAACAGTGCGCCACAGACTGCCCTTTCCTGTTTCCCAGCAAGAAGGCGAGTACATTACTTGCAATGAAATCTTAATGAGACCAGGATAAAACTGACGGCTGCCTCCACCTCATTTCCTGTTTCCCTCCGCCCGGGTCAAGCATGTATCGGAGTCTGCTTTCACCTTGCGGAGTGGTTAGCGCTCTCGCCTCGCAAGCGAAGGGACCCAGGTTTGATTCCCAGCCGGGGCGAAACCTTAGACAATTTTCCGTACTCCACACGCCTGTTTACCCAGCACTATGTAGGTACCCCATTGTTAAGTCGATTAGCGGATCGCATTCGGAGCTAATAATCCCTCCCTCCTCCACCCCCAAAACGTATTTGGTCACTCAATCCATGAGGGTTCCTAGGACGTTACTGCGTGCAATTGGCTGTTGCGTCTCGCCCACAAAACACACAGTCACTCCACTTTACAGTATATCCTATGAAGCTCGTTGAAACGTCTCAACGACGTGATAAGGCGCTGTATCAAATGCAAGGATTATTTATCTGCGACTGGGCCAAAGTGAGAGACGGGGGTAGAGGTTGTGACTGTGAGACATTTCCCCATGAGGCGCACGCCTCGGGATCAAACTCGTTTCCACCAACGTGCGCGTCCAGCTCAGCGATGAACTTCCCTGCATCATGACTTCAATTTCCCTTTGTCCCTCTGCGGGGGGTGGGGGGGGGGGTGGGCAGAGTGGCCGAGAATGCCTGACAGCTGAGGTGCATGTGCACCGAGTTAATGAGCGTTACAATATGGAACCAGTTGTCCCCGTGGACCTAGAAGAAGAGCAATTACATGCAAATGTGCCCAGTGCTGGTCAGGCTTAAGTGGCCAGTGTCCGGAGCCATTGTCGTCAAAAGCGTAGCTGTCTTTGAACTGGAAATCGGCTCAAGACATTCTCTGTGTAGCGGAGCGCAGTCACTTGGAGGGCAGGGAGTGACGAGAGTATTTCTCTGACAGCATAGACACCCCGTTCAATCCATGAATATTTCAGAGAGGGAACGAGCTGCTTTCTCTCTTCACAAGGTCGCGAGTTATAATAATAATAATCCTTGCATTTGACTAGCGCCTGTTTGAGACGCCTCAAAGCGCTTCGCAAAATGTATTGGAGAGTGCGGTGACGGTTGTATTTTGTGGACGAAATGCGCAACTAATTCTGCGTGGCAGTGTTCCCATAAACTGCCTCCCCCGTCCCTCTCCCCCTGGCTCAGGGTCAGACTCCGCCACTGTTAAGCGCTCCGGGACACTACCCTGCGTGAAGGGCGCAAGATAAATGCAAGTTGTTGTTGTAAACATTCATGTTTTTTAAGGTATTATTAACCCCGGAGAGCGATCTGCCAACCGACTTAACAACCCGGTTCCTACTCGCTGCTCGGTAAACAGAGGCGCGTGGAGTAAGGAAACTTGTCTAAGGTGTTGCTCAGCCCGGGAATCGCACCCGGGCCCTCTCGCTTGCGAGGCGAGTGCACGGTACGCTACAGGATCGCGTGGAGGGTGAGTTTTAGTTCAGTAACTGTTTAACTTCACCTTTTCAAATCAATTAACTCTTTCCAATCTGTTTCTGTAACTCACACTATAAATATACTGGCTGACAGTGAGTGATGAGAGCCCAGCTTGTGATAAGGTGAGTCAGTGATGAATTATGGAGCTGGTCTCTGGGGGGATTTAGAAGTGGTCTTTAGTTACCCGCTCCGTTTTTTTCCTGGACTTCATTCCTCATCACATTGTGAACCTCAGAGTCACAGTGGCAATTTCAACATCCAGATCAGATCTGCAATGCACACTGCAGGATGACTGCAGTGGAAAACATCCTTCTGAAATAGCTTGTCTTTAAAAGGGATACCGTGCAGTGCTTTGGCACCTTCACTGGGTGGGAGTGCAGTCACAGAGGTAGAATATTCATTCTTCCTCCTTCCCTCCCTCCTGCCTTTTCTCTCTCTCTCTCTCTCTCTCACTTTCTTTCTTCTCTCTCAAAGTATACAGCCACATTGCTTCATTTTGTTTTGCCCACAAAATACACAGTCACTCCACTTTGCAGTATATCCTGTGAAGCGCTTTGAGACATCTCGACGACGTGATAAGACGCTGTATCAAATGCAAGGATTATTATTATATTATCATTTATTATTCCTCCCCTCCCCTGGTGACAATCCTGAGCTGATCCCCTGAATGAGAGGTCAACGTGGAGGGTGTGTGTGTGGGTGGGTGGGGGGGTGCGAATTCAGGAGAAAACGGGCGGATACTTTGGAAGTTGAGATAGGAACATGGAAACAACAGCCCATTCAGGCCCTCGAGTCTGTTCTGCCATTCTATAAGATCATGGCCGATCTGTAACTCAAGCCTAATTACCCGCCCTTGCCCCGCATCCCTTGATGCCCTGACCTAAGAAATAGCTGTCCACCTCAGTCTTGGAGATGTGAATGGATATGAAAGGACCCGGTGAAAGGGCAGACAAGTCGGTTTAGAGGAGCCCATCGTGGGCAACACCATGCGGATTGGGGTGGGTGAGCTGAGAGGCCTGTTCCTATATTGGGAGCATAACACAGGGAGGGAACAGCCCAGGAATTCCGTGTGTTGTTCCCGCTCCAGCAAGACCTAGGGCCAGCTTCACATAAATAACAGGGAATGTGTGGCTGGTTGGCAGGCAATGGCATCCGAGCCAAGTGGGATCAGCGCTCAGCTGGATCGTGTTGACACCAATAATAGCCTCCAATAATAGCCGGACGGTTCAGAAGAATCCAGAACCTTCCGCCTGCCCGTCCCACAGCGGAGGATTGACCAGAACCTTCTCTTTATATTTATCTCAATGTCTGGTCAGTTTCTGGGTAGAAACTCAACTGAGGGCGCCCTCTGTTGGCCACACCGGGCACGGCTCTTTAGGAAGCCGGGTCGCCCTCGTCTCGCTGCTCTGGGGTAGAAGAGGTCTGCGGCCCTAAATTCCACCTAGTCCTAGCCCGTAACACCCATTTGTCTTCAACCGTACGACTGCGCAGACTTGTGAGAACTTCGGCTCAGCCCTAACTGAAGTGGTTTTTCTGCAGCCTTGCAAAGGGAAAAAAACGAGGCGCCGTATTTTATAATTTGAACGAATTCGGTACACGGCGCTGTGAAGGAAGAGAGTAAGTGTTACGTTGAAGCAAAGGCGAGCTGCAAACCATTGCTTCGGATGAGACGTTAAACCGAGGTCCCATCTTACCAATCCAGGAGGACGGTAAAGATCCGCTATTCAGAAAGGGAAGGGAAGTCCTCTCCCTCCAGATGTCCTGTCACTCACTTCATGGCTGTTTTTGGGGACACTGCTTTGCGCAAATTTGCTTCTGCGCTCCCTACTTTACAGTGTAACCTGTGAAGCACTTAGAGATGTTTTAATACTAATAATCCTTGCATTTGATACAGTGCCTTATCACGTCTTCGAGACGTCTCAAAGCGCTTCACAGAATATACTGTGAAGTGACAACCTGATAAATAAGGCTCTGTATACGCTGCAAGGATAATTATTGTCGTAACTCGGCAAGTGGAGCCTTCCGCGACACACACAGATGTTCATTGGCAGAGTTAACAGAAACACGTTTAATACTGTGCAGAAAAGCAGCATTTTTAAAGTCATACATTTCAACATTACAATGAACACAGAATAAATGAATCCTGTACATTATCGGAAGCAGCTGTTTACCGGCCATGTCTGTGTCGACTCTCTTTTAAAAAAGAAGGAAACGACAGCTTACTAACCAACAAATGCGTTTCAGCATTCAATGTGCATATGGGGCAAATAAATTAATTCACAGGTAAATCAATATAAATAAATGACCGAGTGAGACAATCCTGATAACCAAACAGTAGTAAACAATGCATCCTGGTTATCCGAGGCTAGTGCAATAATAAACTCAGTACACAGGCGGATATTCCGTAAATGTATTTCTGAATATCCTGTGTTTCAACGACTCGCTTTTTGCTCTGTTTAAACGTCGAAAATAAGAGGAAAAAAAGTGCGTTCGTTTGTTGATTTAGGCCTGTCCAAGTGACATGTAACATCATATACAGTGAAAATGTTCTTACACAATAGCCCTCATCCCTGTCCCCCCTCAACTACATCTCTTTTAGATCAGGACTGACGATCTTTCTCTTCGACCGTGCCTACGGTCGCCTCCTCCCTCCCAACCCCTCGGCTGGGCATCAGGTTCCGCAACTGTTAATCGCTCCGGGACGCTGCCCTGTGTGAAGTAGGTTATATAAATGCCAGTTATTGTTATGCTTCCCAGTTTATCT